AAAAAAAAAGAATGAGGATGACAAAATTCACTTAAGCACAATATTTTCAACCAGAGGAACAATTTTCATATTTAATACATCAAGAACATGGAAAAAAAATTCTGAAAGAACTCTCTCATTTTCTAAGACTGAACTAAGCATTAATAGATCTGTGGCCTAACACTGTAGATATGTTGTTTGGTTACCTAAATCATTACAGTCATACACATCATGATAAAGACTTAGCTTCTGAGAAATAAGCTTCAAAAAACTGAGTTTCAAAAGAACCTTAGGACAAAGAATGAAATGTATTTAATGCCTGATTGACCATTCTCTTTGAGGCTGCTAGAAAGTACTATGAACAAAATCACTGTTGACAGTGTAATGAAATCAAATCTCCTTACTAATGGACAAATGAAGCAGTTATACCATATGGACCCACCAACCGTTTGACTGTTTGCTGCGAAAAATGTTAATCATAGTCAAAATTACTTTAAGAGAATAAACAATGATTTAATAATATATCATTCTTACCTGCATGTTGTAGCTAACCTTTGTGGTTACTGATGTACTAGAATCTCTAAGCACTTCCAGACTGATTAAAGTTGTTTTCTTATGAGCCACAGCAAAACGAGATCCCACAGCAAAATATACTAAACCATGAGGTGCATCACTTTCAAGAACTGTTACAAACGCAAATCTGGCACTGCTGTTCAATGCAGCTCCTGCACTTACAGCATACAGCTCAACAAAAAAATATGTTTCAAATTCAGGTACCTGCAAACAAGGAACGATTTTTCATATCATTAAAAGATTGTTAATTACTACCAGCTTTAAAAAGTGTATACTTTTTTATATATATATATATATGCAATGAATTACCTGCACTAATACTTATCACAAACACTTTTATTGCAATATGCAGTAAGTATGACAAAGCATATCCCCAAAATAATGTTGCATTAGGCACCACACTGTCCTGCGCAATAGTGACATCTGAGGTTTTCACACGATGATTGCAGTAAAGCAGCTGTTTATACAATACAGTTCTTTCAGAGCTTCACTTTCCAGATTATGGAGTTACATGTGCAATACATTTTCTGAGAAATGTGCACTTTCTTTTTGCCTTACAAAAAACATGTACACACCTAATTATCTGTGGAAAAAATGCACAGGAGCAAGATACTGGGTGTTAATTAGCATATATTTTTAATTAAGTTGTTGTTAAGTAATTCTTAAGTCATTCTTTAAATAGAATTATCTTGACTAATTGATAGCAGGCTCTAATTTATCGGAATGCCACAGGAACCTTTTGTCTTCCATTAGCAACTGTTAGCACGCATTTGAGCTGCATGTCTCTGCAACTGCTGCACAGTTGCACAGTGCTGTTACTAAAGAATCATGTCTCTCCATTAAATTAAACAACCTGTGATTCACTACTGTATATATTTTATTAATTGGCTCTTTAATTTAAAAATAACATCTGAAGAAGGGACATGGCTCTCTTCATGAACTATGACAATGTACCCTTATTATTGTTTTCTACCTCTTGCACAACATTGTAGAAAGTAGCGAGAAAAATGAAGGAAGACTTCTTTTCTGTTCCCCATGCTTCAGTTTTGCCACTAGCCTAGCTGCTAGGATTATTCCCTGGGAAGTTTCAAACTTTTTGAACACTCTGTAAGAATGAGAAACATTAATCCCACATTTCTTAAGTAACTGCTCTATGCAGTGATCCTTTCATCTTCAACAAAAGTGACTGAATGTTGTGTTTTGTTTCAATTAAATGATAGCTGAGTTTTTGACTTTGAGCTGGACCTCTTGAGGCAGTTAGGCTTATGCATACCCAACTGGCAAATGCTAAATGGTTCCAGTGGATGATGGCTGCTAAGCCAGACTTACTGCTCTCAACCTGGATGTGTACAGATTTTCAGATGTTCAGAGGTTCTTATACATTTCTATGATTGAACAGCATTTACAGATCATCGTGTGAGATGTAAATAAAACAAATACGTAGAAGTTGACCTAGAAGTTTTTTGCTGAACATTATTATTTTTTAATAGCATTTTTTATAGGATATGGTTCGTAAAAATCACACAAATGAGAGTTTGACTGTTAAAGAATTTTCTGTGTGAAGGCTGAGAATTTAGCATATGAACAAACATTTCAGTGAAATGACATCTTTCTGTTCTTTCTTATAGTTCTGTGGAAAGTGAGACCTGTAGTTTACTCTTCAAAATAAATACTCAACTCTTTTCTGAATTTTAACCAATCATAATGGAGGCAGTATAAACTTGTAAATAAAATCTAAAAAACTTGTAAATAAAATTAAAAAAAAATTGTTTTCAGAGAAACCGAGCGGATATTGTTACTCTTTTCAAGCCATATCTTATGCATCAGTTCTTCAGTATCAGAGATTTATTTTTTCATCTTGATAAATCACAATTCAGTGACACTGTGCTGTACCTAAATGTGCACTAACTACTTACATTATCAGGTTTTATTTCAATTGAGATGTTGCACATTGTTTGACCTGCCATGCAGGTAGTGGCTCCCAGCACAGACACAAGTTCGTTCTCCAAATTCACACCATCCTTCAGAAGGACAGCACTTGTTTCATTAAATGTCACACGCCAAAAGACCGTCACATCTTCAAATGCCCTATAACCAAATTTAAAGAATAAATGTATTCAAAATGAACTAAGCAACAAACTGACTTAGGATGGAAAACTCTGTACATTACTTCCTCTCAAACATATATAGAAAAAAATGTATGTATACAAAAAATAACACAGGATGGAAATAAAGCAATGATGAGCACCCACATTCTTCTTGACTTTTCCTTTAGAAAACAAGGTATCAGGTACAAAACAGACACTGGTGCCTGAAGGATGTACTCAATTACTTTCTTTAATACGATGGTAAACAATTGTCTGGAAAACCAGTAAACTGACTTTCCTGTAAATTTGAGGAATATAGAATATTTGAGGATATTTCTTTAAAGTACATATAAATGTATAACAAATACATGCATTAGAAAAAAATACTGTCTGTGCTACTGAACACACAAGAATAGTTCTAACACTTATGTACTATGTTAATTCATTCAAATATTCATACCCTATATATACTATGCAGGAAGATGAGAATTTTAATTTCACTTCCAGCAGTGTAAATCCTTAATCTAAGCAAAACTTTCACAGCCACACAGCAGCGATATAGTGAGGTTTTCATTTTTGTTTAATAAAAGCACTGTGACAGGCCTAATCATATTAAAGCTAATTTGTGAAAATTTGTGAAATTATTAAATGAGCTGAAAGGCAAAAAATATTTAAAAAATTCTATGATAACCTCTTCCACTACAAGCAGCACCCTTCATTTAACACAGAATGTACATGGAGTACTTGAATCAGTTGCTGACTGCACCTGTTTGATTGCCTCGCAACAACCAGCAGCACCTCTCTGTTTTCTGAATCTTCATCAAGTATAAGACCACTTTGTACTTCTGGAATGAATCCCAAAATGCCATTCTGAAGATCACTTCCTATACAGAAAACAGCCCATGAAATTAATTAGCTAGGAAATTAAGCTGGGACTAAATTATATTTTTCCCTAAAACTAAAATAAAGATTAAAAAATGGACACCGAAAGTATGCTTCAAAGGACTACAATAGGATGCCTCAAAAAAATTTCTTTTAGTATTACTATTCTTTATGTACATTCCTTATTTATCTCCACATTCCAATGTTGGCATTTCTGCACTTTACGTATTTTAACAGAATTCCTTTGAAAGTAAATTCCTTATGAGAATCCTGATACCACCTGTGAATATAAATCTATATTTTCACCAGTGCTCAGCAAACTGGCTGAATTTCTGTCCCCTGATATCAAGAGGCTCGATGCTAGAGTAGTCAAGAACAGATTCATAAACGTCATTTATAATCACCCTAAGAGATACCCACTCTGGTTATAACATGTCTACGTATTACTTATAACTTTTTTTTTCTAAACAGAAATTGTCTTCGTTGTGCCCCCAGACTGTAACTTGTCATGACTGGTTATGCTTCCTATGACACGTAAAGATTCCAAGGGCATGACTTCACCTTTCTTATTCTGCCCACCCACTACATTGAATTCAGTCATTTTCCCATACTGCTACATTTGTTTTCTTCTTCTCTTTAATTCAATGCGTTAAACTAGAGAGCTGGAAAATACTGCGTTGTTCTCATTAGAACTTAAATAGCTTCAGAAAAGCAGCACAGGAGAAAACAAGAAAACAAACAATCAAAGCCCAAAACAGAGCTAATGAAGGGAAATTAATGCCTCCACAGTGTCCCATAAAATCTTGCAACTAAAGGATTTCTCTCTAAACTTAGCGAGAGCTACTCTACATTTAAAAACATCAGTATGTGTACCAACAATTGACAGCACATTTGCTTTTGTGCATGCATACATATTTAATCTGTGGTATCTTTATACAGTCAAATGCAAACATGTGCTTTGATACTTCTTAAAATGTCTCTTGATCTTACTCTACACATGCATTACGCTCTAGAATATATAATATAATACATTATATTATATAAGTATATATAATATACTTCTGTGGGATTCAAGTTCAAATTCCAGTTGGTCCTTACGGACACATCTATTTAGTTAACTTGACCGTATGTCCAGCTGATTACTTGCATGGTGAGTTTGGCAGACTGTGCACTCATGTTTTAAACAGTCTGTTCCTGGTACATAATTTTGGTTGCTGCATACACTCACTACATAGCAAAGATTAGTCTGGGTTTCCAACATCTATGTTGCTATCTTGTACTTTCAAGACAATCTGAGTACACATTCCTGTAAAAAAACCTTACATGAAATTTGACAAAGAGAAATTGGGAGTTCTGATATCTCTCCTTCAAAGTAGCAAAGAAAAGTAGCTGTGATAGAAAGAAAAATTCTTCCCTAAATGTGCATTTAAGCTCAGTCCTATCTTCTGTCCCCAGAAGCAGAGTATGACTATAATGAATAACTGCACTATATAGTATTAAAATACAAAAACACTTTCCCTGTTATTTTTACACCTCATAAAGCATCAGGCATTGTGGAAGTGACAATAGGAAAAGAAAAAAGAAAAAAAAAACACCAAAAATGCAATGCTACTACATTTGACACAAAATTACTAAAACTTAGCCTTTCCCTTCACTATAGGAATAAGAGCAGAGATGAGCAGCATCTGTAAGTGTATTTTGAGCTAACCTGCTAATACATGCATGTTGGGCTTTGGTATATTAGATGTGTTCTCCACACTGAAAAAGTCAAGATTTGACAACATAATACCCTGTTTACTGTCCAATAGAAAAGCCAAAATTTACATAAATACTTCTACAAGTACCTAAAGTTATTTACTATTACTTAATTCCAATACATTTACTTATTTATAGGAGGAAAAGAAAACAAACTGGTACCTGCAATAATCACAGTTGCAAAAGCAGCAAATCCATATTCATCCTTCCCTTTCACAATCTGAGCTCCATGTTTAGGATCTGAGAGGAAAACATAAAACAATTCTTGTCCTTCAGGCTCATCATCATCAAAAATTTTTATGGACACCTTGCTTTCTCTTTCTCCATCCAGCAAAGTCAGAGAGACTGACTGTTCCTCAAAATCTTCTCCTTCATTTGCCCATGTAAAGTTTGATTTTCCATAAACATTTTCAAAAGGATATTGATCTATTCCACTCTGTGCACTTATTCCTCCAAAGGTTTTAATGGTTACTTCAATATCGCCAGTAAACCCCTGGGTCCTTCTGATATTAATTATCACTGTGTTGGGAGTATTATTGTTTGCATCTTCTTCAACATAAATAAACTCTGGCCCCAAACTTAGTATCCCATGAAGAATATCATTAGCCAGGATATTAATTGTTGCAACACTGAAAGCTGGATTTAAACGTGGACTCCAGTCAAGTTTAGCAGGTTGAAAATCCAAAATTTCAACAGCAGTCAAATTTACAAAAAAATACTCCTCAATCTCAGAAAGAGTGTCATCAATTATTGATATTTCTATCATGGCATTTGTCTGAAAATGTGCAAATATAAGCTCCCCATTATGAATAGGCTTAAAGTCCTCTAGTGGTTTGGCACTTCCTGGAGTGGTCTGATATGTCAATTTAGTGACATTACTTCGAAATCCAAACAGTTTTTGGACATGCAGTGTGACGGACTCAACATCTTCTTCAACTGAAATGAATGTTGAGTTAACAGCAAACTGGAATATCCCCATTGGCTCAATTTCAGCTATTGTAAATCCTGATCTGAAACAGAAAAGATATTGAAAATTGAATGATCAAACAGGAAATAAGAAAACTAAAAGGCACAGAATAGCTTCCAGTGAACAACCAATGAAGACTGTAAGAAATTGAATTAAAAGAAAAATTTATAACAGTTGAGGGAAGAAATGGCAACTATACAAGGTAAGACATAAATAGACTTTTAAAAACATTGTTTTAAAACATTGCTACATAGGCTTTCATAAGCTTAATACAACCTGAGTTAACACAGAATAAAGAATATATTAAGCAAGGACTTCATGAGAAAATGGAGAGGGAAAAGTAGGTATAATTTTTTTCTACTGTGGACAAAAAGCAGGGAGACAAATTACAATACAGATGTTCAGATAAATACCAGTCATAACCATAGAACAAACTTCCTGTAGAAAATGAAAATTGTGGACTAGACTGATGATAGCAGATCTACCATTTTAGCCAGGGAGCAGATAGAATCTATTTGAAGACTTACAGTGGAATTTTGAACTACTAACCATCCCCTCTCAATATTAGTCATACGATTTTTTTTCCAGATTTGAGCACCATTAATAAGTATCAGTTTGAACTCTACTACATTCGTATTAAATATATACCCTTATTATAAGAAATAAAATGCATAGAGCTGAAAACTGTGTTAATCTGCTTCCAAAAAGGCCTTCACTAAACTTTGGGCCTTACATTTCTGCTGTAACTGACCCAGTATTCAGCGTTATATGCCACTAATTAGCACTATAATTACAGTGTGTGATTTTAATTAACAAACTAGACACTTTTCATCACTAAGGGAGTTAAAATTATCAGCTTTGCCTCCTGTGGGATCTAGTCTTAAGTTTTCTAAAAACATCATTTTTGTACACTCAAGATTTTTAACTCACATGTTAAATAGGTGCTCTGAGGACACCAGTCCACAGAACATACAAGCCTAGGAGAATGGGTCTGTCCAGGGAGTTTAGTCATCCAGTTCATTCCTTATTTCCTTCTGACTTGCCGGTATAACTGTAATGTGGAGAAGCAAATACCTTTCTCCATACACGGTGTAGCTCTATGTCCATTCATTTTATAACACTTTTAGCTATCAATAAATAAGGAAGAACGAAAATAAAATAGTTTGAAGGATAGGTAACAATCTATTCGAGAAGGAAGACTACATTAAATGGGATAGTTCTATTTTTAAGAACAAAAATATTTATTTTTTAATATAAATGAAGCATTTTCTGAACATTTTTTTGTTTCAATTTATTTGAAATAGCGTTTTGTTACCTAAGAACATCTTATTATGAATTTCTAGGGTGACTAATGAAAACATTCTTCAGCTTCCTGGCTAAAGTTGTCGATCTTGGTTCTTCATTTTCTTAACTGTCCCTATGATTTGAGACACATTCTGGACACCCTGTATCCTCCTGGCATGAAATAGACTGGAATTTGAGAGAAGTGTCAGTTCTGGTAAGGTTGGATCTGTATAACTGAAACAAGATTTACAAATTCATCAAAAAAAGCACATATCTTCCTATCTCCTTATAACTCAAAAGTCTTTTTTATAAGGCATATTCCTGTATTCAGATAATAATTCTTGCAGTATCTGTAAAACTAAACATTTAAACTAATAACCTTACCTCAGTTGAGCCCCACCAGACACATTGCTGTGCACTTCTGTTAAAGAGATGGCAAATGACTCACGTTTATTTATATTTGGTGTAGCCCGAAATGAAATTACTTTACTTAGATCACCAGAGGAAAACAGAACAATACCTGAAGAAAAAGAGAGAGAAGAGAGAGGGCACAATTCAAAGTCACTAAATAGAAATTCTCATTCTACCTGAGTATATTCTAAGATAGGGTTTGTAATGACAATTACACTCCATTGAGCAAGAATAAATTGGTTAACGGTCTTTCCTATAGAAAATTGTCCATCAGGGCATAGCATTATGTTTACCTCACAGACGGGTAACTATGACATTTAGTTCTTTCTCTACTCATAAATTAAACATACTGCATACAAATAAAAATCAGACCATACAATTCCATTCTAATGACACTTTATCAGAATAGGAAATACTTATAGATACCAGTAAGTAAAACAGTTATGCAACTATCATACCTCATTCCTCAGACAAGCACTTACCAAAAGAAGGAGTAATATTGCCTGGCTGAATGAAGTCAGTGGTTAGTTCTGGTGGGTATCCTGAAATCCAGTTAACTGTTACAGAGCCATAAACTCCTTTTCTGGTTATGACAGCCTGACCTGTTCCTGCTACAATATTTGTAAGTTGTAAAATCACAGATTCAAAGCCAACCTGGGGAAACATAATAGATTTTCTTACAGAAAATGGAGTAAGAATAGGCAATAACACGTGTTCAAGCATACTATTTATCTTAAAATAGGTATTTCACAATCATTTTACATGTAGTTGTGATGCAAGTTTGGTGTACATGGACAGATACACACACACAAACAATTCCTTAACAAGTCTACAATAATTCTGTTAAATCTGAGATTTTTGAAAATTAAATCTCAGAGAAAGGAACTAAAATGACTTGGATTTCACTGCTGAAAACATTAAAAGAAAAACTTAACAACCTGTCCATGATGCTCACAGTCATAGCTATAGTACTGTACATATATACACATATGTGCGTGCACAGAGATAGAATTAATAACTATGTATCCAGTGCAAATAAATTATTGCCATATGATACTGTTAACAGAATATTCTTGCTGGCATAATCTACTTTTCCTTTTCTTTAAGCAGCAGATGAAGTTAAAAGGATAATTCTCACATTCTAAAAACAGTAACTGGATAAGCATTGACAGAAACAATATTGAAGTAAATAATACTAATAGAGCTTTAAGTTTAATTAGAAATTAAAAGAAATATCAGGGCTTTAGGACAAATAAAATTACTTAATAAAAATTTAAAATTTAAGAATTCCATTTCTTTGCCTGATACATAAGAAATCATCTGAAGCACATATACCACATATATAAGCAAATTCTCTTTTCTCACTGTCATATGAAGTGGCCAAAGTTAGAATTTCTCACACTGTGATTAGACAAATGTATTGCCAACTGCATTAAAAACCAACATGATTTCTACTTCTTCCAGCATAAGGCACTATACAGTTGCTGTTATCAACTTTGGAGCTGCTGTACGTAAAGGCAGAATTAGTTCAGTATAACTTCTTGTCTTTTAAATCTCAGCACATTCATTTCATGTAAAGAAAAATATACACATTTTGCTCTGAAAGCAATGCCTCCCATTTTATTATGTCAGCCCATTAGGCAGATGTTGGTGGTATGGCAGTGCAGGTTGAACCTTCCCGCCAACATCCCTTTACATGTTGTTGCCATGTCACAGATGGCAGCAGAGGGGCAGTCCAGCAGAAAGGTATCTGACATGGAAATATTAGTAAAACAAAGGTGTGTCACTGAATTCTGCCATGCAGAAGAAGAGGCATCCACTGACATTCACTGATGCTTGCTGAACACTTATGGAGACCAAACAGTGAGTGTGAGCACAATGACGGGCAGGTGGTGCACATCAGCAGTGGCAGCAGCAACATGAAAGACAAGCCATGTTCTGCATGGCCATGCACAGTTGTCACATCACAAAATGAAGAGCATCTCAATCAGCTCATCTGTGCAGATCAGACAATGATGATGACTATGTTGAAAAATAGTGTGTTGTAGCTGAGAACTTGCTCTACCAAATAATGTAATTGTGTTCTATGTATCTGTTGCAGTTTCCAAGAAATAAATAGAAGGCATTACTTTCAGAATGAACAGCATAAATTAACTGCAATATTTACACTATTTACTGTTGCTTTAAGTACACCGATACATCAAAATTATTGGTTGGAGGGACATTTTCATGCAGTATTAACATATTTCAAATTAAAATTAAAATTAAAAAAGTTGTATGCAGAAAAGAAGTACACAGTATAATAACTACAGAAGTCTTGTCAGTCATTAAAATGGTTGCAATGAAAAAAACTTTAAGGAGCAAAATGAATCCTAACTGCACTTATCTTTTGAATGCAGTGTGGTAGAAATATTATAGCAGCCTGATATATTATACTGACCTGTGAATTGGCAGCTTCTGCAGGAACAAGCACAACAGCTGACTTTGCTTTTTCTAATATTTTAGGCACATCCTTGGCACTTTCTCTAACCAGGCTTACATTAATCAGTTCCAGAGTAAAATTCAAGCCCAATAAAAGGAATGCCTTTGAAAGGGAAAATTTAAATTAAAAGGTAGAAAATTAATTCCAGAAAAAGCATGATATCCACCAGTTAAAAAAATTAAGTAACACACTGATGAGCAACTTTTGTTCTACTTACATACAAAAGCAGTGTTTTCAAGACTAGCATTTTATTACCTTGCACAAGTAAAAAAAGAACAAGTAAAACATCAATGTTGAGAATGTGATTGACTAGCAGTTTGTTGAACTTGCAAAGCATTTATTTTCATTTTAATAAATTGTAAATGGAAAAGCGGGGCTCAGCTCACTTTTCATCTTTACAATTCTGTGAATGTAATTCTGTACTAAGTATACCAAATAACCTGACAATGCTGACAACAAATATATCTGCTGCTTTATATGTCAGCAGCAACAGATCATTACTGACAATCCAAACTGAAAACTTGAGAAAGTATTTTTTGATGCATAAGATAATAAAATATGGAAATTATTATAATGAAGATCAGTGATGGAAACAAAATGACTATATGAACGTATGCATAGAAGTGATTTTGCAAATATTATCTGAAAACACAATATTTAACTTCACTTCTTCCCAGAAATAGGGTATTCATAAGGTTTAAAATGTCTTCTTTGCTCTTTCACGGTGGATACTGCTGAGAGTATAGCAACATTCCAGCACATTTGCACTGTTATTAAGACAAAAGTAGATACTAGATAGCTAAGGATCTAAAAGCATTATACAGACCTGGCTGCTTATTGGCACTCTTTTCACACCAAAGCTGGCACCATCTTTTATGGTGAGATATCCCCTCTCATTTTCAGGTGCAATTAGTTCTTTTTCTTGATGAGACAAGATACGGTATTCAGTGACCACTTCTCCAAATGTCCCAGCATGCCGAGTTACATTAATCTGAACATACCGATCAAGGTCTTTCTCTACCAATACTGACTGCTGATCAGAGTACAAGGCAAATACTCCATGGGGATCATCATTTGCAAAAACATTTATCTTTGAAATTCTTTTATCTTCATCTAGATCTGCTCCACCTTCTACTGAAATCAGTTGAACTATATAGTTCTCATCCAGTTCAGGAACATCATCAGGTAACAAGTAGATAATTATTTCTGCTGTACTCTGTTGGTCAGCAATGACAACAGATCCCTCTGTTGTAAGAAAGTCACCTGTCATGTCAAATTCACTATATAATTTCCAATGAACCTGAAATGAGTTAAAAAAAGCAAAAGAAAACAAAGCTAAACACAGAATCAGAAACCAACATATACTTTGAAACATGTTTAAAAATTGTATATATTTTTGACACCATGATCTTTGCTGTCTGTCCTCTTTCCAAGATTCTTTAGAATAGAAATTTGTCAAGAATCCTCATTTAATACAGCATATTCATTCACTAATTAGAAGAAAATAAATATATAAACAGAAATTAAATAATTGTTAAAACACAGACTTCAAAAATACTTCAGTCAAGTGAGGAGACTGAATATGATTTTTCAAACCACAGACAGTTACGCTGAACCCCTTGCTAAATTCAGTCTGAAAGGCAATATTTCAAAAATGCATTGGAGCAACAATCAATTGAAAGAAACAGAAAAAAAAAAAAAAATCCCTCCGTTCTGTATATGTTCATATTTCAGATTATTATGCAGATGATTTCAGATTATACTGTTTATTAGAAAAAGAAATAAGAATGAGAATACCGTTATGTTTCCCAAAGTGCCTTGAACTCGTCTGAGAAACAGTGTAATACTTAGTGGTCCCTCCAGTGCTGAGGGCTCTGTATAGTTCCGCTCAAATAACGATTCAGAAGCAAACTGTACAATTCCATTGGGATCACCAAACTTCTGTATCTGTAAACAAAGCAAACAACAACAACAAAATGAGAAATGTAGAATGAGCTATATTCTTGCCAAAATCATTAAAGTTTTTATTGTGCTATAGGGCATATATCTACTAACTTTTCCTATTGACTTATCTCATCTGAATATTCAAGAGTTCAGTAGAAGTTAACAGAGTCTGTGAGAAGACTTTAAAAAACAGAATACAGGAACATCGGGGTATCAGAAGGGAGTGATATCAAGCCCGCATTCTTTCATGCACACATAGAAGATTGTTGTAGATCTGTGGATAACTTTCTGATTTGTGAGATCCTACAGTGATACCTGAAGAAGTCTGAGCAAGTCCTAAATTAAATACGAATCAAAATTTGATGTAGTCAGTAAATACACAAGCATCTTTGTCTTTGATTAATTGAAACTTCATATGAAAACAAACAGCAATGACAATTCTGTCCACTCAAGCCTCACTTAACAATAACACCTTGTACATTGTGGTTAAAACATATTTGAGAGAGTAAATTAATTTTGAAAGAACTAGGAAAGAGTATCCCATGGAGATAAGATTAAGACACAGTAGAGAAAGCATAGGTGTCCTCCTTTCAGTTTTCAACAAACTCAAAATTGTCCAGACCTCTTTGATGGGATCAAAAGACACAAGCAGACAATTGTATTTATAATAAGTCATTGATGCAAATTTATTCTAAAATTTTTACCATTAATCCAATCTACCCTCTAAAGCTTCTTTATGTATCTTCTGAATACTTGGAGAGAAACAGAGATAATAGTACACAAAGAGAACTAGAAATCCAATTTGTAAATATTTTGATCATTTTTGTATTCTTACTATACTGATGTAGTTTCAGCAGACATAAAGGCTGTATAAAGAATCAAAGACTTCTGCCTTGGATTAACTGTGCACAAACACCGGTGCCTACAGAGAAAACAATTTATTGGTATGCAAGGTGAAATATGGTATGTATTGGTATGCATTTCATTTCAAGGAATAAACCTGGTCTCTGAAGGACAACCTGTGGAAAAAGGAGTTAAGTCCATCCATACATTACAATGTATTGCCAGAAAAATCATTACAGCCAACCTTCTTTTTTTTTTTTTTTTTTCCCCCTCTCTCCTTATAAAAGTCTCAAATAGAAATCCTTCACTTCAGTATCCCCAAAGGAAGTATTTGTCCTTGACAGCTTCTCTGCCTTACTTCTCTATCTGTCTTTCACTCTGATCTTTTTATTTCTTTAACATGCACTAGTGGGAGGAGAAGTAGAAGTCAAAATGGTGAGTTAGGATTTAAGACCCATTCATGCTCCCACCAAACAGAACCACAAACTTCTGCAAGGAAGGCAGCCAAGTCAGGGCTCATATACTAATTTTTACTGATAGATTATTTGCAACATTTTCTTAAGAACTCAAGTCGTACCAATACATGTGAGTAGAAGAGGCAAGAAAGCCAGATGACAACCTATGCAATCAATATGATTAATTTTGAAAAGTTTCATAGGATAAATGCCCATATCGACAGAGATCTCAGAAAACAGAAAAGCAATGATGACTTACTATTAGTGTAATGTTGTTTGCCTTTGGATCTATTTCTGTTTCACCTTTGACAAGGCTCAGTCTAATAACAAATATCTCCTGAACTTCAATTTCTTCATGAGGATAGATTTGTAGATGAATAGTTCTCAGACCTCCTTCTCCTTCTCCAAAATAAAATGATCCATTCACAGGGTCACCAATGTCACTATTCAAAGGAGATAAAATGTCTTCTGAATTGGGCCCTAAAATGTCCCAATTAATCTGTGGAAGATATCAGTTTCAGAATAAGAATGATGCTATGTTACAGTAGGCCTCCAAGAGTGAGAAATGACAGAGCGCCATAAGTGAACTAAAGTTCCTTAATCTGGTAAGTAATGATGTTTAAATCTTTGTTGATAATAATGAACCACAAAATATTCATAATGAATTGCATGTAGAAAATTGAATAATCCTTTGGAAAAATAAGCATATCAAATTACAAAAGGAAATTGTGAGAGTTAACCACAATGCCAATTTATTAAAATCGATATATGAATAATATAAAAAATTAGTTAGAAATGAAACAAATTTCTTAGGAACACCTAATGGGAAAAACACAGGCCAGTTTTTAATTCTGCCCTTGTCCAGATTTTGTTTTTGTGAAGCTCCCCAAGTAAATCACTTCATATGAAATGTAATATTTGACCTAAAACAAGAAACACTTATTTAATATTCTGCAATAAAAGTTTTAAATTCCTCAAATGATTTTTTTGTACTTTTGCAGCCTGATTAAAAACTAGAATATTTTCAAGATTTCCTATAATTACATTTGCTTTTGAGGAGGCTATATTCTGCACTTTAAATATCATTTTTATTTTGATTGCTTTAACTTTTTTCTGCTTTCTCTAATGACTTTTAGAGGAAAAAACTCAAAGACGACTAAGACAATTTTTACATGGGAAAGAGATTTTCCACTATTTGTCAAGACTATGAAAGGCTTGCCTTGGTTCTTACTTATATCTTTCTTTACCATTGGTCTGGAAACCTAGAAAATTCATAATGCACATGTTATTGATTAAAAAAAAATTGACCAGCTTGAGGAAGTAATTCAACTAAATTAAACGAAACCTGTAGTGTATTATATGGACCATGTTTCTGGCAGGATTAGGAGCTAGTTTAAAACATTAGACCACAATAAAAGTTGAAAAAAAGAAGGAGAAATAGAAAAGTTTAATTACATTTTTTGCTATACTGCAACTATACATAACAAAGGCATATAAAAAGCTCTAATTATCCCATCAGAACTCAGTCACAAAAAAGTTTTTGTAGGAAAATGCAGGAGCTTTTTGATCTAGCAGCTGGAAAGCAACCAACATCTTTGACAGCCAAAGCCTACCTGTGTGTCTCCTAACAATCTTCCAGTTCTTTCCAGCACCAGAGACAATGTCATGGGTGTATCAGGATTGGGAAGTATAATTCGACTTTTGTTAAGAAATCGGACAATGCCCAGGGGTGAGTCACTTTTAGCAATAGTGATCTGGCTCACTAAATGGAGTCCAAGGACTGCTCCACCAGTAGCTCCTGTCAGTTGGATTTCAAATTGCTCTTCAAATTCACTGGAAGAAAAAAAAAAAAGAGAAACAAAAAAAGAGAGAGGGAGAAAGAGTATGAGAAATCCCCAGCATCATCACACACACACACACAGATACACAGACACACACACACAGACACACACAAAGATAATTAAAAATATACTCAATTCAACTAATTCAATCATGGAGCTCTCTGAATATACGTAAAAGTCAGCTCAGTAAACTTACAACAGAAGATTCCTCCTTTTTAGAATGAATGATGATAAGTGAAATAAAAAGAATGTCCTACTCCCCATTTATATTAAATACCTAATATCTAATAGATACCTAATAATTCCAACAACCTAACAAACTGCCTACATTTCATATGTCTATGAAACTTTAATAATAGTTTCCCTTTTCCTTTTTAAATTTAGATGCATTTTTCAGCACTGTAACAATTTCCTTTTTTATTCCATTTTTATTCCAATTTTACATATAGCTACACTGCTTACTCTTAAAAAAAAAAAAAAAAAAAAAAAAGATTACTGAACAGTAATTTAATAATAAATCATCTGAAAAATAAATTACCTTTCTTCATCATCAATAATAGAGATGTAAATAAAAGTCTGGTTCTGACCATGATAAAACGTGACTGAGTTGTTATGGATTACATAGTCAACTCCATTGGGAAGTGCAGAAATACTTCGAGAAAGAAAATCAGCTGTTACATAGCCATAAGTTCCACGCTTCCTCACAACAGGAATCATAATTACTCCAGCATCTTCCTCTACTACAAGAATGATTAAGAAAAAATTACTGTAGATATTTTATGTCAGTTTTTTTAAATGTAAAGAATTATGTATTTAAGTCCATTTCTTTCTGTATACAAAAGAAGTTTCCACAAGCATTACTTTTGAAAATTGAGTACTCCACTTCTAACATAATTTTAATGCAAGCAAGAAGTTGTTTCTTGTAGCACAGTAATACTTTCTTCTTCAATCAAGATGGAAGTTTATGTTCTAAAAACTTTGCCTGCTATTTTTCCATTTAGATTCTTAGTCAGTGACTAAAGGTAATGTAAGCATCTTCTATCAAATAAATAATAGGAAAAAAAAAATCTTATGCTGCTATAATATCATTTGTGTGAATGACAGGTTATTGTTTCTTTAAAAAAAAAGTTTACACATTAAGTCACTTCATCATACTATATTATGCTCATTTTATCTTCAGCAAATGTAAAAGCAAATCTTCAGGATTAGGGAAAATCAGTGTGATAAATGAAGAAAATTTCAAATAGGTTTTAAACACTTAAGCAGAGAAGCTATCATCTTAGGAACAGTTTAAATTCAAAAGAACTACTCAAGAGCAAATTGAAATGGAGCTAGGTATGTTGAGAATCTAGGAAAATAATGACAAGGAACTCATTTTATTAATGACTTTTATAGTCAATTATTTTAGCTGATATGAAATGTCAGTTCATTTCTTTCATATTTTTACTTACTTCAAGGGAGCAATAAACAGGTTTCAACTATTATTCAACTACATATGTATTAAGCCAGCTCAGTTACTATTCTTTAATGACAGTACGCACATAAGAAATAGCTGAGTGAAACAACTGTTACACTGTCTTATGGTAATTTCCACTTAAAAAAACAAAGTAGTTTCAGTGTTACTGCTGAGCGTCTCAAATGCAAACTGAGAATATTCTGGGTAAAGGAGACCTGTTCTTATGATGAAAGACACTCAAACACATAGCAGGCCACTTCTCTCATTCCCTCACTCTCAAGTTTATCACCTCAGGTACCTAAGTAATACAACCTGAACCATCATGATACAGCAACAGAAAGTATGAGGAAAAATTGCTGAAGAACTTATTTACAGCTGCTTACATACTTGGTATCAAAACTCAGAAAAGATGTTGGAAGTTAATTCAAAAAATTTATGTCCGAGTCACAGACTTATCTTCTAACTCACACTGAAAGAGCAAACTAACCTTGTACAAAGATGTACTGCGGATCAAATTCTATGATGCCTTCTGCATTGTCACTTTTTGCTATAGTTACTCGCACTGTGGATATATTTCCTATTACAGGAGGTTGATCCAACTGTAGACCATTTTCTTTGATGGTAAAATCAAATCCACTTTCAAGAACACAATAAAAAATAAGAATAATAATTAAAAAGTTGTGAAAGTATTAAGATTAATGTCATTTTAATGATTACTACAAATACTTCTATTTTCTGAGAGTAATTACCAAAGACTTTCTTGCCACATTTTCTTAAAACATTATATGAAAAAAATAATAGTTTACTTCCAGCAATGTTTATCTTTCATTTTTTTTTCCCAGGAAACTCTAGAAAATATTAATGAGATTATACTCTAAGCAGATTAACAATCTATTAGCAGTGAAACCCATGCACTATACATGACAACATGCTTCAAAAAAGAAGCCTTGAAAACTTCAATCAGGAAAATCTTAACTAGTAATTGTCTGTATAGGTCATTCCCATTGCTAATATATTACATGGCTATCATAACGACCTATGTTTGTATCTCTATTGGAATCCACAATTTTGATGATCTTTCTTAACACAGTCTCTGTAAATACAAACTTTTAATACAACTTCTCACAAAGAGATATAAATGAAAAGAGAATGAATTGGAATTGTAAAAAATATAGTTCCACATCAAAGTAATTCCATACAGTAACAAGTTCACATACTCCACATTTGTGTTTTTATTCTACATAATGTATTGTTACACCTGCTTGAAATACAGAGCTGCATTCACTGCTTTGCTGTTCCTTCTGGTAGAAAGTGTTCTTTGTGATACTACTAAACCACATATAGTATTTATAGCATAATAAGCATGTCTCAAATAAGCATGTCACAGGATGTATAACAATCTTGTTAACACCTGTTCCTTAAACGTTCAAGAAATGAATGCAATGTATGGGCTCTCAATCAGCAAAATGTTCATGCTAATATTAAGAAAACTGATTTCCTTATTTCTATCATGATCACTGTTACAGCTGTCTTATGAAGTTTTACATTAGGACAGCTAAGTTTCATGGGTGACTTTATGCGGTTAAGTGAGCTATCACGTTTTTCAGCTTGTTATCGATCTGATTTGCAACAAGATATTCTTTCTTTACCTTCCTTGAAGTTCCACTTTGGTAATCATCACTGAAAAGTCTTCAGGACCTTCAGGAATGTCATCATCATGAATTTCAATCAAAATCATTTTACTCTCCTCATCTGGTTCAAATAATAACTCCGTTACTCTGGAAGTGAAATCAATTCCCTCCTCTGCAGTTCCATTTATTATCTGAAACCAAAGATGCACTTTGCCATAGCATCCTCCGAAACGCACAATAGTGATGTTAACCTAAGGGGAAAAAACACTTATTAAATAAATAAATGTATTAGAAATTTTGCTCTTCTATTACAGTTGCTTTCAAAACTGTTCTAAAGGCATCTTTTCAACAGGTTTAGAGATAACATCTGCTTTTAATAAATACAATTTATATGCAGCCTAGCAGATGGCACTCTTTCTCAGAGTGTTAAAAATGTCCAAAAGCCATGATAGAGCTTGTGCTATGATAAGCACAGGAAATCTTTGATTTATTTTTCTTCTGAAGTTAAGCATAAAAATAGCAAAATACTGAAATCTTTGAACATTTTAAATAGGAATGAAGTTTAATCTAATACCCATCTTTCTTCTTCTGTTGTTTGGAATAATTCTCTTGAAAATGTAAACTCTCCATATGGAAGATCACTGGCAGCCATGGTAATATTTGCTATGTTGCTAGATTCATTTATTAGTGCTCCATCACTGATTCCAGTTAGTTGAAACTGGTAATAACGCTTCTCCTCAGGATGGTCATCATCTAGAGCCTAGGGAGGATGAACAAGGAAAGTTAAAAGGATTTATACTATATCCTGGGAGACAGATATAATTAGTTTCTAACCAGGATAATATCTAAATAAAAGAAAGGGTTCAAAGTAGCTACTAGTGTAAAATCTGTCTCAGACCTGTATTAGAACAACTGCAGCAGACTGTCTATCTCTCATCGTCAAGGTTCCCGATATTTCAGCAAATTCTGTATGATGAGGAGGTGTTATATTCCAGTGTATCGTGACCTCACCAAAAATCCCTGGGCCACGTGTCAGGCTGCAGTTAAGAACACAAATACAGATTTTATTTTCTTCCTTTAATAGTTAATATCCAATCCAGAGAAAAACAGTATATCATACTATTGAGAACAACAGAAATGCTATTAGCACTGTGAAGATTGAGTTATTTCATAAAAGAGAGAACATTTTTGCAATTTTTGGTTCCTGTGATGTGTATTCTGACCTTCTTTAAAAATACACTTCTAAATTTAAAAATAGTTCACATTTTAGAAGAAATAATAATATACAGCAATCAAGAAATGCTTGAAAAATATGGATCTTCATTGCTTCTGAGATTCTCCTTTACCTGGAAAAATGAGAGATGCACCTACCTAATAAGAGCAGTCCCATTATAATTTCCAGAAGGTTCTCCAATCAGAACATGCTTGAATGATTGACCTATTCCAACCACCCCAGAAGCTCCTTCATCACCCAAAATAATGATGGTGGCCAGACCTAGAACAAAGCTTCTAACATTAAATATTTTTTTGTAATGTACAACTGAAAGTTAACTTATGAAGATTTTATGAATTTTAAGCATTGGCTACCTAGAAAATTGTAGAAGCCCCATTGTTTAATCTTCAGAATTTGATAAGATAATGCCTTCAGCGAACTCTCCTTTAGTATGGTTTTCACTGAATAAACACCCTGTATGGTCCCTTCCGAACAAAACTAACCTATGGTTCCTACAGGTCCGAAGCTGGGCTTGATTGTTGCTTTTTGTTAAAGAATACTTTTTGCACAGTGTTAAATGTTTTGTCTTTCTGTATTTTGTTTGCTTTTTCATGCCTGAACACAGCAGTTTATATCAACAATTTAGAACGAAAAAAATATGACCTAAAATTCTTACTCATTTCTACAGACAAGTAAACAACTTATGAAAAAAGACTGACATTCCAAAACAATCAAAGAACCCACATCAAAGAACACTGCAAAATTCAACATACATAAGCACCACAGTCTAATACAAGCAGGCTTAGTAGAATTCTCATATGAAGTGTCTAAAAATTAGAATGTAGTTAAATAATTATTTACCATTTACAGGGGATATTTCTGCATCACCAGCAGAGACTAGCTGAATGGTAAATGTTTCATTCCCTTCCAGGATACCATCTTCTACAGCACGAATAACAATAAACTTCTGGGATTCAGTCTGGATCATGTAAAGAACCAGAAGATATATATATATATTTATGCATATACGAAGTGAAACTAAAAAAAAAATACAGTATTATACTATGCAAAAAACTACTTGTCATCAACAGCCTATGTTAAGTATATGCATATGCTTGGTATATTTGAACCTTTTTCAAAAAAATACATTTCTGATTAACCTAAAATGTTTACTCACAGGTTAATAAACAGTAAAAATTGCCACATAAACATTATGTTCTATCCAAGAAATTCTCTGGATATTCTGCAATACTCTGCAGAGGCTGAACATTCTTCATGCTTCTCATTTCTTCAAATTTATTTTTTGATTGTATGATAATGGAACCGAATCGTTCCTATAATCATTACTCACATGGAGTATATTGCTGTTCCTCTTTCTTAACAGTAAAAACAACTCATATTTGAGAAGCATGTTTTCCTGTTGGTAACATTACATTGCTTTAAAAGGAGCATAACAGTTTTCCTCATTGGTTCAAACTAGCCTTTTGGTAGTGTAATCTCTAGCTTAATAAACATCAAACAAAAATAAAAATCAAACAAACAAATTCATGAAGAAAAAATCTGTAGATTTAAAAATAGTAAATCAATTATTGTTGTATCAGAAATACCTCATTAAAGTGAAGGGTACCATTCAGAGGGGTCAGATCATGTTCAGCAGCCTCCTCGAGAATCCATATCACTTTAACTGCTCCCTGTCCACCAGGACTTCGATTTACAGTGAGCAGTGCAATCGCTGCAGAGTCATCAGGTGTCTGAGGTTCCTTCAGTATTATCTGAAGAAAAAAGAAGAGGAGGAAGATGAAAAGTTTTTATCAAATGCATTCATAATGACTAGGAAGGAAGGAAGGAAGGAAGGAAGGAAGGAAGGAAGGAAGGAAGGAAGGAAGAAAAATATAAGAAAAGCATTATTAACAACAACGTAAACCAAGGAAAATAATGGAAATCAGTAAGAAGATAACAGGCATAGGAAATGTATTGAATTCTGCTAGCAAATATGAGTCACTCAAGCTACTTTCATATGGTCTGTGAATCAAAACAATCACAGACAGTAAGTCACAAGCAGTCACCAGTAAAATGGACAGCAGAAGAATCATTCAGTGACAATCATTAAGCTGAGAAATGTTTTGTAATTTCTTTCCAAACTTTAGTTTTAGTAATGAAGATTATTAAAAATCCATTCTAACATTCAGCAAAACACTAAAAATCCTACCTTGAACATGCTGGATTATTAGTACACAATTAAAATGCACTAATACAGAAGTCCAAGTCTGTGCTACAGTGCTGTCATTGCCATAATCATCAAACACAGTTAATAAAGACAAGCACTAATATGCCTTCCATAGAATCACAGAATGGTTTGGGTTGAAAGGGACCTTCAAGATCACCTTCAAGATCATCTAATTCCAACCCCCCTGCTATAGGTAGAGACACTTCCCACTAGACCAGACTGACTCAAAGCCCCATCCAGCCTGGCCTTGAATGCCTCCAGGGAGGGGGCATTCACAACCTCACTGGGCAACCTGTTCCAGTGTCTCACACCCTCATTGTAAAGAATTTCTTCCTAATATCTAGTCTAAATCTACCCTAGTTTATAAACATTTCCCCTTGCCATGTCTCTATATGTGCTGATAAAAAGTGCCTTCCCAGCTTTCCTGTAGGCCCTCTTCAGGTACTTGAAGGTCACTATAATGTCCCCCAAGAGCCTTCTCTTCTCTAGGCCTTAGAGCTCCACATCTCTCAGCTGTTCTCAGAGGGGAGGTGTTCCAGTCCTCTGATCATCTTCCTGGTCTTCCTCTGGACCTACTTCATATCCTTCTTGTGTTGTGGGCCCCAGAACTGGATGCAGTACTCCAGGTGGGGTATCATGAGAGCAGAGTAGAGGGGCAGAATCACCTCCCTTGATCTGCAGCTGGTCATACCTCTCATGATGCAACCCATTTTTAGTGAAAGAATTGTATTCCAGTGCAATGAAGGGTTATCAAAATCAGCTATGTGTTAGTTACACAAATCCAAAATTCTGCCTTTGCAGAAAATAGTACAATCCAAATCAAATCAAACTCACATTTTTTTCTTCAAAACCAAATACTCCAACAGGAGAATCATTTGGTGGAATAGCAACAGTTACTAGTGTTTCATCTCCAAGTCTTGCACCACCGGTTACTCTCACTAAAGCAATTTTGAAGGTCTCAAGGAATTCAACTTCACTATCATCTATGATTGTAATTTCTATTTCTCCTGTATCCTGAAAGAAAAACAGAAAAAACAAAAAAACAAAAAAAAAAAAAAAAGAAACTAAATTTCATTTCTAATATTCTGTATGAATTGTTTGAAAAATGTGAAATGTAAAATAAATAAATTCTGTATAATTATAGATAAGCACATTGTTGATTGTGCTCATTTCTTACTATACTTGTATATTTTAATATACAGATAGACATCACTGCCATTCAGCCTCAATTCTGCTCAAAAAACATACTTTTCTATTGCCAAACACCAGTTCTCTTGACATAAACATCTTTTGTATACACCAAGTATTTGCAGGGACAGTATGAAATTTAAAACTAAAGAAACATACAAGCGTATTCTGAAAGTTCGTAGAGAAGACAGATTACGTTACAGATTTTTAGGCTAAAGGCCTTTATTATAAAAAATTATGGCTTCATTTAAAGGTACCAAAGGCATGTATTCCTACCTGGCTATATTTTAGCCAAATATATTACAAGTACAAATACATTGTGCTTTTCCATGTTAAAGCACTGATGTCAGGAGAATCATTCATATCCTGAGACCATAAATAAAATTATTTCAATGAATGGATAAAAATTCTACTGGTAGAAAATGTGAGATGCTCTTAAATTAAAAACCAGAGATAAACTTTAAACAAGTTCCCACCTGCCCATCTGCAAATGTAAGGTTTCCAGATGATGGTGTAAAGTCCTCAAACCCAGCAGTTAAAAGAATGGCTTCCCAATACAGAACTGCAGACCCAAACCTCCCAGCCTGTCGAACAACTGGAAGTTTCAGTATATTATGTGGTGGTGGTACCTCATAAGCAGCAACAGTTCCAGTTTTATCCTGTAAATTCAACAACAGCAACAAAAACAACAAACTAGTGAGTATCACAACTGCTATTTATTGGTTCACTTTTGGATAATAAAGAAGCCATAATCACTTGTAAACTGATCTGAGATCGTGGAGTTCCTCTCAGAAAATTATGAGACTCTCATTTTAGCAGTTCTAGCTCCCTGATAAGGTTCGTACACTAATTGTGAAGAAGATTCCAAGACTGAACTGTTGTCTGACATCTGACCTATCCATTCAGAACAATTTACTGTCATAAGCCCTATTAGAATAACATCAAAAGTGGTCTGAAATCACAGACTCTCCTGCTGGAACGTGACTTTAAATATTTTTCATTCAAGTTCACTTACCTTTGTAACACTGAAACTAAATATTCCTCTTGCATCATCATTTTCTTCAATTGTTATTTCAGCTATTTCTAAACCAATCCTTTTCACACTTGGCTGACCTCTAGTGAGAGAATCAATCAGTTTCACATCAGTAATATTGATTATAAATCCTTCCTGTAATTCTGGAACATTATCCTGCAAAAATATTTTTAAGTGTCACTTTTTTTTTCCACTACAAAGTACTATGATTAAATTATAACTATAAATTTTATAACTTTATACCTTTACAAACTTTATAAGTTTGATAAAATTAGAGTACATGCATAAAGATGACTACTTCTGAGATGCTGTCCGAGAATTTGGGATTATATAACCAATTCCTTACTTCACATCATGTGAAAAGTAGACGAGAATACCTTTGCTAAATTTTAGAAGCTGAAGTTGGTAGTCAGATTCCAAACCTGCTGAAACAATAGTAAGAATTGCTGGCTGATACTTCTTTCTCCTATCTATAATACAAGTTGGTCAGATTTCAGAAACTAAAGCAATACATATAAAACAATATCTCCATGCTGAATGTATTCAAATAATTAATCTATTTTTAGTGAAAAATTAACATTTTTCAAACTACAGAACAAATCTGTTGATAAGCATGTAAGTTAAAATAAATTCTCCATAAAACTGCAGTAAGTTTCAAAAAACAACAGGTATCTAAGACATTTATATTTTTCTCCTTTTTAATAATAATAAATTGGGTAGCAGGACAAAGCAAACAGCAAACTACTTAGTTCCTTCCCAGTTACCAGTATACAAATTCTTTTGAAATATATGACTGCAATTCCTAGTAATTTACCACTGTCTGATGATGCAAGAATCCTACCTTCACCTCTTCTAGAATACTAAGTCCTTTTCTTAAAATAGAAACAGTAATATTCTTCATTTCTTTAAATTAAATTATTGGCTGAAGTCATTAAGGCTACTCACAGGTAAAATAGTGATCATGACAGAAGTTATTGTTGCATTCTCCATCATAATAATTGTCTTCTTTTCTATTATATAATCCTCATTCTCTGTTGCTTGGTTGGAGAGAGGAAGGTCCAAATTAGGTTTGGTACTCAACTGAACTGCAATCTCTCCAACAAATCCTTGCTCACGAACAATTTGCAAAGTAACAGTTGAATTCATTTGTCCTATACAAAGGAGGGAAAAAGAATGAAGAATGTGACTGTTTTAAACCCTTGTTCTGCTTGATTTCCAGCTTGCCTGATTGTACTGGAGCTCCTTACTAGAGACAACTTCAGCTCAGCTTAGCAACAGAACCATACTTGGCTTATGCAAATGAACAGACATGGATGGTGTAAACACAATAGTTTGTAAGCCAGGAAAGTATTTTAAAACAGTATCTAGAGGAATAAAGAAATACTGAGTATTTACAGTTTTAAATGTTTGCTATACAAAAGCTTGTTTCAGTATTGCTATTCTTATTCATTTTTCCTTCAAAACTCCAATTTCACTATTTTTGCCTGGTCTTTACTTGCCTAGGAGATCACCATTAATTCTAATAGCTGTAGCTAGTCACTCTAGTTGTACGTTTTAGAAAAAGTCATTCTGACTTTCTGTAACACAGATTTTGAAGAAAATTAGATGTACTTATATCACCAAGGTTAGGATATCTTTTCAGGGAAAGTAGAATTACATTTTTTTTTTCCAGTGAACTAAACACAACATCTAGCTAAAAGTGAACAATTGGAGAATGTGAAGAGATAAAAATCAACAGGCTTTGTTCTTCAAAATAGTTTCATCAAACTAATTATTTGTATTAATTAGCCATTAGCTATTTCACAATAGTTCATTTTCTGTTAGGAAGCAAAGAAATCCCTTCAATGCTAATTGGCCTTAAAATAGAACAGGCAAAGAGGCTTTAGCCGCACTAATATTCTGATGGAAAATGTGGAAAATGTACATCTCATAAAAAATAGTTTTTTTCTACAGACTGGATATTAAATTGCCAGGAAAATTTCAATTGGGCTTTTGAAGTATTAATAACTTATCTTTCCATTCTCCCAGCCAGCTGTTGGAAAAGCACCAACAGCTTGCAGAGGGTGCTGGAGGAATCAGCTGCCTGCATTCCTGGGCCAGTAGAGTAAGAGCTCAAGCACCACTGTAATTCTCCTCAGGCAAACCACATGTTCAGTCCTTTAAAGTCTGATATCATCCAATCAAATGAGTAAGCAGAAAACTTCAATTTTCCTGAAATGTAATTCACACTTGTTCTACTTCTTTCTGTCTTCCCCTGTCTCTTTTTGACTTATTTCCTGAGGAAGGAGTTTTTCTGTACATTATTTTAATCAGATTACAAATCTAATCAAATAGGCAAATTTGCTTTTTACATAAACAGAAGGATTCTATGTGCTGGTGAAATACAACACAGGATGCCAAGGTTTTGATAGGTTAGCCCCTATGAAATGACAAGATAATGTTGATATACACAATGTGATACACAACATGCAGTGAAATTGTATAGTTAGATATTCTTAAAGATATTTCTACAAACACATAACCAGTGTTACCTTAAAAAACAGTTACCTTAAAAAAATACACATATGTTTTAGAACAATCAAGAGAAACAGACCTACCTTCTGGCTCTGTGACTTTAACAAAGAGAGAGTTTGAATGCCAGCCAATCACACCATGTGGTGAATCACTAGGTAAAATGGTAAGTATTGCTCTTGATTTTTTGGGATCAATGATAGCTCCTCTCGTAGTATCTTGAACACCCACAGTGGTCACACGAGTGAGGGTGATAGCCACAGTCTCTGAAAGCTCTGCAGCACTGTCCGCAAGAATTGTCAGTGTGATCATGGACAGTGCCTGACCTTCTGAAAATGTAATCTAAAATGTTTTAGAGGGAGGGAAAAGAAAAAACACAAACATCTTCTCAGTGCTGCCATACCAACTATTTCACTCTGCATAACTATCAATAAAAGCAAAAACAAAACAAAACAAAAGCATGCAAAATATGAGATCTAGAAGAGACAGCCAATAAAAAGTTACTTTAAGAAAAAGGCACTGTGGTAAAACAGTTTGAAACCTAAGTCCCAAAGCTAGAAATGAATTCTCAGTTAGAAGCATAATAATCAAAGACTAACCACAAGGATGAGAATGAGTTTGGTATAATCAAGCATACTACAACTATCTTAATTAGTGAAGCTGCACCTCACGATGAGGCAAAACAGGTCAGTCATTTGAAAGTGATCATACATGCTCATTACTACAGAATTGCAGAAAGGCAGAGGTTAGAAAGGAAATCAACTAGTTCAAACTTCCCTGCTAAGAATAGGTTCAACCAAAGCAGGTTATTCAGGCTATGTCCAGCCTGGCTTTGAATACCTCCAAGGACTAACTTCAAAAATTCTCCTGGAAACTTGTGCCAGTTTTTCTCCACCCATACAATAATGGTGTCTTTCCTTGAGATTCGTAGAACCATATAATAATAGAATATCTTGAGTTGGGAGGGAATCATTGGGGTCATCAAATTCAAATACTGATGCCAAATTTCATGTGCTCAAATGGCATTTTTTGTATAGTATCTATCACAGGCACGACATAAAAGTATTTCTGTCTTCTTTACTCCTCTCCCAGGTATTTATAGGCCTCCTTGAGGTCCATAAATTGAGAAGGTCCTCCTTGAGCTTCTTCCCATACCTAAGATGCTCCAATCTCTAATGACATTTCGGGGCCTTCCTTAGACTTTCTGATTCTCTTGCACTAGAGAACCCAGAGCTGTACTCAGCAATATACATGTTTCTCACCAGTGCTGACTAGAGGAGCAGGATTATCTCCTTTGACTTCCTGGCAATGCCTAAAGCAGACTATTGCAGAAGCACATGTTGGTGGCTCACATTCAACTTGTCCTTCATTACATGCTTTTCAAATGATGCAAAATTAACTTTCTTCACTGGGGCTTCTTGGATAATTTAACTTAAGTTCGATGCTTTCTCAAACATTACAAGGAGAGGAAGAATCAGTTAACTGCTGATAACTCAGCATTCTTCCTTCTATAATGTGCCAGGTCCAGTTGGAGTGGAGCTCTCTTTCCTCACAGAAGCTGATTAATTGTTGTACTTTGCATTTGTGGCTAGAAAGTGCCAACAGATTTTCAGTTATTGGCAAATAGTGCTCGCAAAGCATCAAGGCTGTCTTTCCAACTGATTACCTCAAAGGCCCAAAGGAGTAGAGAAGAGGCTGAGTGTTTTGAGCTTACATGGCAAGTTTCTGGCAGTGGGGCCTTCAGGAAGCCTCTGTCAGCAGAGCTCAGGAGTGCTCCATGTCAGAGCAGAGCAGCTCCAGCTTCTACAACAGGGACCCGCCGCTACCAGAGCTGAGCCATGAGCAACACCTGGTGTGCTCTGAGAGAGCAGATATAAGGGTGGGAAATGCTGCTTTGCAACAGCAACTGGGAGAGAGAAGTGAGAAATTAGAGATAAAATTTACGTATTAAACTGCCTTTATCTCAGTCAACAAGTTTTTCTGACTTTTATTCTATGCCTATCTTGTTGAGAAGGGCAGAGTAAGAGAACAACTGAGTCTGGAGCCTGGCAGACAGCCAAGGTCAACCCAAGACTTATATCAAAAGTATGATGAATGTGTAATATGTACCAGCTTCATTACTAACTGAAAGAATGCCAAGTCAGCAGTTTTTTTAATCGTTTCCTTTGTGCCCTCTATTTAAAATGACTGACAAATGCTTTTTTCTTTTTATTTTTAAATTCAAAAGGCCAGCCACTTGACCTGGTCTTTCTCAGAAACAAAGACATATATACATATAAGTACATATGTATCCTAAGTGTTTATAGGATACAGAAACAATCAGGCTACACCTATACTGCAGATCAAACAGAACTTTACAGTGAATTATGTTACACTTACACTTTCATTTCTGTTTCTTTCTATCTGCAAAAGTCTGCAGGAAAGCCATGCAGCATCCTCTTTTGATTCATTCCAATCTAGGGAATATTTAAATAATTTTGCTACTTTTTTGTTTGTTTGTTTGTCTGGTTTTTTTTTTGGCACTGTTTGTTTCCCCATCTTGATTTCTCTGGAAATCTTTTTATCATACTTCATATGCTGCATTTCAGACCCATGATTTCTAGAGGTAAAGCTTCTTTCTAAAATCTTTTGGCCCTTCTTCCTTATTAGCTGTGACTTATATCAGAGCTGCACGAACTAACAGATCTGAGGGTTTTGTGCCTTTAATAGATGGCCCCTAGGTGGAGGCACTTGACCTAAAGAACCATGCATCCATGAGTTCTAAAGCATACAAAGCTCCAGCCAGCAGAAAACATTCAATTTTAATATGGTTTGAAATCTGAAAGTTTTAGAAATAAGCTAAACTGGGACTTGTGATATTCTCCTAGGCCACTGAAGTTCTCAAGTGTATTGGTATCACCAGGAGCAAGAATAAACACTTCTAGATTCCTACCTATGCAAAAATATGGCAGAGTAGCTATATTTCACAATAGGAAGAATGGAAAATGGGAACAGGATACTACAGATAAACATTTCTACTGCCTGGACAGAAATGCAATTTCTGGTTCTAAAGAGGCATGCTGTGGTATTATTATGCAACAGACAAAAACAAGAACCGCTATCATCACAGGCAAGGACCAGGAAGACAAAATTAACAGAACGGGGCAGTCTTACAAGTACTGCAAGTACTACTTCTTTACCATTGGTCCACACCAATTTTCTGAGGTAATACAGTCAGTGCTTCCTTAATATCAGTAATGTACTTACCATTCCTGAAGCTGGAAATACATCACTTATGCTCCCATTGGCTATCCATTCTACTGTCACTCGTCCATACGTTCCTACTAAACGTTCAACATTCAAAGTGATTAAACTGTCCTGTTCCATTTCTTCAACCTGCTTAAATAAAGAATTCTGGGAAACACAAAATAGCAAAACCACAGTTATTTATTTTCTTCTAAAGAAAAGTTTATTTAGACATCTTGGTATTCAAAGAGGGCAATGACATCAAGTATTAATAACCTTGTCTGTCATTAAGTAAATAAATATATATTAATTAATAAATATATGTATTAATATAATAAATAAATAAATAAATAAATATTAATTGAACTTATATGACCTATTGAGGTAGGTTAGAATTTGAAATGTCAGACCTCTTTAAAAAATGTCAAGCAAAAAAGACAAGTCAATTTATTTTCTTAATACAGTATTTTATGTTCAAACTGTATGAGGTAAAAAAACAAGTGGAAATATAAAAGAGATTTATATTTAGTGCAATTATTTTTGTGTTATTTGTCCACCTCACACAAGTCCAGATGCAGAGCTTCATTTCGGTGATGACTCTTCTCTCTTTCACATCTTCATTACATGTTTAGTATATCCCTGTCTGGTTGTCCTCTACAGTGTTTGCTGATTTAAGAACTAACATCTCCAAATACTCCCTGCCACCTAACAATTTCTCCAAATAATTCATTTTGTTCTGGTAGACTGACTCACCTTATTACATAATCCAATTAATGTATTTTTCAGGAGAAAAGGCTGAGAAAGACAGTTTTTTTTTTCTTGGCTCAAACTCTCTTTGTGAGGCCTTTTTGGTGATAAGACTCTACTGATAACTGTAAATTAAGGTGGTGAGTGGTGGGTGTCACCGTGCCACAACACTTCTGCTCATGAAGATAAGCAGAAGTGGGACAAGCAAACTTTCTCAGGCATGCGACTTGAAGGAGCTGACCACTGCAAAAGGCAGTAAAGCTTGTGCATGGCAATGAAGGCACCACTCCCTGCTGGCTTATCTATTTGGCCAGGTGTGTCACACTAACAGAGAAAAAAGAAGAAGGTAAAAAACACCGGAGAAGCGAGGGGATAAAACACCCCCTGCTAAACTAAGAGACTGTGGAGAAGCGCTCCCAAAGAAAAGAAACCTTTGATGGAGGAATCCCCCAAGGAAAAAAAAAATAAAATAAAATCTCTACAAAAGAACTCCCCCGGGGCCTGCTTGCTATGAAGCTTCCTGGCTTTCTCCCATCCCCTGCGGTGACTGGACAAGTTCCTGAGATCAACACTGAAACTAGAAGCAATGCTGAAAACCTCGGTGGTAACTATCTCTCTCTTGCTTTCTACAAAGATTCTTTGCTTCTATTTTCTATCTCTTTTTTATCGCCTGTCTTCTCTTCCTCATCTCCCTGAGCGACTAGGATTTGTAATAAACTGGTTGGGCAAACATTTGACCCATTGTGTCTTAATCTCACCATCAGATGTACACCTCCTCTCCCTTCTATAAATGAAGCGACACAAAGGCTCTTCAGGTTTGTTTACTGAATTCATTTGCATAATAAATAAGCAGTAACTAGATGCCATCAAATATGACATCTAAAAATTGGATTTTTAATTTGTTGCAAAACCAAGTTGATAAACGAACTTGTTAATCTAATGTAGGGGGAACTAAAAAATCTCAGAAACTGGGAAACTTATATCCTATCACACAGTGTTCTACATAATCATATAGTAATACTAAATAGATGTTACAAAGCACATTACTAGATGACATTAGAAAAAAAATCTAGAAAAACATTCTGAATTTTACAGTTCCAGTATGTTTGTGTTCAATTAGTCAGAAATTATATATATGATTTACCTTAGAATTTTTACCTGAGCAAATGCTATGACTCCATAGGCATTGTCATTTGAAGGAATAATAATGTCAACAAAACCATGAGAACCAATCTCTGCACCTCCTTTAGGATTTTTCAGCCACACTCTGAAGCATTCTTCCTCTTCTGGGATAACATCATCAAGGATATTGACAGCTATCACAACTTCCATGTCCCCAGGATCAAATATCAATTCACCTGAACTGGCACAAAAACATGTGCATATAATAATTATAAATTTAGGATAGCTGATTAGTGATCTTTAAAAGCACTGCTGTAAATTTACTGAGCATTTTTGAGATGCAATTATTGTTTACTTTGCTCTGGAAGTAATTTGGGTTATAGGGGTATTTTCTTTAAGAAAATAACAATAGATCATAAAGTAACTGAAAATAATTATGAATGCAATTTCATTCATCTTAAGTAGAAGCTTTAAAAGAAAAAAGTCATGATTGGGAATCTTTCTTGTGTTTTAAAAGCAGATGGGAGGCTGAGCTCAGGTTATCTTAAACAGTGAAAAATTCTCTTTAATGTTAATAAGTTCATCACACACAGAAACTTATAACACTCTGTACTGTAACCAAAACAATACCAGGAAAAAAGAAATACAGGAGCTGTGAGAGAAGGTATATAAAACAAAAAAAACCTACCTGGGTATAAAATCCGACTGGTTGGAAACAGTGGTCAGTTCATAAATCTGGGAGTTGGATTCTATAGTCAAAACAATCAAGCTTTTGCTGGAGTTCAAAGAACTTGCAATAACTGATGTGATATGATCTGCATACGGGGCCTCTAGCATTATAGAGAACGAGTTTGCTTCTGAGTTCCAAGAATACAGTGCTGTTGTATCTTTACCTGCTAGCAGGATATGAACTACATGGAGCAAAGAAGATAAAGAAATAATTCATTTTTAGTATTACATATATTTAAAATGTTTTAATATCAAAGATGTTCTTTGTAGATCACTGTTTATGCTAACTTTCATGGTCTGATAAATAAATACCACAAAAAAAGAGCTTATCTACTTCTACAGTTCCAGCATTATAAACTAGAATTTGCAGAAATATTTTCATTAAAATCTTACCTAAACCTGAAGGGGGCATGAAGACATGGATGTTTCTGACATCATGCACTGGAAGAGACTGAAAGTGTCTAAAAGTAGACTGCCCTGTCTCCCAGATAAAAATTTCAGAAAAATTTCCAGATTCTACAAAAAATCAAAATAACACAGATTACATTATTTGCCACCTTTTAGTCAAGTCACACACTAGTGTCCCTTCAAAAGTCACTGTTTGGTAGCTTTAATTATGAAGCGAGACAGATTATTTTTTCCTTTTTTTTTGGTGCACAACTTCATAGAATCAGTGATACCTGTGTTAATTTATCCACTGACATCATTTAATTGCTTTAGTTCAAGCAATGACATGCATGAACACTAAATGAACACTAAAGTTGAAATGTGACAACTGCCAATTGCAAAGAAAAGTGTGAACTACAACATAAACACCCAAGTAGCTTCAGGGACAAAATCTCACCTAAAATACCACAGGCTTAATAAAAGATGTATTTTCTTTGCTGACCAGTTATCTCTTTAGAACAAAAAGCTCAGCAAAGCTTAGAATGAGTGTGATCAGCAGGTAGATGAGTAGTTATTATCCCCAGTGTTGTTGAGAAAACATTTGTTTTACAAGTACTTGAAAAAAAAACCCACAGTGCTTATATTTTCAGAGAGAAAAAGCAGAGATTACTTTGATAAAATATTTATTAGGGTTAAGTTCTTATTGAGTTCTTTACCACAAATGCATTTGCTATTGAACAAACTCTCATATACTTCATAAACTCTTTTGTTGTTTTCTGCTGAATACCTTTTGCAGTAATTAAATATATATCAGATCCAGAAATCCAGGACTCCATATGTTTTACTTCTTTTTCTGGTACTTCATGAAGCCTCCTAAACTCATTATTCAACCACTCGTACAAGAGCATGTTTTGGCTAGTATTTGATAAAGAAACTAACATATACATGAAGCCTCCCCTAGGAAACAAGTCTATGTTCAGAACTCCATGAAGTGGAAGTTGATGATGCAGAAGAAACGTGTTTTTATTCCACTGGAAAATCTGTGGAAATACAAAAATTTTTCTTCATATATTCTTGATTAGCACTGAAAGAAAAGAAAATAAATGACATGCAAAAAAAATTGCAAAGATTTACTGTAAACTAAATTCCTAGTTTCTAAGGTGGACCATATATTAAGACAAATCCACTGGTAAGTAACTACTAACTACCTTACTGCAAACAGCTGTGCCTGCTCCCTGGAAAATAGGTATATGTTCATAACATATTTTTGTCCTTTATGTGCTAAATCTTAAAAATGAAATAATACTAGTAACAAAAGCAAACCAGATGTAAATTACCTGCTCATGATGATTATTCATACATACAAAGAAGCCTAAGAACAAACATCAATTTATAATATGATCAGAAGTAAGTTCTTTGAAATAAATGCTTATAGATTTACTATTATTCTTTCATTTCTCTGACTAAACAAACTACCATATCGGAACCAGAGAAAACTGAAGAACATTCAAACCTGGATGGAACTGGAACTAGTTGGATGGCTCACAATAATCAAATAGTCTTCGTTCTCCACAGTAAAATGTTTCACATGTCTGGTATCCAGAACAGATAGAGTTTGCATCTGTGAGGGAAATTTGACAAAAAAGGGTGATTGTTTATTTGTATATGTATATATATACAAATATACTTATTAAAGTCATCTAGTTTTTCAGAAATTCCAAATTTTTACAGCACATAGAACACTTTTATTATTTGTATAACATGGCTGGACTGGACAACCTTCCCAAGGTCCTGGCTAATCAATACTATTTTATAATTTTATAAGTAAAATAGATTTACCCACAACAATCTGCGTCCAGGCATGAATGTATACACACTGTTGTCAGAAGCTCCCTGTCCAGCTCCTCCATGGCTAATCACAAGGTAGGAAGAACCACCAATTTTATAAGACATGCAGCTTTTAGGATTCCACATAGTGAAATTCTGTGAGAGGAATAAAAAAAAAACCCATCATACTGTAAATTTATTCCTTAGTAACTAACTTCAAACACCGAGATGTTTGGAAACAAACATTCACCTCAACAGGAATAAATACTCCTTTCCACTGGTAGACAGTAGAAAACGTGGCTGGAGGCACATGCAACAGAACACCATACAAAATTTCTCCTGAGGTAAAGAAACACCAACTAGACACTGACTCTTCCACAAAACTTTGCAAAACAGACAGGACGCTGATGCCACCCCCTGCAACATAGTAAAAGAAAACACTATTTACTATTAGTTGACACTCGTCCAATCCCATGTCTCCTGCCAAAACCAGCATTAAATGTCTTAGTGCTCATTGTGTATGTAAATGCATAGAAATGGAATAATGCTGAGGATATAATTAGAGTTAAGCAGTAAATTTATTTTCATTTATTACAACCATATAGTAGAGGTCCATAGGAAATGTAAGTCTAACAATGATTTGGCATGCCGCAAGCAGTGAAAAAAGTAACAAAGAAACTATAGGATGTTCATGTTTTGTTCTCATCTTCCTTCTCAGTATCCAGGCAGTCATGCCACTAAGGTGCTTAAATTGCTAAAACTGTTCGACTGGAAGCAAAAAAGCACTGTGTTATTGAAACTAAATTTCAGGAGCTAAATTCCCACTCCTACACAGAGGTTAGACCCATTGCTGAGAACAACAGAATACTGATCCATGTTCAAAATCAGGCATTTCATTTTTAATACTTGTTTCAGTGTGGATCAGGGATACACACATCAGTTATGGAATAAAGAATGATTAGCACAGAAATAGAAATGAGAGGGCAGAGATGAAAGGATAACTTCCTTCAGTGGCACGTGCAAATTTGAACGAGCTTGAACTGCTCATTAATTGATAGCCTTCCACAAATGCATCGCAGTAAGCACACTGGAAGATAACACAGGAAAGCATGTCACAGGCTTTTTTCAAGATAATATTATGTCGGGTGTATGTAAAGCATGTCGTCTATACTAAGTTAGAAAAATCAAGAATTATGAGTAGTAAATATATATATATATATGTATATATATTTTAAGTGTAGTGACAGCACTGCTCATATTCTCAGCAAAGATATTATTGAAACTCTGGCAGAAGAGGCTGATGACAGGGTGACTCTTAAGCAGCTAAGCCATTTTATGTAATGAATTTTTACATAATCTAAGAACATATTCATTTAATCAAGCCTGAATGAATGAATTTACATTCCAAAGTTAGATTTCCTGTTTGGTAAGTTTCTTACTAGCTCTAATTGACAAATTCAACAGACAGTCTCCATAAAGTAAACGTACTGATGCCAAATGCAGTGTTTGACTGTGTCTCCCACTCAATGCTCACAGAAGTATTGAGCCCATTAGTCCGTGAAACTTTTAAATAAGCTGTAGTGTTGGCTTCTTCAACGATAAGAAAATTTGTCCTGAATGGGAGAATCATAAAAAAAAAAAAAAAAGAAAGGAAAAAAAGAATTATTTTTTATAATATATTAGAAAATAAGATTTTTAAAGAACAATTCCAGCTGCAGAAATAAAAAGAAAGTATGTATGTTTCTTAACCTAATGCTTTGGCAAAATCATAGGGGATACAGCAAGATCTTTCACTAGTCTGAAATTGAACATACTATCTGCATGGTTTCAGCTGACTGATTTTTTAAAATGTCATTCCACGTGGATCATTTGCTTCTGAAAAACATCTTTCAGTAAAACTGGATTTTACATAGGCTAAAAAATGCATTCACTTGACATCTCTTAATTTGGCTATAGTATAGTACTAGTGGCATATATAGGCAATAATTTAATATTGATATATGAAAAAAATATCTGATTATTAACAAGCCTTTTTAAGTATTTTCTTTTTGTTTAGCAGTAATAGTATTTGACCTTTCAAAGTTACAAGTGCTTTAAAATTAGGTTGCTGAATTTCTTTAACACAATTAATTAAAAACAAATTTGTAAAGAAATAGCATTTCTTCTGAATATAAGAAACTATCTCATTTTTACTCAATCTGTTTACAGTACCTATTAGAAACTGGATAGATGCTGAAAAGCCCTAGAGGAGCCTGGTTCTGTAAAACAGTAATCATAGTTTCCACTCTTGTGCCTAATCTGGCTCCTCCAGTTGGATTGAACAGGGTGACAATAAAATGCTCATCCATTTCTGGTTCTTCATCTAGTATTGCAGAAATATGTAGTGTCTGACAACAAAAAACAAGTATACAATGTTACTGAGACATTACACAATTCTAATAGAAAATGACACCTTTTATTTCTCTCACTGTAAGGCTCTGGATAGCACAAGAGAATAGCAGTTCATAAATATGAACAGGTAAGTGAGGTAAGGTTAGATTAGGTTGAGGTTTTAAAGTCATCCTTCTGGTAGCTTCTATTGGTACAACTCCACTTTTTTTTTTTTTCTTTTCTCTCTTCAAATCCTGCAACACTCTGAAATTCAATTCTAAAATTTGATTCTTGCTTCATTTTTTTTTTGGTCCAATTACTCCATAAATTTCTTGGTGGTTTACAGTCACCCTTCAGCTATGAATGTAACTTGATTAAGATGGTTTTAATTTAGTTTACTTGGAAATTAAGTTGTCCCCAGGGAAACAGGAAAATCCTGGTATTAGCACTGGGAAAAAGAAGAAGAAAGGAAAAAATAATGGGATATTTGAAGTATTCTCTTCTCTCAATGCTTCTTTCTTTCTCCTTCTCCTTCACAGGAGAAGACAAAACACCCACAAATTAACAAAGAAAAAACTAGAGAAAGTTAGGTGTTTCACTTTAATTTGGGGCTTATCCTCCAGATAACCTGAACAAGTAAAAGCTACACAGACACACATATCTTTGTTATATAGAATAAAAAACTAGTAATGATACACTTGGAAATAATACAGAATTCACAGTGTTTTATATTCCTGTTTACTTTCACAATAAATCATATCTAGTGACGATTTTAAGACGAAATATCCAAAGATGAACCCATTTAATTTTCATACTCTTCCACATAAGAAAATGACAAGAAATTAGTATAGCTCATGAATCAATGATGTGCTCTATGAATGAAGGGGAAAAAGAAGAAAAAAAAAATACAAAGTGCAGATACTTTTAAAATCTTTCCAACAAACTCAAAAAAGCCTCCTTCACATTTTTAGCAATAAATAGCATCTTACCTTCAATCTGACTCCCTCTTCCAGCACAATGTATCCTTGAGAAGGGGTCAAGTCCACTGATGGCTCTGAAGAATTAATTTCACTTACAAGATACTGAACAGTCACAGTACCAAATATTCCCTGAGGAGGTTCTCTAATAATATTCAATACTGCAACACTTTCCAACAAATGGATGGCTGTTTGCTCTCTCAAGAAGAAGTGATCGCTGTTATTGAATGACAAAACTCCATGGCCATCATCATTGGCAAGTATAGTGATTGTAGCTTTCCAGAAACAAACAATGAAAAGATTGTTTAATTAGCATAGGAAAATATAATCATAGATACATACTAACATAATACAGAATATAAACCCAAATCATCCTTTACATGCATTCTCCCTTTAATGTACATATATGCCTGTATGTCCATATAATCCTGAAGGAATAAGCAGACATTTCATCTTAACTAGGAAGATGTCTATGCAGGAAGAATACAGCCTCTCCTAGAAAATGATTATAAAAATAAAAAAAGGCCTCAGTTTAGTGAGGCATTTTCTTGCTTTCTGATACCTTATTTTACATAAAACATGAATTTCCCAGATTTCATTTGAAAGTTCTTAAAAATTCACAGAATCACAGACTGTCACACAACCTCTCTGGACAGCCTGTTCCAGTGCTCTGTAACCCTCACCATTAAGTTTTTTCTCATATTTATGTGGAACCTCCTATGTTCCAGCTTGCACCCATTGCCCTTTGTCCTGTCATCGGATGTCACTGAGAAGAGCCTGGCTCCATCCTCCTGACACTCACCCTTTACGTATTTATAAAAATCAGTGAGTTCACCCCTCAGTCTTCTCCGAGCTAAAGAGACACAGCTTCCTCAGGCTTTCCTCATAAGGGAGATGCTCCACTCCCTTAATCATCTTTGTGGCTCTGCGCTGAACTCTCTCAAGCAGTTCCTTGTCCTTCTTGAACTGAGGGGCCCAGAACTGGACACAATATTCCAGATGCGGTCTCACTGGGGCACAGTAAAGGGGGAAGAGAACCTCTTTTGCCCTACCAACCTCACCCGTTCTAATATATGCACCCCAGGATGCCACTGGCCTTCTTGACCATAAGGGCACAGTGCTGGCCAACTGGAGGAAAGGGGTTTTACAATGGGTGCTGACAGGGTTCACTGACAGAGCTTCAACCTAGGCATGAAGAAGGTGGGCTGAAACCAGGGTCGCTACAAAGGAGCCTGAATGTTACATGCCAGTCCTTGTGGGAGAGCAATGTGCTAGCAAGACCACACAGTCTTGTGTCTTTGAGAAGGAGGATAATGACATACCATTTCAGATGGGCTGGTGTGAGATTGGTTACTATGGAAATACCTGAGTATGGTAAAGAAGGTATTAGGGCTTCTCCAACCCAAAAGGTGGCCCAGCTGTGGTGCATTTACACTAATGCATGCAGAATGGCTAATAAACAGGAGGAACTGGAGGCCTCCAAAGGAGTAAATTCACAGTAGGGCAATAGTGTTTTGTGAAAATATGATTATTCAGAAAAATGATTGCTGTAGAATTCCAAGGAATGAGGACAGTAAAACTAAGTTTTACCTGTTGTGTTCTCCCCTAATTCCAGCCCCAGAGAAGGATTTGTTAAGATTAATTGGAACTTTTCATCACCTTCAGGAGTCTCATCATCAAAAATCATGACATCAATAGACTTATTCCTTTCTCCATCAGCAAAAAAAAGAGTCTAACAGTGAAACACAGAAAGCATTGAATACTTAAAGCAGGTAATACCACATATTATTCTTAAAGCATGGTAAACAGAATTCTGTTAAACAGAAAAGGAGGCATGTGAAGAGCCGTACTCTCTCTGTCCCTTATGAATTGACTGATATAGAAATTTAGAATTACAGCACATTACAGAACTAGAACATACAAGAACAATTTACTTTGAAAGTTCAGTTGTAAAAAAATCTTATATGAAAAAGCTTTCATGTCTAAGCAAAATTAAATTTGAGTTAGATGTTTGGAAGTTTACATTGTGCTTATACTGAAAAAAATATATATATTTATTGAAAATAGAGAATTTTTTTAATGGTTTTTTTTTTGGTCAAAGTAATTGAAACTACTTGAAATATGTAACTGCTCTATTGATCATTCTCTATAAGTATCTCTCAGTATATCTCTCAGTATATATAAAATAATATCTCTCAGTAGATATTATTTTAAGAAAGCTGTAGGAATGAAAATTACTAGGTTTAGAGTTTACTGCTTACTCTTGAGGTCACGTAAAAATCCAAACCCAGCTGGGCCTCCAAATTTTGGGCATAAAAAAATACAGACACATTGCCGTATGATCCTCTGTTTCGGTAAGCCATTATTGTCAGATTCCCATGAGATTCACTAACTTCAAAACTAAAATAAAAAGCAAGAAAAAGTCTCAATATCACTATGTTCTTTTGAATTAGATTCTAAACAATTCCCTATATTATAGTTGTCTAATACAACCTTTTAACCTTTCTTTACTATGTAAATTGAATTAAGGTTGTGCTTTTTTACTGGAAACTATGTGGGAGATTAAGGAAATCTATCTATACACAGTTCATGTTCATGCATGCATTCTTTCCATCTTCTAGAAATTAGTCTAATAAAAAGATCTGGTTGGTTCAAGAATGTATGCTTACACAAACAGAGAAGCTGGAACAACTGCTGCAGGCAAACTCTCTATATTAAAGGACAACAGTGAAAGCAGGTAAGTAGGAAAGTAGCAAAAGAATTCTTAGCAAACATACAGTAAATGTCTGTTTGCAGTGTGGAAATCTTCTATTCTCTTTCTAATGAACTGAATGATATTTTGCTATCTCAAAGATATGGCACTATCTTTATCGGGAGTTTCACTGTTAACTTACAAAGAAAATGGGCAACTCTAATCTCTTATAGGCTCAATGAGTTCTTAAGGGAGATAAAACTTACTTGGTACCTTCCCAATCAATTACTCCTCTTACTCCATCATTAGCGTCAATAATAATTTGAGAAGCTAAACCTTCCACATCTAAAAGGCAAAACAGAATGAGAAAAATGAAAGAACAATGAAGTCAAGTTTCAATATTTTCAGGTACTAACAGAAGTGTTTCTTCAACTTCTACCAAAACAGTGATTTACAAAATATAAAGGTGTAAATACGAGTAGAGAAATGTAATTGGAAAGACTCGGAGAAAGAGTCCTTTCTACTTGGACTGCAATACCTTGCCTTGAAGTACAACTGGTACGCTTGATAATGAATATGAAAAAGGAATGACTAAAGAAAACTATCAAGCAAACATGGCACATACACGCTTGGAAATATTAAAAGCTAGGTTTCTCAGGGAATCTTAATTTGTCTTCATTGTATGCATTTATTATGATGAGATTCAACATTTCATAGACTGTGCTATTCTGAATATGGGAGAGTAATTGAGTAAAATAAATTATCCAGTATTTCATTTTCTATTCATGCTTCAGTACCTCATTATACACCTTAATGGCACATACCTCACAAAAAAAGAATTAATTTGTTATCTATTTATGTACCGTAAATTTCTATTTCTTCATAAAGACATATATGTCTTTACACTAACCCTGACATAATAATTGAATGTATCACAGTGTGAAAACACTGAATAATCAGTTAATGTCCACTAACTTCAAGAACTTGACAGTCAGAACTTGATTCTTCTGCAAAAAAAATACAGCCTTAATTTGTTCAGATAACAGCACCACATGACCACCTTAATTTATTTCAACTTACTTTTTATCAACTATAACTTACTTTCTAAAATCAACCTGACTTCATTGAGCCTGCAGGAAATATACTATATTTAGATTCATATGAAAGCTTTTTATCAATTCAGATAGAACAATTAGAAGTAGGTCATTGCCATGAATCTAAACCTGTCAGTATAAGGCACAGATGAAGATGAGTGATAGCCCTTCACTGACAGCAGAAATAATAATGAGGTGTAGAAATCCTGAGGGTGTGCTAGCAATTACCGGCATTTCTGTGTGACTTCTAACCCACATTTTGTCTGATCACTTTGAAGGCAGATCTGTTCAGCTGGGATCTGTAATAGTTTGCCATCAACATCACACCTCTTATTCTATGACTGGCATCCCAAACTTCCCTTGATTATCCACTTCCTACCCTCCTAGCCTTTAACATTTGAGGCTTAACTAATCAGAGCTCATTATCTACAAAACAGCTACAAGTTTTGAAAGTTACCTTTCATTCTGTAATGAATTAACTCAGTCACTTCTATAAGCATGCAAAGAAAAAAGAAAAGAGTCAAAGAAGACGTTTGAAAGAATACAAATAGTCTTTAGTATCATAGGATAGTCCAACTGTCCTTAAGTCAATGACAACTATTCACTGAATTCAGAAGCAGAAGAATGGGGAAATAAATGGCATATGAAGATCACTGAAAAATTAAGAAAACCACAGGATATGGTTCCTAAAAGTAAACAGGACAAAAGAGGAATTAAAAGAGATTTTAAAAGGAGTGAACAGAATAGCCAAATGAAGTAAATTTTTTTGACAAACTTTACAGGTAACTGTGCTTTCTAATTGATAATTAGTAACTCCTATATGAAAAATACTTTATATTTTCCCCATAGTCTATGGAGGAAATAAGTATAATAATGAATATATTTTAAATTCTACAATTTTTATTTCAGGTTACCATGTCTAATCTTGGCACAGTTGGTAAGTGAAATGATGATAATTTACCGAAGTCATATAAGACATAAAAAAGGAAAAAATACAATTTTATATAAGATAGCTTACCCAGCCTAGGTGGGGATGAAATTGAGTGGTTCATGATGAGTTCCACTGAAGTTAAATTAACCAAGAAAAATTCTTGCACCTCTGGTATATCGTCCTGCAAAATACAAATACAATACATGCTCTTTTCAATTTTCTTTAAGACACTCACATAAGTTAACAAAGGAACAACGCACTTGAAGTTTCTAATATCACAGTGAAAAAGGATTCATTTATTATTTTATTTTTCTGAAAAAAATTTATTGGGCAAAACTGATTTTTGTGGAACAATTATGAAGTGAGACATATATTCATGAAAATATCCTATGGTGACACTAAATTACTCTTACAAATGAATTACTGCCCAATATTAGAGGCATAAATCTCAAAAAGTAAGAAAGTAAAAGCATATATCCAGCCAAGCACACTTTTTTAGATAGTAATAGATAATAACAGATATTTAGTAAAGCTTTAATGAGACAGCTGTATTTCATTTATGCAGAGGTGTAGCTGCTTTCTGCAACTATTTGTTTTTCTGTGTTCTTAAGACTGAAACCATCTTTCTAAATAACAATGAAATTACTACATAGCTTGTAGTAATATACAGGCTTCAGCTTTAGTTTCCAAACAGAGTTTCCTCTGTTGAAATATAGAATGAAAAAGTTTAGAGCTTACCTCTAGGATAGTAATATTTATGGCAGCTGATGTTTCTCCTTCTTCTAAAATCAGTGAGCCAGAAGCAGGTACATAATCATCTCCAGGTTCCGCCAAGGTTGGTTCTGTCTGATTACTTACAGAGAGCAATCCTGTAACTGTGGCATATGTAACATTGATAGTACCTGTTAAATTTGTGAGGGGAAAAAAAAATAAAATCAATTCTTATACAATGCTCACTGGAATTGATATAGACAAGAGATCAATTCCTCATCCAAAAGAAATACAGACTAACTGCAAAACAGAAGGATGAAAAGATTAATCCGAAGTACATTAGAGCTAATGGACTTTTGTTCCTATATCAAAGTGCTTTCAATCTGGCCTTTGCTGGTTTGTGGAAAAAAATTTAAAAATAATCAGGACAAAATATACTTAGACATTTGAAGTTCTGCAGATATAAATATTGCTGAAGTGCTACTAAATGAGACATCTCATGTATTATTAACACCAGTTTTTGCACCACAGATACCTTTCAGTGATGGCTGTTACTGAACTAAAGTTTTAAAGAGAGTGCTTGGACACATCTTAATAAATGTACCTTGTTTCCTAATCTGGTTGACTTAAACAAACAAACAATCAAAACCAGAGGGCATATACAAATATTAGCAAACGAAAGAGTTAAACATTTTTAGAATAAAGTCATTTCTGGCTGAGTAAATCAAGTAGTAAACTTTAAAAGAGCGATCCTAAAGATTAAATGGAATATGAAAGTAAAAGCTACTTTCTATGAAATAAGATACAAGGAATAGAAGAGTCTTATTTAATAAATAAATAATGATGACTTGCATATGCCACATCTTTCAGATTCCTTGCAGAATAAATGAGGGTTATTGCTAGATTTTTGGCTAATATCTAGTTTCTGAGCCCGCAGTAAGAAGCTTAGACGTTCTGAACTTATTAACTGTATCCAAAACTTTTCCATATTTTACATTCCCATTATCATGATTGTTATCTGCCTAATGATTATCAAAACAAAATTTCCTTTCTCTTAGAGTTATTATACAGACCTAGGGATCCAAATTCTCTGTTAATAAAAAGCTGAATTGTTTTATTTTCTTCTGGACTTAAAACTACTCTGGATGTGGAAGCAAAATTTAGGACTCCATGTGGTTCATCACTAGCTTCTACCGTTAGAACAGCTTCATATCCTTGACTATCCAAAACAGCAGCACCTGTAGGAGGAACTCCTGCAAGAGAATCAATGGACTGCAGTGAATGAAGTGCGAAGAAATTTTTTTTGTCTTTTTCAATTGTTTATATTGCATTCAAATGTCAGCCAGCAAAAGCTCAGTGAATAATAAAAACAAAGCTCAGTGAAGCTTATGGATTATGTCAGACCTATATTTACACATATATTTACTTTCTATAACAAATACGGGAACATACAGTCTCATTAGAAATTGTATGCATATCAAGCATAAAGTCACAACAATGTATTAGGAAATTAGAAAATTTAATAGGCCAGCACTTACAACTTCTCTAAGTACAATCTACTTTAAATGGAAAATTTTTCCAGGACTTATTGTGAAATCTTAAAAGCTTAAAAACTGTGTTCTATTTACCAATCAAAAAATTACTCCCATTACCAAGTACTGCCTTTACAAATAATTATGATAATCCTGATTGTGTAGAAGGGTCATATGACTCTAGGAAGTTAGTAAGTAACCAATCATAGAATCACTCAGGTTGGAAAAGACTTTAAAGATCATCGAGTCCAACCATGACCAAACCATACTACCCTAACTCTAACTACCCTGTACTAAATCATGTCCTTGAGCAATATACCCATACAAATTATTCTGGTGTTTGGACATTAATTTCAGTTTGACAAAGGGTATTACAGAAGGGATGGAATTTCCTGCTTCATTTCTCACTAGATTTGGAATGGCAAGAATAAAATATCCTGACCACATTAAATTCAGAGACAGATCAATGAGATAACAAAAGATTATTTTAAAAGATAAAAATATCTATGTATTTCATGGTAACATTATGCATCATGCATCAGTAAGCTCAAGTTGGTATTCAGTTAAAGGAAAGTAACTGACTAATGAATTGAATAGGTGGAGTTAAATCAGGATTAAAAAAACTTAAGCATATCTATAGTGATACTATGGGGTTTACAGACATAAAATGCACATAAAAATAGTGTGTATATATGTAAATCAAGCTTTTAATAAAATGGTATTGAATTTTCCATACTTTGCACTAGTTGCAGTTTGTTTAGTCCCACACCTCCAAAATGAAGTAATAAATATGAAAATATTACATTTTTAAATGGTATTTTAGAGAAGTATCAGGCATAGTTCTGCACTACCTTCTGTTCTGATGTTGTACAAGATGATTTGGTATTCTTCTTTTTCTTCAGGAATATGGTCATCCAGCAGATGAACATATAATGTTGTATTCAGCATTCCCTGTTTAATATTAAATTGAATTGTCATTATTGTGTATCTCTCTCTCTATATATAGTATATATAGTTGCAAATGTGTATTGTATAGATATAAAACACAACTGAAATCATTATGGCATGTATTTCTAAAAACACCTCCAAGAAATGTTAAGTTAAAGTATCAAGAACTTTAACAAGCTCCCTCCAGCTTGGAATTTCAATAGTAAGAGAGCAAGTAAATAATCAGATAAAGAAACTAAGATTGTGAAAAATATCACATTATTTTTTCCACCCAGTTGTAATTACAGTATTTTCATGTAGACAACAACACTGCTTATGGACTTACCTCAGCAAAAAAAAGGATTCCAGAATTGGTTTCAAAATTTTGTTTTACATTATGCCCTACTATCTTCCACTCAACTGTAACGTTTCCAAGTCCTGGAGCAGTTCTTACAATATGGAATTGCAGTTGTTCTCCTAGGAATAAAGGATAAGATGCAACAATCTGGGGTCTCCTACATAACGGTTACAAAAATGAGAAGTCAAAAACAAATACCACACAGTTAAAATGACTTTTCTGAAAGACATTCATATTTTTAATTTTGTTCATAGTTGTCATATAAAACATCTACATGTAATAATGAAAAGAAAAACCCAGATCTAAACCTTTTCTTCTGAGTTTTTTCATTTTTAGTTCATATGTGGAAAAAATACGAGGGAACTTGGAACAGATGAAAAACTTACACTGTGAATTGTCCAAAAAACATGCATAAAGCATAAAGCAATATCAGTCTGTGAAATGTACAAAATAGCAAATGCTGTATGACCAGTCAGAACAAAAAACAGTCTTTTAAAACATTTCCCTGGCAATGAATAAACATTATCCTAACATATGTACAGTTTTGTGACTTTATATAATGTATGCAGAAAAAATGCCTATAATTATCTCTAAGTCCTACATGATTCTGAATTTGCAAATATCATAAGCAGTAGAAATAAGTCATAAAATGTTAATAATTTCTTATAATTTCTGAATTAATCAGTATTGACTGATAGGGCTCATGTACAGTAAGTGAATATTATGGTATTTTGCACATTTAACCCTCAAAGCTTTTTAATTAAAAAAAGTGAACCTCTTAGAAATCTTTGTAAAACATAGAGAATACATCTCTAAACTTGCAATTATACAACTCATATTAAATATTTTCAATGTGGACATGTGAAATTTCCATGTTATATCCACATGGAATAGATCAGCAGGCTAAATTGGTAATAATATGAAATACATTCACAACAGATGACAGATGCTTATTTATAATAGGTAGGGATATCACATCCATAATTCACAAGCATCTTTCAGGTATACAAAATTTAGGTTCCAGAGAAAGTATAGACATCACAAAGATTCCACTTCTACAGTCATATATCTGAGGACAGACTCCTACTCTATATGACCCAGTAAAGCACTGCACTGAAATTAATTATATCCTACTTGCGAATTCTGCATATCCATTAAATAAATACTTAGCAGAAAAAATGGTTTGCTAAAAACAGAAGACAACTTTTTTTTTAATACAACTTCATAAAATACAGTGTATTTTCACTGGTCTGGGAAAAAGTACTTTATGATAAAGCCAATCCACTGTAATCCAAACACTGAAGTCCAATACATCTTTTTTACATACTTCAAGTATGTAGTTACTAATCCAGGTTTCCTCGTCAACTTTCATATCCAGACAAAAATGTTAATATGAATTCTAACTGATTGCTGAATCTTAAAAGTACTATAAACAAATACCAACTTTTGTAAAGAGCAGAAACTGCTCAGCCTGGAGAAGACTCAGTGGGAATCTCATGAGTCTCCATACATTCCTGAAGAGGTGGTGCACAGAGAATGCAACCAGTCTCTGTTCACTGTGCTCAATGCCAGAACCAGAGGCAATAGGCACAAACTGGTGCACAGGAGGTTCTCTCTGACCATGAGGCACCATTTCTGTTCTGTTCATGTAATGGAGCAGTGGCACAGACTGCCAGAGAGGCTGTGGTGTCTCCTCCTTGGAGATCTCCAAAAGCCACCTGGACATGGGTCTGGGCACCCTGTTCTGGGTGCTCCTGCTGGAGCAGAGTTGGGGCCTGATGGTCTCCTGATATCTCTGCAACCTTAACCATTCTGTGATTCTCTAAATGCTTGCAAGAGTTTAAAATTCAAATTAATTCATGCCTTGCATGTGATTACTCTCTGGCTGCTGGCATTCTCTGAACACTGAAACAATCACTGAGTTGTTATCAACAGAAGGCACAAAGATGAAAACCAATGTTAAACTGAGCATGGTCAACACTAAAGACTCACCTTCACGACCAATAACTGATCTTGATGCTGTATGAAAGCTTATAATTCCTGCCACATTATCACTTGCTAGAATAATCACTGTGACAGTGTCAAAACTGGGCAGAATCCGACTCCCTCCTTCAGTATGAATAAGGCTGATTTTGATGCTTTCATTGTCCTCTGGCTCTGAATCATCTAAAATGGTCAGCACAACCATCTTTTTTGTTTCACCTACACGGAGAAGAATTCATATAAACATACACATGCACACGGATATCACTTGGAAGTAGATAATGATCTCATTTTGAAAGGAAAGATTCATGAGAAAAAAAAAACAAAAACATACACATAAGTGTATGAATCATTGTCATGGTCCACTGCACTAGTCACGGAACTGAGCTAGCTCATAAACCATTGACAATCATCCTTACTTGAATAATAATGTGAGTAGGAAACACTATCAATCTCTAATCTCCATTTATCCAAAAAATTTACAATACAATCCTGTTATGCAGTGCACATGCAGAAGCCAGCCGTGTTTTATAGTTATGAAATTATCAATTTACAAAGTACACATTTTTTCTGGTACATTGTCTTTCAAAATAGTTATAAAGCAGTTTTGACTAAACCATTAACCATTAATGCAATTATAAGCCAGCCTCAGAATCATGGCCAGCAGAAAAAGAGAAACCATCTTTTACATTTAAATGATTTATCAAGCTAGCTAGCACACTGTAATCCTTACCACGCTCCCACAAATTGTTTTCAAAATACCTGTTTCATCAGCACAGGCTTTGAAAATATAAAATGCATCATTAAATACATCATATTGGATGATACATAAGCAAAGTCTGTCGGTGATTTGTTTGTCCTGTTCATAAAATTTTTAAGTATGTTGCTACATAATGCAATGAATATGATCTCAGAATTTAAACTAGACACCATGAAAAATTAGCTGCATTCTAACAAAAAAACTAGGTCTGATTCTCATTTCCATTATCCTTGCTGCTTGCAACTCTCTTCAGCATTATTATTCCTTACTTATGTAATGTAAAGGAAATCTTTATAAAGCAGCACATTGCAATACCTCTTTAACAAAACACATAGATACTTATGGTTTTCATTTTTTTTTTCAGTACCACTGTGTGTGTTCTGCAAGATAATCCTGTAAAATAATGTACAAGCATTCTCTTTTGCGCACATATCCTGCACATTCAGGGAGATAAAGCTTAAGAATAAGATGTTACTTGTAAAAACATCCAAAGAATTGTGTACTGGGGATCTTTTTTGCTTTTTGTTAGTCTTATAAAAGAGAAACCAATGCAAAACCTTGCCTCACCTTCAGCAAACACCAGAGTCTCACCAACACCTATAAAATCCACGTTTGGAGTAGCAGTTCCACCAGTTACATGCCATTGCACTGTCACCTGTCCCAAGCTGCCTTCTGTTCTGTGTATCATTAGCTGCACACTGGCTTGAGGACGTTCCTCTACTTCAACATACAGGCCTTTCTCTGATGCATTGGGACTTACACTGTAGATCTTAAATACTCCAAATGCATCTCCATTCATCATTATGATAACTGTGGAAGTATTTGGCTGTCCTATAGTTGGTTGATTTTTTAAGCTTGCTGAAATGTTCATTAATTCAACTTTCAAAAGGATTATGGTGAATTTCTCATCCAGTTCAGGCAGATCATCAGGCAGTATGGTAACTGTGAGATTTGTAAATTCTTCCCCTTCCTCCATTATGGCCCATTGTCTTGTAACAGGTTGATAATCACTGCCAGCACTGGCTTGTGTGCTAAACAGAGTGAATGCACTAGTAAAGTTCTTCTTGTAGGTCCAGAATCCTGAAATGTTAGTTAAAGGGCTGATCTCCGATGTTAGCCAAAGGCAGAGAGGAATCCCAGAGGCATTGGAAAATGTAAAGGCTGAACAGGCTTGTTCTTTTAGGCACTGAGTTGCACAGATGTACACTGGGTCACTTGCTGCTGACACATTTACTCTGGTCTTGGATGGTTGGTCAGGAATTCCTTGTACAGGAGACTCATAATAGGCCAGGATATCCTGGCCTTGCTCAACAGCAAGAGCTACAATGTCAGTCTCAGACGTGCTGTAGAAAATCTGCAGCTGACCAAATCTTCCCTCACTAAAAGATATTATAATAAAGAAAGTCTTGTTAGTTGACAAAGTCTGTCTAATACTCTGTTTCTGTGTTAAGAATACAAGTGAAAAAAAAAAAATAAAATGGCCATTTCCAAATTCCGATGAAAAATTCCAAGTAATGGATTAAAATGCATTTCCTTTGAAGCTAGTACCAAAATAACTATGGGTTTTGTTTGTTTGTTTGTTTGCTTTGTGGATGGCAGGCTTGATTGTTTATAGCCTGTGTAATACTCTGTTAAGAATGCATAATAGTAAACATGTCTTTCTAGGAATTAGCTCTATCTTCTTAGGACTTGCTAGTTCTCTTCACTGGCAATGAAGAAAAAGCCAGTGTTGTCTAGCCTGGTCATCTTTCCTTTAAGATCATAGAATCAGAATCATAGAATGGGCTGGGTTGAAAAGGACCACAATGATCACCTAGTTTCAACCCCCTGCTATGTGCAGGGTCGCCAACCACCAGACCAGGCTGCCCAGAGCCACATCCAGCCTGGCCTTGAATGCCTCCAGGGATGGGGCATCCACAACCTCCTTGGGCAACCTGTTCAGTGCATCACCACCCTCTGTGTGAAAAACTTCCTCCTAATATCTAACCTAAACCTCCCCTGTCCTAGCTAAAACCATTCCCCCTTGTCCTATTACTATCTATTCATGTAAACAGATCACATACATAAATCCTGTTTTCCTTTTCTTTTTGATTTCAGTTCTGCAAGTGTTGGCTTATTTTGTCCTTCAGTTCAAATGATAGGACCAGGATATTGAGCAGGCCAAATTATCTGATGATTAAATGGATAAAAAGAATCTTCACACACCTTCTGTACAGAGAGTTTATGTTGTACATTTCAATGTATATTACATTTAAATAATTTACATACATTCATAGTAAGCAGACATCTATTTCAGAAACAATACATATGAAATGAAAATGTGTTGGACTGGCAGATCAGAGAACTGATGCAAATACTGAAAATGAAATTTGACATCATAGCAAAGATAAAAGTTAAGAAATTTATAATTTTAAATAAAGGAAGCATTGTACAAACCTTCGTCTGACTGTTATGTTTGCAAGCAAATTTCTTTCCAGTGGCTCCTGGATTCGATATAAGGATTGATGGAAGAAAACTGTGCCATAAGGATTATCATTGGCGGGTATTGTAATTTTTGCCATGCCATCTACCCCAATAGTACCACCATTGGAGGCCTGAGTTAATACTACAAGGACAATCTCAAGAAGAAAAAAAAGAGAAACAATGCAGTTACACAATTTGTAGTATTTCTAATAATAATCATAGCCTGAGTATAAAAGGAACATCCTATATTTCCCTGCCAGAACATCTACTGTTTTCCACTACACCTACTTCTACAACGATTAAAAACTCAAATAATGTTCAAGAAAGATGTAACTGCTTGGCTTACTTCTTCTATTTCTGGAACATCATCAGCCAGGATTTCCAACAGCAGCATCTGAAAGGTTTCTCCAGGGGCAAAAGTAATATTGCCTGTGGCAAACCGCAGGTCAGCATGAGCAAGATGTCCATCAATGGTAGCAATCCAGTGAACAGTCACATTACCAAGGGTCCCAGCATTGCGGATTACTGGCAGATCTATGGGTACTGATCCAAATTCAGGCTCCTCCACAGTGAATTCAGTGATCTGAAAAACTGAAATTCAGCACAGAGAGGTCTATTACATTAGTCATAATATTTGAAGTAAAAGTATCGTTCTTATTTATATATAGTTATTTCACTTGATTATGAAGGTAAATCACTGTTAATCAAGTTTAAAACAAAAACTAACTTTCAGTATTAATATTTTCATTTACTGAGAAAATTAGCATGCAAATTAAGCTTTCACTTCTCTTCCCAAAAGTTCATTCCACAACATCCTTTGTTCAACGCAAGCCAAAAGATATTTCTAATCTCTTCAAAGACACAGTGTGGAAATTTTTAGCATGACTGCCTGCTTTCACAGAATCACAGAATTGCCCAGGTTGGAAGGGACCTCAAGGAATCACGAATATCCAACCTCCCACCACAGGCAGGGCCACCAACCTCCCTCCTTTAATACTAGACCAGGCTGCCCAGGGCTCCATCCAGTCTGGCCTTGAATACCACCAGGGACGGGGCATATACAACCTCTCTGGGCAGCCTGTTCCAGCACCTCACCACTCTCTCTGTAAAGAAAGCTTCGTTTAAATATTTAGTGAAACAAAGAGACTAAACTATTTAAACAGATATTGGCATGTAGATTTTGCGTTAAATCTACTGCAGGAATTCAGCACTTAGAATAAATAAAAAGGTGTTTTGTTTTGTTGAGTAATTTAAAATCTACCATCACTTTTGGAAGACTTTAAAATCCATTTTCCATTCACTTAGGAAAAAAAATCAATATATGAACTGACTGTTCATTTCATCTTGCAATATTAAAGCACCATTACACATTCACCATATGTTTCATTGTAAGTTTATTTTACTTTGTCCTTTACTATAATCTTCAACCAGACCTCCTCTTTATCTTCACAGAATCACAAATCTGTAGTAAAAATGTTAACAGAAGAGAAAAATCAGGCAAGACTCACCAAAAGATCCAAATGGGTCATCAGAAGCCTCGATAATTATGATTGCCCTAGTCAAAGATCCAAGCAGGGCTCCACCTGTTGTTTGATTCAGCAGCTGAACATAAAAGGACTCCTCAACTTCAGGATTTATATCATTAATTATATAAATTGGCACAGCTTTACTTGTTTCTCCTTCTAGTAAGACAACATCCGATGAGGCTACACTGTAGTCCTCTCCTAGATTTGTATATCAAACAAAAAAACCAAAAATAATAAAAATACAGAAGAATATTAACATGTTATGGCTTATAATGGAACACCACTAATATTTATCATCAGTAATATTTATCTTTTTTTGCTTACACATGCATTTCCTTGTGTTCAGATATCCTTTTTTTTAATCTTCAAAGTCAGGGAACATAATCTTTTTCATTTCCTGATGCTTTCTAGATATCTAAATGGATTAGACTAAAACTCAGCTCAGCCAAAACAGGGTATAAACTGTGAGACCAAAAGGCAATTACAAAAAAACTCCATTATTCTCTTCCGGTGAGAAGATCACACTACTGAGATACTTCTGTCTTTGATTTCTGATCATTGTCTGGCATTCCAGGAGATAAAGTAAACAGAAGTACTTTTGTCAAAGTAGATTTTACTGAAGGGAACACTGTGCATGCAGATCTCATTTTAGGCAAACTTTCCTCTAAGAATGCCTAATTAACAACTAAGATATAATAGATAATGGCTCCCCTTCAGAAAATAATTGGAAATATATTGATATACTACTCAGCCTAGAACACAGCTGGAATGCAGTGGGTTTGATCAGTTAGAAGAAGCTTGAGCCTGCAGTTCATGAGGTTACTGCTTTCTTCATGTAGCTTTTTCTACTTCAGGAACCAACTGCAAAACTTCATCTCTTATCTTTAGGAGTAAAAGTCTTCTTGAGTTTTGATTAGGTTTTGTCTGTTTTACAGCTGAACCTCCAGCTCTCAATTCCCTTCCAATAAACTCATACAAGCCATGCATGATAGGTTTAAATAGACATGCAGGACTAGAAAGTACCTACAAATACCAGTATGGGATTTTTAAAAAAAAAACTTTATTATTATTATTATTATTATTATTATTATTATTATTATTATTATTATTTCCAATTTGAATATGTGAGCACACACTAGGGAAATGAATAGCCACTTCCTTTTCTTATTTCTCTTGCTAGATTCTTCAGTGCTAATGACTCAGAGCTTTTTAAAATGTGATGTATGGTCACACAGGGCTTGGATTCCTGTCTCCTGAGCACAGTCAGTAAATACCACATTTCTTTTTTTTCTACTTGTTTCATTTGACTCCAGTTGTTACACACTTGTTTGCTTCGGTTAGTAAAAGCACACAGAATGCCCTGTCTGCTTTAACACACAATATGTATTTCTGCTGTTCTGATTTCTTACCTGCTGTTGCAGTTATTGGCATAGCTTTAAATTTCACAGAAACATCTGCAAATATTCCCCCAGTTCTGGTCACGTTAATGATTGGTCCAACATAATTTTCAGCAACTCGCACAGTTGAAGCTGAAAGCTGAAGTGTTCCAAAAGCATCATCATTGGCATTGATAATTACATGAGCTATTGTCTCACTCGCTGATCCAAGACGAGGAGAATTTACAACTGAAATGTGAAAAAATAACTTAGTGAGAACAAATCCGAAATGTTTTCTATATGTTGCTATAAAGTTAACAGGCATGTGAGCCACTACTACCTTTAACAAAGCAATCATTTTACATTTTGACAAAATAAAATGAAGATATCTTTAATATTTTTATTATATTATGGTAGAAAATCCTTTTTTTTTTTTTTTAACTTATTAATCTACCTTGCTATGGCATAAAGATGAGGTGAGCTATTATCAAAATTATTTGTTTATTTGTCTATAGGACAATAGAATTTAGGAAATATAAGCAACCTTTCAGTTCTCAGCGGAATTATTTGTAAAACTTCCCTTAAAATTATGATTAATCTTGGGTAGGATGTGGGTGACGGGCAAGCAATGAGGCATGTCAAAGAAGCACTTAAGTATAAATCAAGATGTAACGACCAGAATTTATCAGAATAAAGAATCAAGCAAACATCTATGCACTAATGAAAAACAGGATGCATCTATGATTCTACACCACCTAACTTTTAAAAGGCTGTTCTGGCTTTCATCAAGCAGAACTAACATTCCCTAATATATGCTTTAGAGAAACATCATCAAGTGAATGATTATTAGAGCATAAAGCCAATACAGTAAGACATTTAGCCTAGAAGGCCTTGCCTAAGGCAAATGCAAAAGGGATAAAAAAATGCTTATCAACCCCTAACAAAATATAGTGATAAAGGAAATATATGCTGTCAGTAGATACAGAATTATCATGCTGAATATTACATACTCTAACATATACTACTCATAGAATTCTTAACTATACTGAGTTAGGTAGAGGTAAAAATTTATTGTATTTATTGTATAATTCCAATTTTTTAAGCATTAAGCCTGCATACTTAAATATTTACATATGTAAGATACTTACTTGGCCGATCCTGCACTTTTTCAATCAAAACAGTATTGTTTAGCTCCACAAAAACAGATTCTGACCTCTCAGGATCATCATCATCTAAAATAGGTAAAAATATTGTGGCCTCTCTTTCATTGGCAGCAAAGACTGTATAGCCAGTAATGGGTATATAATCTTCTCCTTGTATTGCTCTAACAACATTAGGTGGAAGAAAGGATGACTTTTCATCATCACCTAGAGTTCTGTATGTTACCATTACTGTACCGAGGACACCACCAAGCCTTACTATTGTCAAGGAGACATTTTTTGTTTCTTCCTCAACTTTTATTGGTCTGTTTTTCTCAGAAAAGATGAACAGTCCATATGGATCATCATTAGCTAAAATTGTCAATGTTGCATTAGTATGATTTCCAAGGCGACCATTGGAAACGTTGATGATCAAAACTGAAAATATCTTATCCAGTTCAGGAACATCATCAGGAGAAACCTGTACTGTGATGTTTGCTCTCACTTGGCCGACATCAAAAGTTATGTTTCCATATGTAGAGATGAGATCTTCAGTAAGATCACAGTCTATGATCCAGTGCAGAGTCACTTCAGACAGGGCCCCACGAGTTCTCACAATCTAAGTGGAAAATACAAAGATTTATGTATTTTTGGTGCAATAAGAAAGAAAAGTAAAAGATGGTATAGAGCAAAGTCATGGAACTACAGAATATTCTGAGTTGGAAGGGACGCACAAGGATTATCAAGTCCAACTCCTGGTTCCACACAGGACCACCCTGCATTCAAATCCTCTGTCTGAGAGTGTTGTCGAAACACCCTGTGCGTCCTGTTCCATGCCCACCACCCTCTAGTGCAGACCCTTTCCCAGACCCCCAGCTGCCCCTCCCCTGACAGAGCTCCATGCTGTTCCCTCGGGCCTGTGGCTGTCACACAGAGCAGAGCTCAGCGTCCTCTGTGAGGAGCAGCAGCCACCAGGAGGGCTCTCCTCAGCTCCTCTGCTCTGTGCTGAGCACACCCAGGGACAGGAGCTGCTCCTCACACACCTTGTCTTCCAGACCCCTCCCCATCTTTGTATCCCCCTTTGGATGGTCAGGAATATCTTTATGCCCTTCTTACACTGTGGCAGCCAACCTGCATGCAGCGCTGGAGGTGAGGCTGCAAAGCACAGAGCAGAAGGCACAGCCCCTCCTGTCACCCAGCGCCAGTGCTGGGGCTGCAGCACACAAGCGCACAGCTGGCCCTCTGGACTCCGGGGCATTCATTACTGCTGCCTCACATTCAACTCTGTGTCAGCCAGAAACCACAGTTCCCTTTTTGTGGGACTGCTCTCCTCAGTCTGTACGTACAGCTGGAGCTGTCCTGTCCCATCTACAGAATCTGGCACCTACTCTTCTTAAAATTCATACTGTTGGTATTGCTGATCCCACGAATTTGACATGGTCTCTCTGCAAGGACCCACTAAAAATCAAGCAATTCAACAGCTTTTCTTAATTTGATTTCAGTACGCAACCTTACTTGCTATGCACTCAAGTTCTGCATACAGATCATTTTTAAAAGCATTGGAGAGAACTGGCCCTAAAATGGAGGAATGCAGAACTCAGTCAGAGATTGGCTGCCAGCCTGATGTTACCCAATTTACTAAAAACCTCTGAGACAGATCTGTCAGCCACCACTTCTTCAACCATCACAGTATGTTTTCCTCTACTTGTATGCTGGATATTTTATCCAGGACACTGTGAGAAACAGCATCAAAATTTTTGCTGAAATCTAAAAGGATTACCTAAGCTGACTGTCCTTTTTCCACTAGATGAATAACTTTGTTGTAAATGGACAGTAAATGTCTTAACCAGGCCTTTCCCTTGTGAACCTGTGCTGACTCTGACCAATGACTGCATCGTCTTCCAGGTCTTTTTCAATAACTCCCAGGACTTTCTCCATAATTTTAACAGGCACCAAAGTGAGAATAATATGCCTGTAATTAGTGGGATCTTCTTTTTTGATCTTCTTTTTTGTCTTTCCTGAGTACTGGGACAGCATTTGCCAACCTCCTCTTAACTGGGACCTCTCCAGATTTTCAAGACTGCTGAAAAATAATCGAGAAAAGTCAGCTCTTCAAGTAGCCTAGATGAATTTCACCAGGCACCATAGACTTATATGCATCGAGATGGAGCATCAAATCCCACCTAAATTTAGATTTGGTGAGGAGTTGATCATTACCAAAGGCGCAGTTCCATAACTCAGGGCTCCAGAGGGAGCCCATAATGAGTGTTTCCATGTTATTTATGTTCTTATTTTTGAAGTGACCATTTTCATAAAATGAAGGAATCTTGCTGTTAGTATACTTTTAAAAGCCTCTTTTATTGTCCCTCACAGTATTGGCTGGCTTCAACTCTAATTGAGCTTTGGTTACACAAACTTTCTCTCTGCAATGGCAAACATCATCTTTGCAGTCCTCCTAAGTAACTAAACCTTGCTGCCAGTGGACATACACTTTCTTTTTCCACCTAAATCTGAAGAAGATAATCACTGCTCTGCCAAACTGGCCTTCTGTCCAACTTTCTTGACTTCTGATATTTTGGAATTGCCTGCTTCTGTGCACTTCAGAGGTGGTGCTTAAAAACTGACCAGCATTGATGGACTCTAATTCATACAAAAGCAGTGTCTCAGAGGACCTTACCAAGTAGTTCCCCGAGCAGCCCAAAGTCTGCTCTCCCCATATCCAAGGCTGAAGTTTTACTGGCAATTTTCTGCCTACCACAACAGATTTTAAACCTGATGACTTCATGGTAACTGTGGCCAAGACATCTGATGGCCAGTTCATCCACAACACCCTTTCTGCACACTGCATATAATCGAGCTTCTCCATTATGTACACCACCAAATCACTGACACAAAGAATAAGCAATAATGTTTTTAAAACACAATGTAATCATCATTATCTCAGCTTTGCTGTATTTGGTGTGCCTAAGCATTTCATTTAAAATATTCCTGTCTTAAACCCATAGATATAGTTATTACATCATTTTAGCTCAAAGCTGAAAGATACACCAAAGAAAGTGAAGTATGAAGCGACAAAATAGATATGCATGATAAAGCTAGATTAAAAACTTGTAGGCCAAGGGGAAACAAAACACTCTGTAAGAACAGAATAGAACAGGACTGCACAGCAGTATGAGACCCAGAACTTTCTAACCTGAAGCACAATATTGCTATCTCCATCTTCAGGCTCAGTTCCATTCACCGAGAGTGACTCAGCACTGAACTCAAACACTCCATGAGCATCATCAGAAGCTTCAATAGTCACAATGATGTGCGATGCAATTCCCAAGCTGGCTGTAAGTATAAGTTCCAAAATGAGTTATTATTTTTTTCTAGCATCATTTCTTACATGAAAGAGATCACCTAAGAAACTTTTTATAAAAAGCACATATCTGCACTGTAAAGCCTTTTTTTTTTTTTCTTTTTTCTTTTTAATAAACGTAGAATAATGACAATAACTATTCAAATGGATAAAGAACTGACTTGCAATAACACAGTCCTGGCAACTCTCCAGAGGAAAAACATAGCACAGCAAAATAATAAATAAAAGGGAGGAACAGAAGGAAAACTCATCATGTAATTAATGAATATCAATCAAAATTTAGGGTGATGGTGAGTTAAACAGTGAAACACAGTGTTAACAGTGTAAACTGGATAAAAACAGTGCTATCATAACAGCAGCTGGAATTAAAATAAAGAAGAATAAATAAATCCGAGAAGTCTTAGTACTATAATTATCATCATGGCTAAAATAACTTGCTGCTTAAAAAGAGTCTGGCACTTAGGAAAACAATTTCAGGAAAAACAGATGAGGAAACAGTACATCCCTGGAGCTCCAAAAAGTTGTTAAGCCACTGACTAGTTACAAGCTGAACTCCTTTGAATTTACAAATAAATCAGAAAATCAGACTGTTGCTGTGGAATATACTGTATAATGGGGGCTAAAAGACATTTTTCAGGTCAGTAGGGCTTAAATCAAAGGCATGTTTAATTAGAATTTTCCCTCAATTTTCAGGCTTTCTGCATATAGTATTTTTTTTTCCCTGTATGTCATGATAGAGATAGAAACTTAAAGAAATTGACAAAAATATCAAAGCGTTCCTTTAAAAAAACCTAACAAGGCTTATTTTTCTTGAAGAGTGTTTTTGACATATAGAGACTCAAAGTGAAATAAAACAAGTATCAAAGCATGTAGTCAGATGATTCTTAGATTACCCTCCATTTAAAAAGTGTCTTTGCTCTTTGTTCTCCAGAAAATTTGATGATTGTCAGCAAAAATAATTTTGCAGCCTATGCTTGCTGATTAATAATACTGTGTTTTACAACAATATAGTTTTGAAGATAGAGAAGCTGTTACGTTCTGTGTTACACTCAGTATTGACTGCTTTTGAAAGTAAGCCTGCCTTAACAGGACAAAGAACATCTTGACAGAATTCTATGATACACCTAAATGAATCATCTGAGGCTACAAATAAGGTAACACTATTATAAACGATGTCCATGGAATAATTTATAAGGGGTATTACAGTTAGCAATAAAGAAATTAAGGTTAATCCAAAATGCTTACCATGCTGATAGGCAGTTTGAAGGAAGAAATCCATGTTCCCATCACCACTACCACTGCCATCATTTCTAAAGAGCTCAGCAACTTTTAGATGACAGACACACACATATATACACATATATACATTTATAAATACAGAGTAAGCAGAGGGTAATTTAAACAATTCAGGACAACAAGAAAAAAAAAAAAGAGAAAAGCATTCTAGGAAGGCATAAACTACAGTTACGAAAGTGTACAGTATTTCTGATTAAAATTTCTTAATTTATGACATTGGGCATAGCGCTAGAGGGTCAGAAGGGAAGAAAACATCTACACCTATTTTTTGTCTTTCTTTTCTTTTCCTTTTTGTATTCATTTTTTGTACTTTCCCTTTCCTACTCCTGAGGTTTGCCATAGAGAAATGTAAAGTTGCAATAATGCAAGTAAAGCTCCCCAGACCCTTCATTCTAATGTCTCACAAAGTGAGAACATGTCAGAAAGTTAGGAAGATCTGCAGAAAGCTTAACTAATGGGGATTTTACCCTGAACTTTATACTTGTGCAGTGTACTTTGCAGGCCAAAAAAAGAGTTCATTTTAGGGAGGGTATCTACCTACTGGATTCTTAAATTTAGTTTTAAGTTTTCTGACAAAGCAATTTGAAAAAGAAAGATTTTATTTCTCTTAACAAAACAACCAAAAAGATGAAATACATGAGAAGTCTATTAATTTTATCAAAAGAATCACTAAGGCCACACTATTCTGTAGACACACCGTACAAACAGTGGACAGCTGGTTTATTCAAGGTAGTGTGATATAACTTTCTATAAAGTATCACAGTTCCAGAAAATCCATTAAAAAAAATAAAATCAATATATGACTCTCAGTGTTTCCAATAATTTATTTCCCCAGAACAAGAGATTAGATCTCCTCTAAAAATTTTCTCCAATTGAATAAGCTTCTTTAAGTGATTAGGGAAACCACTAATGCTTGCTGTCCTAGCACCTCAAACCAGTAACTGGAGCATTTTTCTTGGCCTTACAAATACCTACCTAACGCTACAACGTGGCTGTTACTCCCAAACCTCTCAACATCCACAACCTATTACTACTGTAACCCAATTGAACATGTTATGAGCCAATGTTTTATAATTTCTCTGATTAAAAAAAAAACAAAAAACAAAAAACAAAAACAACAAAAAAAAAACTTTTGTTTTTTAAATCAACAACCACTACCATAATTTGACCACTTAGATTTAAACATTTTATAAATATTCAAAAATTTTGAAATGCAATGAGTTATTAATACGTTTTCTGTATTACTTTAATTCTCATTACCAACTATTGTTACATAAAGTGAAAAAGCAGCAACTGCCTTTACATATCTGTTTGTTTACTGTGATTAACTAACAAACTAAGGAGTATTTTTTTTCCTAAGAAAAAAGAATGCTGCTTGAGGAATGCAGGAGTGATTTTTGTTTGTTTTCAGAAATTACATGAAAATAATACCAATAAAGACAAGATTTTAATGAATAGAGTTAATGAAAATACAACTAAGTGATTGATGAACGTGACTTACCTCCTCCCTCTGGGTTCAACAACTCCACTTCAAATGTTTTTTCTAATTCAGGAATAGAATTGTCAGTGATGTTAACTGTAATGTACTTGTATCTTTCTCCTGGCTGAAATTCCAGTGTGCCCATGACAGCCTGCAATATGAAAGCTATTCATATTTTTTTGTTCTAATGTTTTCTTCCATATGAAAAAAAGAAATATAACCTTCATTTTGTCTTTTTCAAAACATCTATTTTTTTTTTTAACTTATGCTTTAAAAAAAATATCTGATGAATCCTTTACAAAAAAGGACATCTAAATGGATTGACCAGTGAACATCTGTATTCATTTCTAATTTTTCTGTACAATTATCACTTGGACAAGCAAATGTATACAAATGCAGACTTTTATTTAAGCATAAAGAAATTCCAGTAAATATATACATAATTTAACCTGTACATGCATCTGAATGAAATAAAATTCAAAACAAAACAAAACAAAAAAACTTCTTGCTATATGACATCTCTCTTAAGACAAAAAATCAAAACCAGAGTATTTTCTTAGGAAATGCGACTTCCTACATAGAAAGAACATAGAAGTCATATAGCAATTTATACACTAAAGGGAATATTACATATTCATTTACCACATCAAGGAGTCTTTCCATGAAAGAACTGTAGTTGGGGTAAAGTAGTCAAACTGAAGGGTTCAGCTCAGGATAAGTAATTCTAATTAAATCCCAAAATAATTATACTGCTTTGGCCATACCTGGTAATCTTTTGGGCTGAAAGCCGAAAGTGGCACTGTTCTGTATTCCACCAGAACTGTTCCAAGAAGGCCTTGTGCACGAACTACCAGTAATCTGATGTGTCCAACTTCTTCTTTAACAGTAATGTGGGGCACAGAAGAAGCTGGAAGAATCATTTTATCACCTGGCTGAGGAGGTAGCCCCACAGAGAACTGAAGCAGACCTGGCAGACAAGAAGTATCTCTTATATGGCTTCTTGAACCATATTTAAATGATGATAATCAATTTAAATCAAACAATCAATTATATTTATAATATGTGATGGTTTCTGAAATTAAAAATCACTTATATTGATATATCCTTATGCATCCACCACACTGATTCCAGGGATGTGCTGCATCTTCCCCTCTCTCACTGATCTTGTCAGTCTTGATAAAGAAATAGCACTATAATAAAATCAGCTCTTCTCAAATGAGCCTCGTGTTACTGGCTATTAGTGGTATAACAAGCATATAAAAATGACACTCATTATCAGAAAATCACATTTGTTAACGTTTTCACAAGATCAACATGTAGCCCTTACTTGTTCTCATAAGGGGAGCACTGCCTGACTAGCAAAGCTTCCAGGCCTTCTTTTAAAATTCTCAAGAACAATTCAGCATTCTTTCAGGTATATAAGCAATGAATTAATCTCAAGTTAAGTAAAGTGGAATACTTGGCATTGCCTCTTCAGCTATTAAGACAAAGAAGAGGTTTTATCTGACTAGCAAGAACTACACAATTATTTGAAACAAGACTGTATGATTTCCATCATTGTTACCATATGGGTGGTCACTGGCTCTGATGCTGATATCAGTAGTTTCCTTCTCTGGATCTATACTTGCTCCACTGGTAGGAGTTGAACCTAGTTTTCCATCTCCAGACACTGCAGAGACTAATGTCACACGGAAATATTCATTTAACTCCGGAATGTCATCATCAATAACATGCAAATTTAACACCTAGAGAAGGATCAAATCATGGAAAAATCAAACCATGCAACATTCAGCATGAAGAGCTTCACGAACCCGCTTAATTCACTGAATTTTTTAATTAGGAAGCCAACTGTATCTGCTGTGTAGTTCTGAAAGTAATGGACAAAGTAGTAAAGCAAGAGCCCTTTCTGGCACTAGATAGTGTAAGACACACCTTATCCAGGACAGCAGATTTGAAAAGATTAGGAAAATTCTGCTTTGTATCATTCTATGAAATGCAATAATATGATTCACCACAATTAAAGCTGAATGACTAATGACATGAACAAACTATGTGCAGATATGACAAGCTTTCAACAGTTATTATGTTATTTAACTGGGACCAAATTCTCAGTTCTAGTGAAACCGCTGGGATCCTTTCAAATGTCTTCGGTGAATTTCCATCAGTCCATACACTGAATTCTGCAAACTGATGCAAGTGAAACTGATGATGGCGTCCTCCACTCAAAATTCATGCTCATTATACAAACACTACTAGAAAACATACATGAACTCTCTGCAGTATTGTGGTCTCACACCACTTCAAATAACTGTAAAAATTCTGTGCTGCAGGTCAGGAATAATGAATTCATTAAAATAGTTCAAGCAAAAAGAGACAGAAGCTGGATGCAAAACCAGCAGTTAACTTCACTGCTATTTAACTGATGTGAAGATAAATCTGGGTTGCAGCACTCTGTTCAAAAAGTGATAAATTTCAAAAGTAACTGGACTATTTACACTTTAAAAATGTACAGAATGTAGTACATGTACAGAAATATAGTTATTCATTTCTATATATTGTATATATACATTTTTTTAACTTTATGTGCAACCAAATATACATGCACAAATTGTAACTCCTGAACTGAGGTATACACTAAAAAAAAAAAAAAAAAAAAAAAAAGTGCTGCAAAATATGACAAAAGGTATGTGAAATAAGCACTCTGATATGAAAGCCTGTCAAGGACCCTCAGAAGGTATTCTCCAGCAGGTTTGCAAAGAACAGGATGAATAGTTAATAGGAAGGTAGGGTTTACCTCTGATCTCTGCCAAGGGAGGAATGTGATAGTGCCACTGCTATTAGAAAAATCGGTAACAGAGTAATTAATGCCAGTGGAATCAACCTGTGAGATAATGTACTTTATATACACGTAGTCTAGGGCTCCCCTTGTACGCTCCACAACACAGGATATAGTGGAACCTTCATCAGATATCTGGAAGAAAGCAAGAATTTTAAATGTTTGTTTCTGTAAGAGTAAATCAAGACAATAAATGCATAACATAGAATTTTCTAATGTCAGTCAAATGTTCAGCTAAAAAAAAAAATCACTGTCATGTTATTTTCAGTTCTTTTGGAGTTGTAGGAAGCTGAAACTTTACCCTGGACAGAATCTCTTTCCCAAAGTTGTGTGTCAATCAATAAGAATCAATATGCTTGAAATATACAAGTCAAAAGCAACTCAAACTACTTTATATTAATGCAGTTTATTTTAATTTTCCTTAGCAATAATTTGCAGAAAGATTTGGATCATCCCTTTTCCGAACACCATAGAAAAAAATAGATACATTAAAATTAAACTATACCATCATAATTCAGAAGAACTTAGAATTTTCTGTGCTACAGTCCTCCTTACAGGTCTATCTTAACAGCAAGAATTTCACATCTTTGTAAACGTATTCATATGGACCATATGTTTTAGAATAAATGATAGCAATATTGAAATAGAAAATAATTTAATCTGAAAATTTCCAGAAAGATTAATCTTATCATAGTCATTAAGAAAATTTCAGGTATGCTGTGTGATACACTGTCGATACTGCATGCAACTTCAGCTTTCTAGTAGATGAATGCACACAAAGTTAAACTACTAGTAAACCATTGCTGTGTTCCTGCATCATCAGTAAGAGTTCTAATGTTTCTTTGGTGAAATGGACATAAGATAGGTGCAAAACAATTAACAAACAATATACATTTTTAATTTTTCTTTATGGTTGCTTGATGATCTGTGTCATCACTGTATCTCAGTGGCATTTGAACCTAATGGAATCCATTATCATAGCATATGGTGGGCACACAAAAAGCAAAATGAGCCAAACTGAAAACTAGTATCACTCAGCCAGTGCAGTTATTCTAAAAAACGTTGCACGTTAGCACTCTGACTAAACAGAATGTAATTAAAAATCTGTAAGAGCTCCCAGTTCACAAACTATATTCATTGTTTTGCTCCAAAATAATACAGTACTAATAAAAACAGCAGTCATGTTCTTCCTCTCATACCTGATTAAAGTAGAAGATGATTTATATCTATTTCAATCTGCTCCAAAAAGTAGCAAGTTTACACAGTACAGAAAAAAAACCTCTTAAAAACTAAAAACAAAACAAAACAAAACACACACAAAACACTACTAGTATTAACCAAACTGATGCCAAACATGTGAAATAAAGACTTTGTTCACATCAGCTGGACCTGTAGTTAACCTTTCAGTACATAGAACTTCACCTACAATTTTCCTTTGATCACCTTACCTCAGGGATACATGCTCCAGTGAAGCCAAATAAACCATTAGCATTATCACTTTTTTGTATTCTTAATCTTGCTGTGGTATTTTCTTGTGAAATCCGAGCTCCACCATGCACACAAATGAGCTTTAGTATGAATAATTCCTCTCCTTCTTCCTCATTGTCATCCTTTGCAGACACGATGAATGATTTATTGGTTTCTCCTTGCTGATACTCCAAATATCCAGAGACAGGGTGGACATCATTTTTTGCAGGAGTTGCATGGAGTTCATAGATCTCTGCACGTGTCAATTTACGCTCATAAAGCCTTACATCCTGCATTAGCCCTGTGTACCTACTGCTGCCATTGATTCCTGCTCCAATTCTTACTATTCCTGGACCTGAGAAGAAAATTATAATTTTTCTCACATTAATGCTTTTCTCTGAAGTCATCAAAGTCTGTAATTAAATTGTTCTTTTTGTTAAAAAATCAATAGTAAACTGCCTATTACCACTGAATTTGGAAACATGTTGATCTTGAAATAAAAAATGAGGAGGTTCTTTGAACCTCGACTCAGAGCTTCAGTGAGGTCATCACAGGCCAAGCAGTTCCATCTTAGACTGTCCAAATTTTTTCATCCCATTAATCCTAACAGCACATGGTCACAATCCCTTAATTTTATGAGGTGTAGAGGCCAGAGGTCCCCCCTTGCAACTCCTTTCATTCTCTGTTTTGCTTAACAAACCCTATTTCGACTCTCTTTATTGATTCATTGTCACAACACTCATAAACACATTATTAGCATTTCTGAACATAGGTTTCAGCCACTGTATCAGCTGTACAGATTTCAAGAAGGATCCACAAATTCCAAATGCTTTTCACAGTAACATTAATACTTCTATGTCTCTGAACGATTATACTATTCAGCAAATTATATATTTACAGCTGCATTTTTACAAACATACTGAGCCAATAACGCATATTCTATTCTATTCTATTCTATTCTATTCTATTCTATTCTATTCTATTCTATTCTATTCTATTCTGTTCTGTTCTGTTCTGTTCTGTTCTATGCTGTTCTGTTCTGTTCTATCCTGTTCTGTTCTGTTCCATTCTATCCTATCCTATCCTCTGATATTTTATTTCATTCTACGCTTTTCTATTTCACTTTATTCTACTCTGTTCTGCTAAAACACATACATCTCAGCTGTTCTCAGCTGCTTTTCTGAAAACAAAGAAGCAAAAATCCAACTCTTCAGTGTACTGTTATACATATGACACTGAGTGGCAGTTCCAGCAACTAATAATGAGTCTGCCCAGCACATAATAATACAAGTTTGCTACTAAATCATGTCCTTAAGCAGCATGTCTCATAAATACCTCCAGAGATGACAACTTCCACCTTAGAAGACTGTTATAGTGCCTAACTAGTCTTTCCATGAATACATTTTTCCTGATATTTAATCTAAACCTTCTGTGGAATAACCTAAGGCCTCTTCCTCATGTCCTATCACTTGCCACCTGACAAAAGAGACCTCTGCCATACTCACTCCAAGCTCCTGTCAGGGGAATCTCAACAATGAGGTTTCCCTTCAGCCTTCTCCCAGACTAAACACGTCCAGTTCCCTCAACTGCCATGTCCTTTCTATTAGTTCCTTTTCCAGCTTTGCTGTCCTTCTCTGAATGTGTTCTAGCAACTCAATATATTTCTTTTTAGCTAAATCTTACTGAAATTATTAATTGCAGTAAATGTACATGACATATACATATATTATTAAAAAAAAAATTGTTGATTTGTTTTCAAATTTTTACAGTCTAAGCTCATTATAGGTTTGAATTTTTTAGAACTTTCCATGTCTAATTTCCGTGTACTTTTAAAAAATTCTGAAAGTATTTTTTCCTTTTCTTTCAGTTTTTTTCCATGTCCTTTCAATAAACTAATCAGATATAATCATTTCAATATATTGTCTCCACCTCTCAATGGGCTACACTCTTCTATGCATTTCAACTTCATGTAAAGAAAAATATAATGAAATCTGTTGTCTCACCATCAACAATCGCTTCTCCTTTCAAACTCTTCATTCCTCCTAGAACTAGAATTCCATCAATGTAAAATTCAATTATACTTTCATCAAGAGTAATCAAAAGGTGAAGCCAAGTATTCTCATCCAGGTATTTCATGATTGCTGTTTTGGCCATATATGTCATATTGGATCCTAATGCTGTGTAATGAAGAACTACAGAAACATGAGAATCATTTGTTTGGATTTTCACACCATAATATAAAGTCCCATTATCACTGTCCTTTTCAACTATATACCCATCCGTATTGACATTAGGAATTAGCCATGCTGAAAATGTAAAATTGGTTAGTGCGGTCTTTCCGTTGTATGGATCTTCAGGACCAATAATGCCAAATGCATCCCCTTTTCCACTGAAATATAAAGCATCTGTTCCACTGTGATGGCGCCTCATGTGGGGCTGTGATTTGACTGAACTTGGAAAGGATCCAAGCAATAAGAAATCTATCATTGCTGGCAGTCCATCTGAGAATGTACCAGACAGTATTTCCCAACCTAATCGGACAACACCAAATGTGCCTTGCTGTCTCCAGATGGTGAAGTCTGTAATATAGGAAAGATCATCTTCAGAAAGAGTATCTTCCACAATCTCTCTCTCCTGGCTCTCTGGATCTATAACAAACACTCCAAAAGGGTCATCATTGAAAGGGATCATGACGATTACAGAAAGGTTGGTTTCGGATAACTGGCCACCAGGACCAGGAGATCCACCTATGTAATAGAAGTTAGAGTAAAAGTTAATGGTTGGTTTCAAACATGATCAGGAAGAAACTTATGAAGTACTTCAATTCTTAAATAAAATACATTTTTTAGAAGGTACAAATCTTCCTTTAAGATCCTCTGGAATACTAGCAAATCATCTAACTTCAAAATTGTGTAATTTAATTGTATTATTTTTAAAATGCTGCGGTGGCACAATCTCAATAGCAAAACTCAGGTTATTTTTTAGCTGCAAAACACAATGATAACTTTCAGCTAAAAGATTAAGTCCAGCTTTTCTTAATTAGTCAACTTTTGTTTCACTTGATAAGCATGGGGCCAAAATCAGTTCTTACATTACTCCAAAACTTGACTATGAAATGGCAAAGTCTTGTCCATTGCTTCAGAAACAGAAGCATATATACCTTGCAAAATCAGTGTTCAATTGTGTATTAAAACTGTTGACAAGTTGTGCTACTAGTCATCTATTTCTCCACAGTAAGAATTGATGATATGGAGATCACGATGTAAATGTAAATTCTCCATGATCAAAGTGTACAGTGAGCTACCTATTTTAAGTAGGAAATCTTTTGTACACCCATATGGATTTCACTTACAGGAAAGGTCAACACACATTTTCAGTTGCACCAGGGTACAGAAGACCATAAATAGTACTGAGGTGGAATGAATCCAGATTAGGAAATACACCCAGTAGCAATCTGAAGTTGTAATTTATGTCATATGAAGTGGTGTCTACAAGTGGTTTACCTCCTCTAGGGAAAAAAAAAATAAATAAAGGAACTCTATTACAGTAGATATGCATAGTCTTTAATATCTTTAATATTTATTCTTCTGCATGGAGAACCATGTCTCTGAAACGTAGGTTGCTATGTTTCTGAAATGACACTACTACATTTTCATTTCAGAAATGGAGAGCCATCCTTTTTAAAGTTCAGATCAACAAAATATGTCTAACAGTAATTCAGGAACTAACCATATTCATATACCTAATTTAATATTAAATGAAAAATAAAACCTAAAACCTTACCAGAAAATCATAGGATATCAAGACATGATATCATAGGATATCAAGACATGATTCAAAGCAATGCTCTTTCTAGTGCTGGTTTCTTTTTGATTGATTAAACATAATTCTTTTCTACCAGGTATGAAGTGAATGGTGATATGGAAGACAATACCTGAAGCATTCACCAACTTTAGAACGTAAAATTCATTGAATTCAGGAATTCTATCTGAAATAGCATGTAGTATTATTGGCTTTGATCTTTCACTATCCATGAAGAACACAGTTCCATAAGTTTCGTAGAACTCTTCTCCTGGCTTCAGCGCGGAGTTGTTATCGAACAGCTGCCAGCTCAAAGAAACATTGCCAAAATGTCCTCTGTGTCTCAAAATCCTGTTTAGTGATACAAGAAAGAATGTGTGCTGGCAGGTAAGCATCAGTATTCCGTAAAAAAGGAAAACATGAAAACTCTAATCTTCCTTACAGAGAAAAGCAACACACTATGTTCTAAATAAAAATGAATAATAAGTATAAGTCCAATTAAACACCTGCAATTCTGTAGTATAATTCTACTCCCAGGTATACCATATGTACCTTAGAAAAAAATTGCCTGTGAAGGCCCAAACATGGTTTATCCTGTATTTCTAGTACATAAACAATAAATTTGAATGTACAGTACTTCGGAAAGTCAACAATAAAAACCAATATACTCAAACACCTTTAGACAGGAAAAAGAATCATCTACAGTTAACTGCAGACATTTCACTATTTAGTCATCAAGCCTCCTTCAACTTCTTCTTAAACTGGTATTAAAGTAGGGTTATGTTCTATGCCTTATTTGAGGTTAAGAATATACTAAGTGAAAACAAGATTTGATTATTATTGTTAAGACATGTAGCCATTAGCACAATGTCTAATGGCTAACAAAAATCAAATACACATGTAAAGAATAATTAAAAATATATATAAAAACAGCCTTTTCCCTAACTATTCACCCTACCACATTTATGATGATCTAACTTGTCTTTACATCTAGTCTAGGGATTTCTTAAGAAGAAAAGAAATCATTATTTTCATCAAATTATAATCCCATACTAAGTTTATTTACTACTTTATTGTGTAACAAGATAAGATGCTGAATACATGGCACTAAGGGACATGGCTCAGTGGGATGGGTTGGGTTTGGATGTGGTGATTTCAGAGGTCTTTTCCAGAGTTAAGAATTCTGTGATGCTATGATTTCTTCAACGCTTCTCATTCTTGAATGCAATTCAGTAACAGAAAGAAAAATACCAAAAGTCAGATTAGTTAAGTGCATTTTCAGCCTAGAAGGCACTCACATCTGGAATGTGTTAACAGATCTAAATCTGTAATTAATGGATAAAAGAAAGAACCCAGTAGGAAAAAAAAAAAAAAAAAAAAAAAAAAAAGAGTAGTATGGATTTGTAAATGAAAGTTTCAAAAGCCATTTATAGCCACAGTCTTATTTAGCTAATTGTGAAGAAGTTTTTTACTTCTCCATTAGCAGAGGTTACACTACACTCAGTCAGATTCTTCTGTACCTAGAGTGCTGAGAGTATAACACTGTGTTCTTACTTATTTACAATGCAACATAAGTCTGTACGCCTTTTACATTTATGATCTATTTTAATATATTACTGTTCATGTCTTCCACACATTACAAATAACGTATTCCAAAAAATTTTTTGCCTATTTTTCTGTAATAAAATTCTTTTAGTACATACTTTCATGGAGTTAGATCAAAGTACTGCTTGCAAAGTAACACATACAGCAGTTCCAAAAGAGTGCACAATATTATTTAAAAGCTACTTACAAAAAAGCATTACTTTTGCCTTCCTCCACTGCCTTTTCTAAAGGTTCCAAAGAGAAAATTCCATTAGGGTCATCATTTGCTTCAATTATAACTGTAGCCATTCCAGCCATAAAGATAACAGTGTCCCCTAAAAAGAGGAAGAGGAATAAGAATAGTAATTATAAATGTAGGTAACTATAAATCCAAGAACAGTTATATAGCAGTGAAAAGCAGTATTTGAGATATTCAATAATAGACAATTCAGAGTAAAAATGATCCAGTAATATATCATAAGCAAGACATAACATTTTTCAGGAAAATAGATATATGATATAAACTGTGAATATATGATTCTATTTGCTTGGCATCCTTACATGTAGCTGTCCCTACCCAGGGAAAAGGACTATATAAGAGGTCATATTTTGTGTTCGAACAGATGGTCATGTAAAAATGATAAGATATTCAGAGGTATAGAATAAAATAACAAGGTATTTGTAGAACGCAGACTTCTTTAGACCTAGAAGTACTGTATTTAAACTAAATACAAGCCAAGAGCAATGTCTATGAGTTTACACTCATATCATAGAAGAGCTGAAATGAAAAATTATAGGATAATTATGATGCAAAGAAAAAGTTTGTAGGATTCCTACTGTGTATATTAGCACTGTAGAGATTAATTCTAACACCATGTTTCCAGTTCTATGTCATTTTTTATGCTATTTCGGAGCATCAGACCAGCTTCAGTTCCACATTAAAGAATGTGCTTACAAAGGTAACTTCATATACTTCTGTTTGTATTTTCTTTCAGGTACAATAGTCCCAATATAGTTATCAAAAGGCCTGCAACACTCAGAGCCAATATATGTAACAGACCACAGAAAGAAAATCAATGAAACTGCTTTCCAGAATGCATCCTGAAATATTCTGTATTCTTAGTGATTCTGGACACTCTACAATGACATGCTGCTCCTTTAAGAAGAAAAGGGGGACTGTGAATATCCATTCTTGTAGGACCACTGTGTCAGGACAGAAGCAATTGTACGTTTCCAGTGAGGTAATAAAAGAAACTACCAATAGATCCTGAAGAAAGTTAAGCAGAAAGAGACTGAAACATGAAAAAAGAATTATGATTTTGTCTGATCCCTTCCCTTTGTCTCATCTGAGGTGCTGTACAGATCTGGGTATCACAATGAAGATTGGCTGGTCTCAGGAAACAGATGAACTGCCTGATACTCAAAACAAGTGCTTAAAATTTCCTTGTCATCTGGCTGCCCGCTACCAATGTGTAGGGCAGGATTCACTTTGAGATCAATGCAGCCCTCAGAGCCAATTTTAGGCCAGCCACAGCATGTCCACTTCAGTGTGATCTGAGTCACTCTCTAGCTTTATTGACTAGATCATCACAGACTGACAGGAGTTAAGATGCTTGGTGTGCTCATAGATGCCTAAGTCTAGATATATAATTTTAGGTCTTCTAACTTGAATTGAATCACTGGTAGGTATATTACTATGACAACCTGTCACATAATCTCAAGGTATGGTCCATTGGTTAATTATGATCATATTTCTTTGCTTCATTAAATTACAGCCCCTCAACTCTTACTGATTGCTTTGATGTCTCATTCAGTTCAGATTTATTTGGGATTGAAAAGATTTGCAGTGCATTCACAATTTATCACCTCTCAGCTACAGAATGATAGAACCCATAGGACAGTAAATCATTTAAATTTGTTAACAAAATTGCAAATGACTCCCACAGTACCTTGAGTTTTGGAGGGGAAGGTCTTTATTAAGCAGTCAGAGACCAAGAAAATTTATGTATTTCTTTTACTTCCTTTTTATATTCTCATGCATATTACACAACAGTGTATATGTTGTATACACAACAGATATTCCAAAAAGATACGTATTTGAAAAATTAGAGGAATGTGCTGGATAATTTTGATTGTTTCTTGTTAAGTGACAACTATAAAAAATAATAATCAAAAAAGAGGATGTTATTCCTATGGTAATAAATTCTTTCTTCAGATGTGGTCCGTGGTGCCAGAATGCATACTATTTTTTATTACTATAGAAAGAAAACAGAAAACAATTTACATGGCCTTCCTTTAAATACGGCTGTTCTGTTTGCTTTAAAAAAAAAAAAAAAAAAAGTAAAAGAATCTCTCTTTCACTAAGACTGTTGCAGTTTTACAGTTCTTTATAATTGTGTTTTCATTGTAGTCAAGTTGAAACACATCTAATTTGGAGCATTCATGTTTGAAAAGAGACTTCCACTTCAGCTGGTTTTGCAGGAAAGGTCTCAACTGCACCATTTAATTTTTGTTTCTAACAAAAATTTTGTTTCTAACAAAAATTTCAAAAATTGCAGCAAAACAAAAGGAGAGCAAAACCAACAATACATCAGATCATTACTTTTACCTGTAGAATTCAAAAGGAGAACATAAAATGTTTCATCAGTTTCAGGGGTATCATCATCATTAATATACACAGATAAGTTCTGCTCTCTTTCTCCAATATCAAAGAAAATGATGCTGCTCTTTCCACTGGGAACAAAGTCTCCTTCTTCAGCTGTTGCATCTCCATTGACTGTAATATACTGGACAGCAACAGCAACATCAACAGATCCATTCCTTAAGACTGTAAAGTTTGCAGCACTTCCTTCTTGAACAGTCACTGTCAGAGGTTCTGAAAATACAAAAACCAAAAATGTACCTGAGTTCAACCCTGAGTTCTTTGCAATTGTTCTATTTTCTTAATCCTCTGTAAATAATCCTCATTCTTTTTCAGTGAAATAGAAGGTACAGGTAGTTAAAACATGGAAACAATTTCAGATACAAAGGAATAATTTTGTACCTTGAAATCCAACCAATATCAGTATCTGAAGGAATCAAACATAAATTAAATACAATGAAAATACGCAACTTGTTCTGTTGGGATTAGAATTTCTAGTGCCTGGTCTATTAAAAAGAAAAAATATATATATGTTTTAGGTACTGTACACTTTCCATATTTAAAAACAATAATTTCTAACCTGCAAAATAAATGGGATCATCATTCCCTGTAATTTGTAAAATTGCACTGGTTACATTGCCCAGTCTGGCTCCACCTGTAACATTGAATAAGCTGATGATGAATACTTCTCTCTCTTCAGGTACCTGAATGAAAAAGTGTTAATAAGTTAATTTCTAGCATACAAAACACTGAAAAATTTCAAATGGACAGCTGAGGCAGTTAATAAGCAAGAGATTCGTGACTCGTTTCATATTTATCAATCTGTATGTTTGTCAAAAGTGATTACACAGGACATTTCATACAGTTACATATAAATTACCATCAGTAAGCAAATTCCGTCATCTTTACTGCTACATATCACACAAAAGTTATGTTCCAGCTTCTAGTTTCTGATATTTTAAATTTATTTTTACAGATTTATTTATTTATCATTCAATATTCACAATCTTTCTTATATTACTTCAAAAATATTAGTGTATAACAATGAAATTAAGATTCCATCTATCAGGATATGAGTTATATTCAAATAAACTTTCCTATAACTTAACCACACTATAGTTACACTCAGCTCTCAACTTTTTTCAATTTCTGAAATTCTTTTATGATTTATTGAAGTTATCTCAGATCTAACCAAGTATTTTCATCTTTTCTGTAAGTTGTCAAGTTCTTGATAAGCAGGCATTCCTTCATTCTCTTCCTGCATTCTAATATTTTAGCACTTATTCTTTGTTCTCACCATAAAACAACATAAAAGTATTTACCTCATCTGGGAGGGAGTAAATGGTGATATTTTTTGAAAACTCCAAATTATCAAAGAAAATAGTCCCTCCTTCTGGATAGACATCATTGGTACATGCTGGATTAACAACCCAAGACACATTCACATTTCCATAGTTTCCTTGGTTTCTTATAACTCTGTAAACAGCTAAAAATGCAAACAAACACATGCATATTCAGAACAGTGGAATTCAAAATGAAAAAGGTAAGCATATCTGAAAAGAAAAAAAGGAAAGAAGGAGACTTCACTCAGACATTGTGTTATCTTGCATTCCAATACCATATTTAGTAAATTAGTTTGTTTCTCCTCAGATTGTTGCCACTGTTTTTAATTATTCAGGGTCCCCTGTCTCCCTTGTCCAGAGTCGCCGATTCACAAAATCCCTCTGCCCTGCTAGTCACAGAACTGGGCCAAACCAGCCCATAAACCGTTGACAATCCTGGAAAGTGGAAAAGATGCCTGGCAGAAGCAGACAGCAGATAAAGAAGTAACTCTAGAGAGGGCAACGAAACTGGTGAGGAGTCTGGAGCACAAGTCTTATGAGGAGCAGATGAGGGACTGGGATTGTTTAGTCTAGAGAAGATGAGGCTCGGGGGAGACATCACGGCACTCTACAACTTCCTGAAGGGAGCTTGTGGTGATGAGGGGTTTGGCCTCTTCTCCCAGGCAACAAACAGGACCTGAGGAAGTAGCCATAAGTTGTACCAGAGGAGGTTTAGGCTAGATATAAGGAAGAACTTTTTCTCTCAGAGAGTGGTCAGGCACTGGAATGGCTTCCCAGGGAGGTGGTGGAGTCGCCGTCCCTGGCAGTGTTCAAGAGGCGCCTGGATGAGGAGCTGCGAGATATGGTTTAGTGCTTGTGGTAGCAGTGGTAATGAGAGGATGGTTGGACTAGATGATCTTGCAGGTCATTTCCAACCTTATGATTCTACGATTCTGTGATTCTAATAAAAAGGAATTACCAGTATAGATGTCTTCTCCTTTACTTTCGTTTATTGTTACTGTTAGTTCATCAGGTAAAAACTCAATGATACCATGTGGATCATCATTCTTTAAAATGGTTATATTGACCATTGTGGCATTTCCCAGTTTGCCGGGCATTTCACTGTGGGCACTAAGTACCACAGAATATATCTCATCCAACTAGAAGAGAAAAATACAGCCAAAATTAAGATTTCTGGGATTATAAGTCAGTAAGGCTATCAGAAAAACTCTAACGTTCAGGCAAGACCTTGGTTTTGTTTTTCTTTTTATATATGAAATGCTTTCACATGGTACTTGTCTGTCTTACAGATCTTCTACTCACTATTCCTTTATTTATTTCTCATACATAAGAAAAAGCCTGGAAACTCTATATAAGAACTGATAATATTCTGATAAACACGTGAAACCATTTGTATTTTAATAACTCATGACCAAGTATGCCCTTGAACACAATTTGAAGAGAGAAAAATATAAATTTTTACCTCTGGAATCCCATCCATTCTTGTCAGTAGGGTAATTATGATCTCTCTTTCACCAGGCTTAAACTCCAGAATTCCTGTGCTTCCATAAAACTCATTATTGTCTCTTGGTTCTACCGTGTAGCGTAGAAACTGTCTAACAAGACTTCCTCTAGTGCGAACAATCTGCAGCTCAACAGACTCTCCTTCCTGTAAAACAGAAAGTCCATCTCTTCTTCTAGCATTCTGTTTAAACCAAATTGCCTATAAGGTTTAAGAGATATAACTCAGATATCTAACTACCTTGATACTGTAGGGACCTCTCGAAGAGGGAGAAAATTCAAACACCCCTCCAGGATCATCATTTTCCAAAATAATGATTTCACGAGTAGTAAACCCATATTTCAATATCTGATTTTCCACACTGACCCTGAGAAAGGAAGGTAAGAAGTTTTTTTTTCAAATGGCAATTTGCTTTGGCAAGTATATCCATACAAATGCAGAGGACAAAAGAATAGTGACTAAGTTTTTGAATAAGTTATGAAAACCAGTAGTTACCTGCAAGGAATAGAATAAATTAAGCAAGTCTCAATATTAATATGTTTTATTTATTTATAAAAATAATTTTTAAAAATCCTTGTTTTCTGGTTAGTTCTTACAGCTGTTATTTCTGTTTTGGGGTGGTTTTTTTGTTTGTTTGTTTTGTTGTAGTTGTTTTTTAATCACACATGGACACAACACACATGAAAGGAAACAGAACTGTGAAAGAACAAAGTTACCTAAATTCAGTATTACTTTGTATTTGGATCAAGGCATAAATAAAATTCCAAAACTACTCACATTGTCATTGTATTGATGATCACATACCTCCACTCTTAGCTTCTCTGTCAAAACTTCCTATTGACATATTGCTCCTCAGTACTGATTCCATCCTCAAATACGTGTTAATCTGCTTTCTGAAGATGTGGGGACAACCTCTATAGGTTGTCAGATCCCATTCTGACTCTAGAAAGCATTGGACCTGTTCTCATTAATTAGGGACTCATTCCCCTTTCTCCTTACTTCCTAGCAAACCCACATGGTGAATGGTGCAAGTATGAAATATGCTGGCAAAATACACTTCAAATTCCTCTTGGTAAAGGATTTCTATCTCTGGTCTTCCATGCCACACCATCTTCATCCTAGTCAGTGACATCAGTGAGTCATTGCACATAATGTGACCTTGCACATTGCTTGTACTCTTTTCCCCAGAAGCAGTAATTTTCAACAATCTTTTTTTAAATTTATTACGCTCAGAATTCCAGAGAAATACTATTGAAGGATGCATCAAAAATATACATTTGGGCTCAAAGCCTGAATATAATATATTACACATTATGTATTTAGATTCCCTTGCATCCTCCATATTCCATGTCAGTCTTATGTTTTGAATGGAATCTCAGACCTTCAAATTGTATGCATTTTTGTGCTTTCACGGTACTACAACCCGGACTTCAATAAATACTATTCTGTTGAGAAAGGAATCATATCCATTAAATGCAATATTGAAACTAAGTCCAGGACTATGTCCACAAGTACTCCACAAACAACTGGAATCTTCCCCCCCCCCCCCCCCCCCCCCCCCACCCAAAAAAAAAAATAAAAAAAAAATTGACTGTCTTGAGGACAGGACACTAGATGCAAAATACAGAATTATCTGTTTGACAGAGTAACATGTTCATGCTTGTGGCATTTTAAAAAATGTTGATAGACAAAGAAACGTGTTAACATAAACTATATGTGTGCTATTCAAAAATAAGATAACTACTCATTTTTGATCACAGAACCTTCCCTGTAGTGCCAGTCATTTCAGCCATTTAGTTGGCTCAGACTGTATTTGTGGCAGTGTTGAACAAATGGTCTATTATTCCATCAAACATTCAAATATCAAACACTGAGGCATGCATTCATAACTTTCATCATTCACAGATCCTAAACAAAAAAAATGCTTTCAAGCCAGAAACCCATGCCATCAAATGAAACACCAAAGGGGAAGCATGCATTGTATGAAGAGACTCAGAAAGAGTAATTCTTGTGAAGAAAAGAAGCAATAAAGACAAGTAGAAATTAACCACTTTTAAAATAAAGCAATGATTCACTGAACACAAAAAAACAGTTCACTGCACTTACCCAAAGTACACGACAAACCTTTCTGTTTCTACTCTGTTCACACAGAGAAAAAGAAAGAAAGAAAGGGGATGGGGAATGGAATAAAAGTACCACTTGCTAGAATTTCAATAAAATAAGTAAATAAATAAACAATAAAGCTTTTCTTTTGCTTTCCAAAAGCTTATAATGTATATTTTATGGGAACCCGGTTTGCTTGTCATTTTCCTGCTGACAAATGCTAGAAAGTGGGCAGTTCCCACTTACAAGAAATGTCCCACGACCAATTCAGCATGCCAAAACCCATTCAAGGTATTACCCACCAAGTCGTCTTCAAAGAGCTTGATTATAACTAGTCTTTGTATGTGCTCAGAAATGCAGCAGCAGTGCCCTTTTACAAATACCTCACCCTCCATTAGGAAAAAAATCTACATGCTTCTCTGATAGGGTATTTCATCAATTTGCTAAAGTAATTTATTTATTTTTTTAAGTTATAAACAAAAGTAGTTGTAATGGCCATGTAACAAAAAGTAGCCTGGCACAAATTCATAGTAAACTTTACTTAAGACAATTTTTAGTTAATTATATTACCAAAGTAATATATGCATATATGTATTCTTTCAGCTTTGCAAAGTTATACTGCATGAGTCTAAACACAGCACAGACAAGAAGTCTGCTAAGAACAACTGAGGAGTAGTGCTAGGGTATAGTTGTAATGGTAGCATTACAAAAATTGGAAGAGGACAGCACACATGAAGAGTTTACAAGAGTATCACGTTGTGTATCTCAAACACCTCCAGGTGCTCTTTGATAGGACATGGAAGACACGGAATAATTTATTTAAAAGAGTCACAGTATAAGTCAGTTCTAAAGCTAGAGTGCTTTCAGGTCAGGAAGCAAGCAGTAAGATTTAGTCCACCAACAGGTAAAAGAGAAAATACCATTTCTGAGGTTCTCCCTACAAGCCTTGCTATGAATACTTCAGTCCTTTCATTAAAAAAAAAATAAAAAATTAATATCTCTGATCACGTTTTCTCTGGATGATATCAAAACTGCTCAGATTGCTATCACTAAGCTAACATAGTAATATTAGTTACTACCTCAAAAAGTCATAAACCATCCTATACAAAAATTGAATAGAAGCACCTAGGCTTAACTTTACAACTCTAAGCTGCTATTAACAACAAATGATGCCCTCATCGTAAGATACACATATATATAAAAATTCTTATTACACAGAATATATTAATCAAAGAAAAATTAAAAATTGGCAAAAATAAAAAAAAAAAAAAAAAAAAAAAAAAAAAAAAGATAGTAAGATATACATTTTAAATTTAAGCCCAAAAGTTTTGCTATCCACTATTTTCACAGACTTATTTCTCAGAAAAAAAAGAGCCCAGTTCTATTGCTTTGGACAATCACATTGTAATAAAATTACCTTACACACGATAGAATCCTTCAGACTTTTTATTGCCTTATTGAAATGCATACTTTCTTGTTCAGCATGCTCTTCAAATCCTGATGCTGAAGTCCAAGAAGGGCTAAGCCACACATGGTAAAGCACTCCTCAAAGAGAAGCATAAAACTTTCAGCAGGAGGCTTAGACCCTAAGACAGAACCCTAAATACTTCCCTACATCCAATATGTTTTAACTACCTTTTCCATGGTCCCAGGGGTCCTGCACTGAAGGTGTGCCCTTGTGACAACAGCAAGGGCAGGACCTGGGCCTGGAATCACCTCCTTGATGTAGTGATTGCTGGGCTGTGCCTCTCCCTGCCTACCATCACCAGGTCTGACTAAGTTTTGTTCCCAGTTTGACTGACACCATAGCCATGGCCTTGTTTGGTGAGGCCCTTGCCCTGCCAGAGAAGTTATGGGACTGGACAGCAGGCCCTGTGCCACCACAGAGCTTCCAGGCCAAAAGCCCCTGTGACTTATAACATCAAACTGAAAAGAGGGCATTCATACACCTCCCTTTCATCACAAAGTAACTACTTCCTAACTGCCACATGCTGCATAGTTCAGTCCTGCTTCTCTGTATGGTCTGTAAAACCAGCTCTTTAGGTGCTCCTGTAACACTGCAATGTGGAAACAGAACAAAGATGGCTATTCAGAACTTCGGAAACCCAACAGAGAGGACATTCAGGATAAAAATTAAAACAGCTTCTTTTGTACTGTAGCTTAACCATGGCAAGCATATGCAGCTACTGAAGAGAACACTTGACCAGAGTAAGGAGGTACAACTCATTGCAAAAGCCATTTGCTATTTTATCTCCTGAACTTTTACTGCAAAATGCCTATGGATACGAAGTTTCATTACAGTTTACAAGCCCTGATAATTCTTACAATGCTAATGTAAAAAATGCAGTCTCAAAATGTGTATTTCCCATATCACAGTTCTAACATTAGTGGTCATTAAAGAAATGCTTTCTTAAAAAAAACAAAAAAACAAAAACAAACAAACAAAAAAAAACATTATTATTATTTAGCAAAAACTACTGAAGAATTAGGACAACTAACAAGAGTTTCAAAATATTCTTTCACTTTTTTTATATGCAGAGTACTATAAAATACTACCAAACAGAATTTTGACTAAGTTTAAGGTACAATGGGAATTTCAATGTTATTATGTACTAAATACAAATAAAACAGCTTTTACTGAAAGATGGAATGTGATTGAAGTTGATAGCTTTGGAAGAGGACTGGAATTCCAACAGACAGTGAGTATTCTGAATGACAACTGAATGGCACTTGTGAGTCTGCATTGCTGTCATTATTAAAGCCACGCTTTTCTAAAAGTCTCTTTTCTATCAGAGTATCTCAAAAAAGGGGAATCCAAATTGCTTGTGGGATATTATTCAATTTGTTTTATAAGCATTACTATACTTTTTTTTTTTTTTTTTTTTTTTTTCAGGATTATCTACTTATTTAATTAGTGGCAGGACCTAGCTATAAAGAACTGCATTAAAGTAGGATTTTTCAAATAATACATTCCACAGTGCTTCTCTACAGAGGAAAAAACTGCTCTACAAGTTTAATCCATCATTTATTTGATTTTGAAGGTGATTTTATTTTCTTGCTCATAGAAGGAGAGATATGGTGTTATTATTTTTAGAAGTAATAAAAACAAGCAGTAGGTGTTCAGTAGCACTCATTTCAACATTCTATTTTCAAAACTCCTTTGCTCCTTTTAAAAAAAAAGTCTGATCTGAAGAAAAAGCCCTCCTTTTACTCTGAGATTACTCATACAGCATTGCATGTATTACTTAATATAAATAAAGTAAGAAAGATACATAAAGTTTTGAGACAGAAACTAACCACTGGGAATCACCAAGTTAGGAGAAAATCCCAGCTCCGTTATACAGTACGTTAGATTTTCTTTGCATCCCAATGCAGAGAGTAACAGAAGATGCAAAAACCACTTGAGTGCTAACAACTGAAAGCCTGCAGTGCTTTAAATGGCTCTTCTATGATTTGCTAACTTCTGACATTCAGTAAACATCATTAATGAAAAAGATGTTAAAAAAAAAAAAAGGCTGCCGGATATTTCACAATAGGACAGTGAAACCTGGATTTTACATTTGCAGTTTTTAGAAAAAATTGCTTCGTAACTCACGAGTCTCATTATTTTCCAAATATATTGATGATGGAATTTCACCCTATTGTAACTTGTATTCTACCACAGAAATCACTAGTATTATAAGGATTTTCACATTATGTTGCCTCAATTTTTCTTTATTATGTATAGTAAAGGAAATTTAAGTCATAGTAGATGTATATAAATCTGATCTGGCATTCTCAATTCCATGAATGAACACTCAAAAATTAATTGTGCACAAGGACTATTTAAACAGCCAACTGCTTAGTGATTATCACTTTCACAAATTAAAATAAATTTATTCCTGTTCCTATATCCCATAATCTCCAAATTCTCAATCTTACCACTACTCATTCAGGAGCACAAACACAGAGCTGCCCCAAACCACTGGAGATTCTGGTCCTCCAGTTATGCCAGCTGTCAAACCAATAGCTGTCTGCACCTTAACTGAGGAGATTACAACTGCCAATAGGAGAACACATTGTGTAGAAGGGAAAACAACAATAAGATTTTTAAAAAACTGATTTCTATTTGTGCTTACCAGGTAAAATGAACAGCCCTAGTATGTATATGCTTTCAGAAAGCATACAAACAATTTCCATGGCCTGTTCCACCTACATTCATCAGGAAGACCAAAGGTTTTTCTTTCTCACATATCTTTCACTACAGACATCAGGTTTTATTTATGTTTGGATCAATTCAGGCCTATTCAGAAAGGGCAGGCATTCAACCTGAAGCTGCTCCTAAAAAAAGAAAATATGAAGAATCTTCAGCAGACACAAGATTTCTTATTACTCATCTGTCTTCTCTGGAAGTATATTCCTCATGATATACACTTGCTTTCATTTTGTGGAAACAGTTTAGAGTTAATTTTAATATCTATGGCCTCTGGATAGAGTCCATATAGTAAGAAAGGAGAATGCTATTTTAATGTTCCAGAAAACTTCTCTTACAGATATGTATAGAATTTAAGCTCATTTAAAATTTAACTCCCTTAACAACACCACCAATTGCTAAACAATACAGCCTTGTTAGAATTAATTACATTAATTACTTTATCCATGCTATTGCTAATTGCAGACTATTGAATGCTCTATGAACATATTCCGATGTCAGTAATTTCATTGAAGTTCTTACATGCTCTCTGTTCCCACTGACTTACACTACAATTTATAGAACAGTACAAACACATCTACAGAACAGTGTATCTTTGTTTTCATGCTAACTCACTACTACTGTGAAGTGCTTGCTGCCAGCCTTGGAATCTGAAATCTTCTGTTAGTCCAGAAAGTACCAAATATCAAGAAAGCAACTGCACAAGCTTAACACATAACCCTGTCAGTTTTTTCAGGCCTGATATGAAGGGATACCTCCAGTGTTGAAATGACAATCTTTGCTGTCATTCTTGGTTTCCGCTAAATTAAGTGACAGACACTATCCAGGCTTAGAGAAAAGTTCAAATTCTTCCTTCCTTCCTCCCTTCCTCCCTTTCTCTCTTTCTTTTCCTTCCTCCCTTCCTCTCTTTCTTTTCCTTCCTCCCTTCCTCCCTCTCTCTTTCTTTTCCTTCCTTCCTTCCTTTCTTCTTTCTTTCCTTCCTTCTTTTCTTCTTTCCTTCTTTCCTTCTTTTCTTCTTTCCTTCCTTCCTTCCCTCCCTCCTCTCTTTCTCTCTTTCTCTCCAGGCCAGACCACCTGTTCTTTAGTTCACTCTCTGACCCTGCCAAGTATGGGAAAGCTGTATGCTGTGGCACACTTTTTACTAGCCACTTCTTGATTTGTTCAATCCTTGTTGCAGCCATCATTTTCAAGATGTAGTCTATAGTGACTGCACAGAATAAACAGCAAAAAATTTTGGTTTCGTATACCTGCACAGCTTCAGAATTGGAAAAACAAAAACAAACAAACAAACAAAAAACGCTACTGTCTACTTACTTGTTTCTTTTCACTGGCAACCTTGCACTCACAAGTTTAGCCATCATTTTAATCCTACTTTCCCCCTTTGTGCCAGAGATTCTAATGAATTCCTTCAAACCAGTTTCATCCACAGAAAGGAAAGCAGAGAACTATTTGCAATAGTCTCCTGTTGTTTTTGCCTTGTTCAGGATTCACCTTTTAATGTAATGGGTAGCCAAGGTAGTTTGGAATAAACCTTTCTAAATTAGATGTATAAACTAGACATTGTTTAAGGAAGCAAGCCAATCCTGCAATGGAGTAACATCTTTCCTGTTAAAAAAGCATGCTCTCTGAATTGTGACCACCTTCTAATCAACAATAGCTTTAAGACCTTCTTGCCTTTCATTTGCTAATGTATAATCACCATGGATATCAGGTGTTGAAATTCCTAAGAGCTAGTTAACACTTCCTGTAAAAAAACACTTCTTTTGGATGAGGTAAAGACTGTTTAAGTAGATGTTCAACGTGGAAGCTGCTGGAGGCAGACCACTGTACATTTCCAGCAAAAGTGGAAAAGGTTTTTAGACCTTAGACTAATAGGAGGTAATATGACAACTTGAGAGGCAAGCTGTTGGAAAATGTAAAGAAGTCAAAATTTTCCTGTTAGTAACTCAAAGAGGGAATACACTCTCAGTATTCTGAGAAGTATTCACATCTAAGTAGTACCCGAGGTCCCTTTCAGCCTGGTTTACCCCATAACCCTGATCTACTGTAGAAAGGAGACTAGAACATCATGCTTCAGCAACACCACTGTGTTCTCATTAGCAGAAGACTGTGTTGTTAATCACCCTGCAATATTATGGAGGTTGGGATCGAAGTACATAATTATCAAGAGCAAGCAATACAGAACATGTCAGTCAAACAAATAAACAGCAATCTATTTCTGCAATAACAGCACAACATAGAAACCTTCTTCTGACAGAAAAACAGTTCTTCATTGCTTCTTACTTCTTACTGTACCTTTTCCCATTATCTTGCTATTACTTTTCTGAAAAATACACGTTACAATCAAGAGCTATAAAAAAGAACAGAGCTGAAAGAATTTTCAAAATAGCACAGACCTTTCATCAAAATATAGGCAGAGTTAAGTCATCAGATAATACATGCAAAATAGTTTCTTATATCAGTTTCCAGTCAAAGAATCCATACACAGTTTGAATCAAGAGCCTAATAATTCTTCAGATGCTTTTTGACACAATGCCAGCAATACCTCCTTATTAATAATGTGCTAATTTTTTATATATAAATGGAGTACTGCATATGATACATATGAATAGAAATTAGAATAGAAATTAGGATACCTGTCCAAAGTTAATAACACTGTTTCATTCATTTCAGGTATATCATCAGCTTTAATAGTGATGTTGATTGTAGTATCACTTTGTCCAGATAAGAAAACGACAGAGCCATTAAAGGGACCTATATCATCGTGTGTTACTGCCTTTTGATTGACACCAGAGGGTTTCAAACTCCAGAACACAGTTGCTTGACCATCAGTCCCATCTCGATGCAATGCAATAGAAACCTATGAAACATGAATTTGTTGTGACTAGCTGGAAAAACAATTACTCCTTTGTAAATTACTATTTGAATACAAGCATAAAAATGTTCAGCTTTTTTAGGTATAACTTCATATGTGATATCAAAATATGGATGAAAGTGTATGTACAAAAAACCTTTAACCAGTTATCAGGCACTGAGTGCAGATGACAGATTATTCATACCACAAATCACTAAGCAACCATACAAACACATGCATGACATTTTATGAATGCACACTTCTTCAAAACATAACCTACATTTTAAACATAACCACCATAAATTTACCTTGGAATTACAGTTCAGTGCAATTGTATTTAAGGCTATTACAGTTCTAATTTAAGAATGTGAAGTGAGTTATCTGATTTGGGATTTATATTGATACTTTACATTACTATGTTCACAGTTGGTGAGACTGAAAATATCTGTAGTATCTTTTGATCTGTGTGAGCATTAAAGGTTAAGTCATTAAGTCACTTTAGATGCTTACAGGTTTTAGGTAGCCACAGAGAAAACAAAGGCCAGTTTCACTTTTCTGCTATTTAATAGATATTTTTACAAGCTTTTAAATATTTTTTATTTACCAGCAAGGTAATGTTTGGGATTAGGCATGATTTGGAGGAATGTTAACTTTAGAACGCTATACTAAGTATAGGAAACTGTGCTTTCTTCAAGTGAGTTTTCCATAGCAATGGAAATGTAAAAAGTGTTACTTACCTCTGTGGCAGGGAAATCTTCTGGCTCAGAAAGAATAATTGGAAGATTGCTAATAAAGCCTATTTCTCCATTTGCAATGTCTGGAGTAATCCTGAGAGAAATATTTCGAATCTCACCTAGTCGAGGACTCACAGAAGGGACCATAGGAATTCTATTCACTAGCTCAACTTGTTTGAGCTGTAGGGAAAAGTAAGAACAAATCAAGAGATGAGGAGCCTTAGTAACAAGTCAGAACAGTTCTGACATTTCAGGATAATTTTCAAATACAGATAGCATATAATTCCAGAACAAATTTATCTCGCTAACAGCACTGCTATTACAAAAATTTCTTAGTAGACATGTCAAAGAAATTAAGTGGGTATAGTTGAGAGTTCAGCAGAATGGTAGACCTCCCAGACAAACCATGTGAGCATAAGTAACTAAAGAGGAACCCAGTCAGAGATGGAGACTCACCCCTCTACATCAGCTATGCTAGGCCTGTTAACACTACTGATTTGATCAATGCCTTGCATTGATAAAATAATCTTCTGTGAAGTTTCTAAATTAAGTATTTGTGCTGGAAAGCTCCTCTGATTGTATTTGTTCAAACAAAAATAATTTTATAATTCATGGAGGAAGTACAGAAAAAAAAAAAAAAGTCTACTGGAATCTACATTTTGAGAATCCAGGCAAAGTGTCTGAGATCACTGAACATGATACATTCTCACAAACTTACTGTATGCATGTTTTAAAGACCATACTTCAACGTTACTTGAATTTACATTTAAAAAGGACTTTGAATGAAACGTTTCAATTACTCTTTCAGGCCTCTTGCAGATGTTGAACACTCTAACTTTACAGCTGTTTTTCAGGAAGCAATTCCTAATCTAACTGTGAATGCAAAAAAATGTGCACTGGTAAAATAATATAATGCTGGAATTCTTTTTTTCTTCTCTCTCTCTCTTTTTTTTTTTTTTTTTTAATGAAAATGCAGGGGGAAGGAGGTAGAGGGAGGAAATCTATTAAAGGTTCCAGAAGAAGCTAAAACATCTTTGGTAAACAAGAAAAGCAAAAAGCCTGGCAAATTTAAATACATAGTTCAGCACCTTCACTTGAAGATGTCTAATTTAAAATAGATAGATTACAAGGGACTAAGAAATGCTTCAGTGATTTCTGTGATTTCTCTCTCGTTGTGCCAAATAGTCCCACTATGTATCAAGTTCACCATCTGGATTGTTCATCCCAGTTTACCAAAGTGGCACTGTTGATCACAGGAAGTAGAAATTATGGGGCAGATTTAACTGCAGATGAAAAAATGAGTAACAAACACCAGTAACAATACCCAAGACATTCCACAGCAGTACCTCTGAACAATAATTTGCTAAAATATACAAAAATAACAACAAAAATCCAATTAAAAATAATGGAAGTCTTAACATAGATTTTTTTCTTTCTATAATGTTTTTTCTGATTATTTTTTTTTAATTTTTAAAGCAGTCAAAAACTGTTTTAATACATTTTTCAGACAACTTTAACTACTAATGACACTTCTTATAAATTCAGGTAGAAAAGAAATTAAGAAAAAAAAAAGCAGCAAAGAAAACTATACTGGAAAAACAAAAACAAAAACAAAAAAATCAAATTCTCTAACCAAACTCATAAATAAAGGTAAGATGATGTTTGATGATTTTTAATTTACAGAGTATAATTAAGCTGAAAGGGAACAAGTTCTATTTACATTCTTGTTACTTCTGAATTTTGTCTTGCTTCTCTAGTTTAAGAACCTTGTTTTGTTCAAATTCAAAGCCAGGAGACTGACAGAGAAACAGAACTCAAAAAGCAGGCAATCGTCAACACTGACCTCATTTTGTAAAATTCTGTGATTGATACTCAAATCCTGTTGGTTTTGTTTTTGTTTTTAATTTGTAATTCTTAATGAGTGCAGAACTCTTCATGGCATAGTTATAGAAACTGTTACTTTAAAAGGGAAAATCTTTGCTTTAGAGCTAAGCTGAGCTTTTTATTTAAAAAGGAATGGTCATTTAAATTACACTCGAGGGGAATGAGAAAGTACTACATTATACTGATCATATTAAATAGGCTAAAAAAAATGCAGTTGTGATACCTGTATGAGAAAATGAGCACCATTTTGAAGAAATGCATCATTTCTTATTGGTATATTTAGAGTTTCATGTGTTTTTCCTTCTGGAAACATGAGAACATTGTTTCTAGAGATATTTAGAATGCCATCTTTTGCTCTCTCAGGATCCAGATCTCCAGCTGGAATATACAGTGCAGTATAAATTAACTGCACATCTCCAACCGTTCCTCTCTCCCTTGCAAAACTCAAGGACAAAAAGCGTCCTGTTGGGTTACTTTCAATCTTCTGATTCTCCAAAGGGTAAAATTTTATTAGGCCATAAACATCATCACTGTCCTGAATGTAAAACAAAAGCTGCAAAACAGAAAACAGTTATGATTATTCAATACTACAATTACTATACATCAAAGTATGTCCTTTCACAATGCATTTTGCTCCTGAGTGAATTGGCACTCAAGAAAGAAATCAGATTGCCAACCCCAAAATATTCTTCGTGCACAAGCAGAAATACACTGATAATAGCAACTTTCCCACCATGCTTCATCTATATCTGAGTGAGCTTTGAATGCCTGATATTTTGGTTCAGTAGCCAAAGTGAATAATTTAAATGTTTCAGGTTGTGAAAAAATTAATTTCATTCAGCAAATTCTTTTTAATCATATGTTATAAAAGCAAAGAGTTGAGTCACAAATATGTCAGTAATGCTAATAACCCTTTATTTAACAGTTCAGAGGTTATAGTCTTAATCACCAAACCCTCCTCTTGAGGCTGCTACTCTGTAGAATATTCCAATATTAACAGCAAATACGCAAATGGAAAAAATTTTTCAGTCTTCTTTTAGTAAGCAGCTAATCAAGACTGCATTTATGTAATGCTGCACATGATGGGAATAATCTAAGCTGAATTCTGCATTAAAAAACTCAGGCCTTTTTATAAGATTTTAAGCCAAAGAATTTGAATGTGGCTCTGTATACTAAGAGTTCACTAGGTTGCCTCATTTAAACTCAATAACTGCTTCAGCCAGGTTAGCCAATACAACAAAAACTGTGAAGTCTCTATTGCAAGGTCTGAAAGCAAACTTACTTCGGATGGTTCACTGACTTCTGCACCTCCTTGTACAGTATGAGCTAAGAGCTGCAGAAGATAGGGCTCTGCTTCTTCTGGCATATCGTCATTAAGAATGTTCAGAGGAATTGTAACCAGCATCTGCCCTTGATCAAAATATATTTCCCCAGTCTCTGGTATGAGGTCTGCAGTCACAGGTGAGGGATCACTGCTATTTCGGATTATAACCCAGGTCACAGAAACATTTCCATGTGTTCCACCATTTCTTACTATTGTGATCCCTTCAAACCTATGGTTTGGAATGAAACAAAAACTCATAGCATATCATTATAATTAGTATTTGCTAACTAGTTATTAGTTATCCATGTACTAGAAGATGTACACTGGCTTCAGTGGAATAAGTTGGGCAGAGAATGGCTTGAAAGCAGCACTAAGTAGGCAGCTTTGGGGTTGTCTTTTGATGGAAGCCTCAACATGAATGCTTGCAGCCCAGAAGGCCAAACTGGGCTGCATCAAGAGAGGTCAAACTACCAGGTCAAGGAAAGTGATTCTGCTCCTCTACTCTGCTTGGGGTGAGACCCCACCTAGAGTACAGCATCCAGTTCTGGAGCCTCCAATACAAGGACATGGAGCTGCTGCTTTGGTTCCAGAGGAAGGCCATGAAGATGATCGGAGGGTTGGAGCACTTTCCCTATTAGGACAGATGAGAGAGTTGGGGCTTTTCAGCCTAGAGAAGAGAAGGCTCTCAGGGGACCAAACAGTAGTCTTCCAGTACCTGAAGGGGGACTACAAGAAAGCTGGGGAGGGACTTTTTATAACGACATATAGTGACAGAATGGGAAATGGCCATAAACTGGAAGAGAGTAGATTTAGACTAGATATTAGGAAGAAATTATTTACTGTGAGGGTGGTGAGACACTGGAACATGTTGCCCAGAGTGGTTGTGAATTCCTGCTCCCTGGAAGTATTCAAGGCCAGGCTGCATGGGACTTTCAACAACCTGGTCTAGAGGGATGTGCCCCTGCCTATAGCAGGGGAGTTGGAACTAGATGATCTTAAAGGTCCCTTCCAACCCAAACCATTCTATGCTTCTATGATTCTATGAATCAATATTAACTGCCACAACTGACATCTGCTCAGGGCTTAACATCTGTAAAACTGCAATGCTCATGTAGAATTTTCATGGAGTGCTTATTCATGAACTAATATATCTAAAGAAACTATTAATACATCCAAATAATTTCATAGAACTTACTTTGTTTACAACAAGAAAGATACTGAGAAATGGAGACTTGGTACATTTTACCTTTTTCTCAGAAATAGGTTATATTTCAGAATACTCTAATAATTTTTTACACTGTTCTACAGACTACATCAAAATACACTTGTCAGTCATCAATGTTTAAATAACACGTCTGAGTGAACTTTTTGCTTCTATACTGAAATATGAAATTATCTTTTGATAAAACCATAGCTGGATACATCACCTGTTTCTATGAAGATTAAATTAGTAGTAGCAGTGGACATTTTAAATGAATATTTCACTACTGTATAATCAGTGCTGCCTGTAAACATTTCTATAGAGCTTTGATTTTAACTTATCTGTAAAATACATATATTTTAATTACTCAGAAGTTTAAAGGTATTCAACATTTCACCAGAGACATTCAACACCTTTTTGTTTTCAATCAGAGACTGACTTTATACTATATATGTAAAAATTTATTGGTAAAGGAAGCCTGAAATCTATTTCCCACTTTTATGGACTGGCATACATATAGACAGCATCACAGCTTTACTGATCCTGCTTTTAGATTAAGGATTTTTCAGTATCTTGATAACGTCATTAAATATTTACATTTTTTATATACTGTTCATAAATATTAAAGTAATTCTGCATAATTAAACATTATTCTCTTGAAACCTTTATAGTCATAGTTAATAATAATTAGAGTAGGTGATTCCTATATTAAATCTTCAGTAGTGATTTTAGAATTACCATCTTAAGGATGCTTAACAGTGCCAAACATATCACTTAATATGACTAGTCTGAAGATCTGTAGTACCTTGAAATTTTGTCTTCATCAATAATAACAGTCTGAGCAAACAGGATACTGTTGATTGAAAGCACTCCATGGGGTTTATCATTTGGTTGGATGGTGACATGAACAGTAGATGGATTAACCAAAACAGCATCACCCTGTAAAGTGTCCTTAAGAAGAACAATCTGAAAGGTCTCAGCGATTTCTGGTATGGCATCATCAAGAATCTTGAATTTTATATATATTTCATGAACTAGAGGTGGGAAAACAATAGTTGTATTTGGCTGTAGATCTAAGAAATCTAAATTAAGCTGTGCATGTGATGTTGAATTCCCAGTTACGATGGTGTAAGTGACAGATACTTCACAATCATCAGGTCCAATTAATTTTCCACTGTCATCTTTACCACGAACCACTTGAATTCTTAGCACATCAGCTTCCTCGGGTACCACGTAATTGCTCTGAGTGAATCGCACAGGGCTGTCATTTTTCCTAATATTAATCTGAATGGAGTTTTTTGTGGTATTGATTTCAGCCCCTCCTTCCACACTCCTCAGATAAACAGCAAACAATTCATCATTTTCAGGTATCTGGGAAAATAATATTAGAAACAGAGTGTAAGGCATATTTCAAGTATATGCAGAACTCTTACTGAGAAGTATGTTTCATATATTTTGCAGAAAGGGTAAATAACACAAACCTGAGAACTCTTTCCATATTAAAGTGAACAGGCAAAAAATCTTTCTTGCAACTTTGGCTGAAGGTCCCTTTTCAAAACAGAGTCTTTCTGTTTTCTAAAATATAATTCTTATGATCTCTGTATGAAAAAGTGAGGAAAACCAAATAAAAACAAAAAACCTAAGCAAGAATCAGAAAAATCTTTCCAATTTGAGATCCAAACTCAACTTTTGGAAGCCAAGTACTCTTCTTGGGAACAAATATTCCGCTCAGTTATTTAGGCTGACATCTTGATTTGCTGATGTTAACATTTATTTACCTTTATGCATGCCTGAAAGAATACAGGAACAACATATGGATACAACCTACTATGGTCTTTTTATTTTATCTCCTCTATTTTCAGACACACAGACATCTTCAGGGAGAGTTTCAATCTCAGATCTAGGGATGTGCTTTCTGATGCTAGGCTATTCAGTAGACTAGCTAGAACTGAGCTGTACTTTTAATCTATCACCTTCTAGAAATTTCATTTATTTTATGATAATTGATGTAGCAGGTGATAAAGCATGATCTATAAACCTCAGAATTTAAAAATATTATTTTCATCACATTCCTAAATTTTATTCCTTAAATTTTCATTTGCTAAATCTATTTAATTCAAAAATATATTTGCTTTATTAACACAGAGTCATAAGAAATAAATCTTTAAAAATTATCTATGATCTTTTATTTCATGCTTGTTGTGGTCTCTCAAAAAAAAAACAGTATTATTTGCGTCTGAGAGAAATTCCATTAAAAATTTGCTTATTTATTGCAAATGAGAATACATTTATGCATTTCCGTTTACTAAGTTAAAAAAAAAAAGTGAGATTTGCAAGCTCTCAGTCTCCTTTCTTCTATAGCCAAATTCAACACAGTTATTTGATCTTATTAAAATAGAAGTTAACTTGTTAGCACCTCTGAGAGAAAAAATAATAAATTCACATCTTCCCAAAAGGAAAACCCGTAACAATTTCCTCCTGTGTTTAAGCCTTAAGAATATAATATCTAACCAGAAAAAAATGTTTTTTCTACACTTCAGCACACCAGTCTGGCACAGTTTCTAAACACTAAAAGTGTAAGTAGAAACATGGATCAACAGTTTTTATAATGCAAAAATGGAAAAAGTTGCTTTAAAGTTGTTCATTTCTAAGCTAGATGCTTTTCACTTTTATTCTTTTCTACTTAATTTCCCCATTAAGTTATTCTGTATTTTATTTACTTATTTTGTTTATTCTGAGATTAAAAGAAATCTTCTCAACATAATTTTTCAATTGGTCAATCTGAAAGTAGAAAGAGGGCAATTACTATCTTGTATTCACACTTTTCAGAAAATTGCCTGTTTGTTTCAAGAATCTCATCTATTTTCAGAATTTTTTCAAGTATGCTTCTTCTCTGAAACATATCTACATAAAACCCTATAATTCATCTTCTTTTAAGCTTTTCCTCTGAATATTCAATGTATTATATTTTTTCTTTAGTGAAAGACATACCATTTCTGCTCTTCACACATATAAGAGTGAATCAAGTTTATTAAAGAATAAAATGGATTCATATGCACTGTTAATAGACGGCAGAGGTGCGTAGACTTCAATGAGGATGTAATAAAAAATGTACCTTGTAAGCAATACCATGATTATCTTTGTTCTGCCTAAAAAATTAATGGAGACCAAGAGAAGAAAAGGAAAGGGAAGGGCAAGGGAAGGGCAGGGAAGAGCAGGGAAGGGAAGAGGAGAGGAGAGGAGAGGAGAGGAGAGGAGAGGAGAGGAGAGGAGACAAACAATACCAAATATAACTTGAGTTTGCAAGGCAGAAAATAGGGAAAACCAGAGTATGTTTAAAAAGAAGTACTTAACAATAAACTAACGCCTTGTTTGAGAACACCATCTTTGGCCATACAACAAGGATCAGTTGAAAAAAATGGTTCATTTCTATGTTTGCTGCAGTAGCGCCATATGGTCAGAGAGGCCAGGATACGCTCAGAAAATATTCACCAATGAGAATTACAGGAGGAACATCAGAAAGACTGAAAATAAAGAGTCCATGAAGTGAAAATATCCATTCATTAACCTTATTTAAGCAAAGCATTTTTATAACTTATTACCCCAACTGTCATTAGAACAGCTGTTAACCTGCTCTTACCTGATCATCAAGCACAGTTAAATTATAAATCAGTACAGATCTTCCAGGAGTAAATGTAATGTTACCCCTGGCTGGACTAAAGTCTTCTTCGGCTGGGTTTGGACCATCTTTTATCTACAAAAAAATTAATTTTTTCTCATGAGAAGTATACAAAACAGGAAGACAAATCTGGCAGAAGTATAATAGTCAGTATACAGTGTGGCATGTTTAGTCATCTCTTAGTTATAAGTATTCGTGTTCAGTTGTGAAGTCTTACTCTTTTTTGGTGAATGGAGTCAAAGCAACCAATCTGAAGAAATTATATATTGACAGAAGAGGAGGAAGAAAACTACCGAAGAGGAAGAAAACTACTTCCATATAGAGGACTTCCTATGAAGACTGGTATATTCTGATGCATAATTGATTCTCTGACATTAACAAAATATTATACATTAAAATTCAGTTTAAATCAGTAGTGTTCTATGTTAAATTCTAAAACAAATAAATTATTGGTTTTGCGTTCCTTCTATCATGACCTGTTAAAGATGCTAAATCTAAAAATGAAACCTGGAAGACAAGGAAGTCACTTAAAAGCAATGTGAGATGTTTTCATTTTAGAAAATCTTCAAAATTATTTTTAAACACACATATATAAACAATGCTGAGAGATGGACCCATTTAATTGTCCTGATACTAAAATTTACTAAACCGTAGAACAAACAGATCTACAATAAATTATACAGAGCATCGCAACCATTACTTTAACTATTAATATTAATGCTATATTCAGTATGAAACAACAAAGTTTTTCAGATTTTGACAGGTCTAGATTAAACCCTTGATGTCCAAGAGACAGGAAACTGATACAGAAATACCCGTTTGAAAAAATTTTATGCATCATTTTAAGGTATGTAATATAATCTGAGGTAGATGACAGAGCGATAAAAGCAATAACTTTATCATATTCAAATCAAGTAGGTAAATATTCAACAGGAGTTATTATTTTGAAAGCTTTAGTTTCTGGAGGCTCAAAATACAGATAAAGATACAGAGGATTATAGATAGAATTTCACCAAATCCCAATTTCTCATACCTACATGTTCAAATTTGGGCTAACTTTTAAAGAGTCACTCTGATGTCTATCTGTAAAAAATATATATGTATATAAAGACACATATTACATACAATATGCTTTGTATAATACAAACTAATATTGAATCAAGTGCTTTCCTAAATGACAAGAACACTCAGTTTTCTGTAGTTCCTCTTAATATTTATTCAAATTAAACACTCAGATAATTACAATATTTTCCATGGCAGGTAATATGAATCCATTTCATGAAATAGATTTAGCAATTGTAGATGTAGGCATTTTGCTCCTCTTTTCCTTTTACAAACGCTTTGATAAATTATGATTACAGCCTACTAGTTTCATCCAGCAGAAAGGTATGAAGTATTTTAAATAAACTCACCTCAAAAGTTACGATGACCGTCCCATATGTTCCCCTCTCTCTAATTAGAGTAAGAGGCACAAATTCATTTCTGCCCTTGGGCTCATTCACGGTGATTAAGGCAGACTAATGAGGAAGAGAAGGGACAGTCAGGCACAGATCAAATATCCCAGCAGAATGAAGAAACTGTTGCCATAGAAATACCAAACTCCCACAGACAAGTTAATCCAATCTACAGACCAGACCACTGATGGCAGACATTTCCTAGCAACCAATTCGTTCAGCTAATAAAAACCCTGAGAGATTTCAAATAAAAATTTATCGTGTTATACAAGCAGTGTTCTTTTGTGATTTTTTTTTTCTGTAAATGAACATAGTTAATAGACACGAAGCACTGGCATAATGTCACTGATTTTTTAGGAGTTCGTAATCTATTACAAACAGATTTTCACCATTATCGGGTAATTTATTAGTAATGTAGCTATAAATTGACTATTACAGAACAATCATTTAGGTCATTGGTTGCTTTTTCAGATGGTTGTATGTGACAGATGTTAAAAACTTCCACTAATTCAGTGAAAAACTTGTCAAATCAGGTTTTGTAGCTCTAAAATTTTCACGTGTCCATGTGTCTTTTTTTTCAGAGAAATCCTATGAAAAGGTTATGTTGTGAGAATGCTAGCAATATGGCATAAATACTTTTTATACTAACATGAGGCTCTTAGGCTATTTCTGAACACCCAAAAGCACAGAGTAATATTAATATTGTATATATGCATAAATTACAAACACATGTATGGATTACTTCTAAGCATGTCTTCTAAGATATATCTCAGAATCTATTTTTAAGAGATTCTGTTGAATAATAGCCAGCATCTTTGAAAACTGTCCCTTTCTGCTTTCTAAAATTTTTACATACACCATAAAAAAGCCATACCATGTTAAAAGAAATTATTCCAAAGGCATTGTCATTTGATAAGATTGTTACAGTGACAGTCTTGGGTGAGCCAAGTTTTATCTTTGCAGATTGTTTCTGAAATTAACAAAACAAAACATTAAATATGAAAAATACAGGAAAAAAATAAAATGTTACTGTGTTGTAAATATTACTCTATAGAAACTGTTTTTGATGTTTGTTTGTTTGTTTTTTTAATGTGTATTACAGTGAATATTACTTAAATGAATAGAAAGCGCCAAAATAGTTCATCATCATTAAATATATTTTATCTGGTCCACAAAGAGCATGCAACAAAGCTTGTAAATAACTACTTATAGTTTGGCAATCTAGTAATGACAACATAGGTACAGAGAAATATACTTGAAGCATGCAACACTGCCAGGAACTCACAAGTTGTTCTCTTTTCCTAACTTATGTATAAAACCAAGACTTTGAAGCTATTACGTGAACTGAGATATCAACTAAAGAAAGAAATTTTTAACAGTAGTTTAAAACTGAGCTACTGAATCTACACATCAAAGGAAGTGAAAACAAGGAATTTACTGCTAGCATTTCCTGAGGAATAAGGAAAGCATAAAATTCTTCTATAATGAATTAAGTTCAAATTCAGTCATGGTCTGTTACTTCAAAAAATTTGAATAGGCATCACTCCTTAGTAGGATGACTTCTGTAAAGTAGAACAATATGTAGAGATTTATCAATGTTTTTTAAAAGTGTTTGATTTTTTTTCAGGGGAGTCTCATCTGTTATTCTGGACCAGAAATCACGGTTTTTCTTTCACTACTTCCACTCTCTCTTTTAGGTACAGTGCATAAAATAAAACAGGAAAGAATGACTCTCTTCACAATCTAACTCTTTGCCACCCTAGCGCAATCCCTTCAAATGTCCACAACAGAATGTAATGTCTGCTTAAGTTTCAGTCTGTCCATATTGCACAGCAACAATATATAGACACACTCAAAGGAATGGAGAAACCTTCTAAAGAAGCAATAAGAACTATTCTGATTAGTCTCCAAATTTTAGTTCACTCCCGGTTAGGATTTAGATTCACAAGAAGTGAGAGTACACAGAATTCTATGGAACACCATATGTTTATGTCAGATTACCCAGATTACTCAGCTAGATGAAAGATAAATTGAAAAAACACAGACTTACTGGTAGTGTCAAGTAAAATGTGAATGTTTCATCTGCCTCTGGAAGGTCATCATCGCAAACAGATATATACACTGTTCGGTTTGTTTCTGTGTCAGGTATAAATGCAGCTGCGTATGTGTCAAAAAAGTCCCCCGTGTCTTCTCCGTGAATCTACAATAATGCACAACTGAATGTCATCTCCTTCCTGTACAGCCTTCTATAATATTCTGGACTGATTTCCTGGATTTTGTATACTCTCTTTGAACATGATTTCTCCTGCTATTAACCCTGCTGTTACACAAATTATTTCTTGATAATGGTGCAGATAATGGGCCGCTGTACCCATGCTGAGTAACCAGAAATAACAGCACTTTACTCAGAACCACTTACAACACCCTTCCTTGTCACTGGGTATCTTTTGTATAGAGTACCATATGATTATTTCTTAACAGAAAGACTGTTCCAAGCACAGATCCACATGGCTTATATTAGCTCACCTGAACTTAACTCACCTTAAGATGTTACTGCCTTCTGCCTTCCATCATCATTCTAGGAAATAGAAGGAGGCTACAAATGTAGCCTACAATGTTTTGATTGCAATTGGTGGGAAAGGTGAATTCTTCTAAAATGTAAAGCTCCGCTTTCACTTTGCTCAAGCAAAGAAAATTGTATTGATTCAACGATAAGTAAGATGGTGACAAGGCTGCACCAGGGCAGAGCAAAGTCCCAGAGTGGGACAATCCCCTTGGAATGAAGCACTGCTCCAGTGAACTATCATCTTCCTTTCCACTTGCTTGGTAAAAGTATAAGCAACACTCAAATGTAAAAAATATTAATATTTACTGAGAATATAACTAGCATTGTTTCTTACCGACACAATTGCTGTGACATTAGCAGGCTTCCCTGTCCTCTCAATTACAAGGCGAATCACGGTTGTACTTGTTTCATTAACTACAAACTCTGTTTGTCCACTGAACTTCACTTCTGTTTCTCCAGATGTGAAACGAATGAGTACTGCTAAAATCAAATAAACTAATAAAGAATCAGAGTGCATCCCTGTAAGGAAAAAAAAAAAACAAACAAGAACACAAAAACATGAAAAATTAAAAATAAATTCTGTACCTAAAATATATAAAACAATCTCTCTTGACCCTTCCAATTCTGACAACTTTTCTGAAAGGGTTTCTGCAAACCCTTCAAATACTTTGTTTTCCTAGTGAGCTTCAGAAATGAGAAAAAAAAAACACAGGTTTCAAGAATGATCAAGTTAGATAACACAATTGTCTTCTGTACCCAATTCTTTTATTATAAGTTTCATCTAAAGATATTCTAAAAAGCATTTTTAATGTTTTCCAAGTGAAGGAATAAAAAACATCATTTAAGACAACAAACATAATATTGCATAATTATTTTCATTTCTAATCAGCAAAAAATACTTTAAGATTGACAATTTACTCTTTCTTCCAGTTCCATTTTTTTTTTCCTGCTGTCAATTCTCTTTAAAAATATATATAACTGCCACAAAGGATGAAGGTTTGGATGTTTGTAGTTACCACATATACCATCTTCTGCTATCTTTCAGATCATGAAATGTTTTTAAACATCTGCATATTTACTTAAGATAATTTTCACTGCTTCTCTTACCCCATGATTTTTCCATGCTTTCTTGTTACAGAATCATCTATGCAGAGACTTATTTTTGTGAAGTGTATGTCAAATTTTCAATTATAAAACACTTCAGGTACAGTACAGATGTTAATTCTTTCACGTATGCAATTTGGTAACTTTTATCTTGTACAGAATAGACAACAAGCTAGCCATTGGACCAATAAAATTAACAAAGCTTCAGAAAGACTTCCAGACTATCATTCATCTTATAGTAAATTCTGTCTGCAAAAGAGCTAATTTTCCACTGAGAGGTCTTGAAATAAAGCTGCTTTCAAACCTGTTAAACAACAAGAATTATTCACAGACATGACATATTGCATATGCTGTAAATATAGTCAATAAAGCAATCGGTGTGTCTCAGAATTCATCTAGGACAGGATTGGCAGAATGACAAAATTAGCTGATTTTAATTACTTATAATAAAATATTCTCTTAGTTCTACTGAACATCACCAAGGGAATTGGTGAGCAATGAAGCTAAGTGCAAAAAATCAGGACCAACCATTTGTACTATCAAACATTTTGCGATCTACTTAGAAAAGTGTTTCATTAGTTCTAGTAAAAATGTCATACAGTAAAACAGTTTTCCTGTAGCACTTTGCACTACCACAAACTGAATTTGATTCCCATGAACATGGTCCCTCAAGATCTCTATGACTTTTATTAAGAATTAAATGCATAGCAGACTTTCAAGAGCTAGGCTTTATTCTTAACAAGTGATCTACTTAGTGGTGTTAGTGCAGAAAAAGTCTACTGCCAGAAGCAAAGATGAAAAATACCTCAACAAAAAACTGTTTTTAAAAAATCCTCAACATTTCAAAAGGTGACTGTATTAATCTGCAAAACATTTTTGTTTTTATGTGGAACTGCTCAGATAAACACCAGCTTTCAAGTGAACAGTTGTGTAACCTTTGTAAACTCTGAGACAATTACACTGTCTGCAAATGCAGGCATCATCCATACCGAACTGAGGAATTTGTTGACCTTTTAGCGTCAGCTGTTACCTTGTCATAGACTTTGCAAATATCTTCCCACGGTATATGCTTCTAGTAAGTAATACTGAAAACTTGATCCTTGAGGGCAAGATTACAAAGTTTAGAATTACTTGAATTCTATTACTTCTACTAGAGAGCATTCTGAAACTATAGGATTACTCCTGTGGAACAAGAGAGGTTTCACAATCATACCATCAATTATTTAGCTGGTGTGCATTCTTCCTTGTTACATTATTTGTACTAAGATTTAGCTTGCACAGCCTGCCAAAAGTAGTTTTTTTCTCACATAACCTCAGCTTTTAAAATCAGGATTATTTTAAAAAGATGTGATATAGTAAATACAACATAAATCAAGATTTGAAGAATGAAGAATAAATTTATACTAACAGCCCAAAGGAACACTGTTTGTCATTTATTGCACTGCATAAAGTTCAGCAGAAGCCATTGCAAGATCAGGGGTTAAGAACCTTCTTCATCCCAGTATATAAACAGCGATTATAACTTGGTTTCTTCAAATGAAACTAAAACTTTAGTTGATCAGATCATAACTGATTAACCTACTTTTCAGATCTTTCAATTCAAAACATCTAGTCCATCTTTAAATGAGATTAATGAATTGAAGTCATCCAACATTTGAAACAACAACCAGCAGTGGGATACCATAGAGTACGCACAATAATAACATTGTTTTCCAGCATCTAAAACAAAATAGCACTCAAACAAATTATGCAGACATTTCAGTGGTACCAGAAAATCTCAAAAGCCTAAAGAGTGCATTCTTCACATTATAATAAAAAAGCAAAGAAGTCAAACTCAGCATTTCTGTGTCATGATCATTCACATCTTATAGTCACATGTTATGGTGCTTTCTGAAGTGCAGTTATGTTTCCCTTGAAAAAGCAGACACTTAAAACCCTGCATATACAGATTTAACACAGTAATTTCCAAAGTGATATCATAAATGATGTAATACTATTTCAATGTGCTGTCCAGCTGGAGCTAAGGAGAGGAAGACTTATGAACCTGCCGTTTCTTGTAACTATTGAATCACCAGAATTAACTAATTTTTTTTCCCACTGTTTATGGAAGAAAATTGAGGAGAAGATTTTAAACTTTATAAAGAATAAGTGGTCATTTCAGCAGAGTGTTACAAAGACAAGTAGTCTTTTCCTTGTATTAAGTTTTCGTGCTTAATAAATCTAAACTCCCTAAAAGTTTAAGATCTATTGGCTGTTTTCAGTGAATAATGAGAAAACCTAAAGCCTAGTGGCACATGCATAGATGAAGAGAAATAAACGTTCTGCAAAAGATTCCAAATCTGAAATGAAATAAGATGTCACATATGGAACAGAGAATGGTAAAAGAAATGGGAGTTCACTAACAAAACAGATGGAAAGATTAAAGACCCTACCCTTCAGACTGGTCATTGTTGCTTGTCAGAAGAAACAAGAAACCATTCTGAAGCCAGAACTGTCCAGCTCAGAAGCTACAACTTGATCAGCAATGCTCATCTTTGTACTACTTATCATAGATTTCTGAAGTCCGCTGAGATAGCGCAGCACAGCAAGTGTGAAGTTTAGTGCACTTTTTACTGCCTGTCTTTGTCTACTCCCCGTGATTACAGACACCCAGCCAAGTAGAACATTCAAAAACTGGCATGCCTACTACTTTGCATTGAGTACAGCATTACAGCTATCAATGGTTGCCAGACAGAAGTCTATTCACAGCAGAGATGTCAGCACCCAACAGCATCTTTGGTTAAATACAACGAGAGAGAAATACATGTGCTCTTTCATATGTAAAGAGGAGATTCTCTGTACTACACTGGAACAGAACAGAGCAAGAAGTTTCACAAGGTCATTACCCTCCCTGCACCTGTTGCAGAAATATATTAAAAGCCTGCATATTTTCAGCATTTCAGCATATATTTGGCAATCTCGGAACCACTGAAATTTACAACAGTACTGGCAAGAAATAGAGGAAAGCAACTTTGATTTGCTAGACTTCTACTTTCTGTCCAGCGTGACCTGAAACTAACACTGACGCATTTTCTTAGAGACTGTTAGGTGCTGTTTTTTCCAAATTGCCTCAGTGTTCCTACAGTTACCACATATGCAAAAGGGAACACAATAGCAATGTGGCAAAACCAAACATTTGAACAGTACTACTCCAGTCTGCATCTTTTGTTTCTGTTAGGTTTGATCTTATTTTTGGTCATGTTTGTTTTGTTTTATTTGTTTGCTTATTTTTTTAGATGTAGGATGAGTACATCTCTCTCTTTTGGGGTGTAGAAAAGACAGAGCATACCAAAGAATTATTTTGAAAGAATCTTACTAAATGCATATATTCATATATATACATATACATACACGTATATGTATATGTATATGTATTTCAACTTGCTTCAGGGTGAATAAAGCATGAGAAAGTAACAACAAGTAATGTGTTTTCTGCATTTCTTCTCACTAAGGACAGCACTAATAGTTGCAGCATTTCAGATATGAGTCTGTTTTGGTGATTCCCATGCATGTCATTTGTTGTCAATGATACCTTTACTCTCTAGGCTTTCCTGTCTTCCTCTTTACTACAAAGGCACTGTAGGTACCCCTTTTTATTACTAACATTGGAAAGTGCTAGTCAAAGCACAAATCTACAAGGGGGACTACAAGGGGCAGAAATCCTGTGATCATCTTTCACTGGTCTGAAGATTTAGTGCTCATCTGCTTGCGTACCTACTTACAAACTACTGCTACCATGGCATAGTACAACTATAGCACAAACTCAGGTCTTAAGATTTATCTGTGTTTAAGCATAATGACACTAACATCAAGGAAACGTTTTGCCTGACCATTTGCTTCCTAAAAATTGCAGTATTTAAAAAAAAATCTTACTGTTCATGGTTATATGTATCACCAGAAATAGTAGATCAGTGGTAACTGATCAGAAAGTGAAGAACACCTTGATATAAAAAGTAATGTTCACTAACTAATATTTCCTTGAAAAAGGCAACTATCCCTCAACAAAGACATCTTATCCTAAGGAAGAAAAGACACATAAACTACCTGCCATCAGTTTTGTATTACAAGTCGAAAAGGTAAATCCACCATCACAGCCAGGAACCAATGCTGAAAATGGTAAACATGTAAGCGAAGGCCATGCCAGAAGCCTGATGAGAAATCCAAATCATCTCATCTTCTTAATAGGAAAAAATACTAATATGCCCAGAATACGCAAGATTTCTGTCAGTCTCTTCTTTTTAATTCTTCAGAACTATTTGGATGGATCTAATTGATAACCTTGAATTTTAAATTTTGAAATACATAATAATCACTGGAGAACCAAGTATTATCTCACAAATGCTATAGAGTTTCTGAGGAAACCAGTCCCCATTTGGAAAATAAAAGACAGAACAAACTAGCCCTGCTGAATCAACTACTTCTGATTGCAG